TATCCTGGCTTCGTTATACTGTGATATCAGACTTCATTATACCGTGTGATATCTGACTTCGTTATACCTTGTGATATCTGACTTCATTACACTGATATCTGACTTCGGTACGCACTGATATCTGACTTCATTACACTGATGTCAGACTTCATTATACCGTGATATTCGACTTCGATTATACTGTGATATCGGACTTCATTATACTGATATCAGACTCCATTATATAATGATATCAGACTTCATTATGCTGTGATATCTTTGACTTTATTTTACTGATATCTGACTTCATTACACTGATATCTGAGCTTCATTACGCTGATATCTGACTTCATTACACTTTGATATCAGACTTCATTATACCTGTGATATCTGACTTCGTTATACTGTGATATCTGACTTCATTACACTGTGATATCTTTTGACTTCATTATACTGTCATATCTGACTTCGATACACCCAATGATATCTGGCTTCATTACACTGATATCTGACTCCGTTATACTGTGATATCTGATGACTTATTATACTGATATCAGACTTCATTATACTGTGATGATCTGACTTCATTATACTGTGATATCTGACTTCATTATACTGTGATATTACTCCGATTCTCATTATACTGTCATATCTGACTTCATTATACTGTCATATCTGACTTCATTATACTTGGTATCTGACTCTCTTCTAGATACTGTGGTATCTGACTTCATTATATACTGTGATATCAGACTTCATTACACTGATATCAGACTTCATTATACTGTGATATCTACTTTATTATACTGATATGTGACTTCCTTGGTACTGTGATATTTGACTCATTATACTGATATCTGACTCTCACATTCTGTATATCCGACTTCACTCCTACTGATATCTGACTTATTTATATAATGATATCTGACTTCATTATACTGTCATATCTGACTTCGATGACGCTGATATCGACTTCTTTATACTGTGATATCCTTGACTTCATTATACTGTGATATCTGACTTCATTATACCTCGTGATATCTGACTTCAAGCTTATACTGTGATATCTGACTTTATTATACTGTGATATCTGACTTCAGTATACTGTTGATGATAGACTCTCATTACGCTGATATCTGACTTCCTTGCTATACTGTGATATTTGACTTCATTATCCTGTGATGTTTGACTTCGTTATACTGATATCTGACTTCATTATACTGTGGTATCTGACTTTTGTTACACTGTCATATCAGTCTTCGTTATACCGTGATATCTGACTTCATTATACTGTGATCAGACTTCGTTATACTTCATATCTACTTTATTATACTGATATCAGACTTCATTATACTGTGATATTTGACTTCATTATAATTGATATCTGTGATTCTTATCTGACTCTACTGATATCTGACTTCCTTATACTGTGATATCTGACTTCATGATACTGTGATATCTGACTTCATGATACTGATATCTGACTTCCTTATACTGTGATATCTGACTTCATTATACTGATATCTGACTTCCTTATACTGTGATATCTGACTTCATTATATAATGATATCGGACTTCCATATACTGTGATATCTGACTTCATTACACTGATATCTGACTTCTTTATACTGTGATATCTGACTCATATTATTTTGATATCTCACTCATTATGCTGATATCTGACTTCGTCATAAGCCTGAGTGGTTAAAAGCGTTGGCTCGTCACGCTGAAGACCGGGTTCGATTCCCCACATGGGCACAATGTGTTAAGCCCATTCCTGAATTGTCCCCGCCGTGATATTGCTGGAATATTGCTAAAAGCGGCGTAAAAACTAAACTCAGTCAGTCACTTCGTCATACTGACATTTGACGTGGAAATAAGAAGAAATCTGCTGGACTTTATTTTAATGTAGTGTGGTGATGAATTTCAACATTGTCGATTATAAGTACATAGATTGTGGAAATTAAGGTTCATCAGAAGTGCTGTAATTAACTTTTTATTGTATTGTACATGTTAAATGTAGATTAGATAGATAGATAGATAGATAGATAGATAACTGAGCAATCAGTTGCGTAACTTTTGACTTCCAGTATATGTTTTCCACCATCCCCTACTCCCTACCCCTCTCCACTTCTGCCAACAAAGAAACAAACAAAAACAAAACAAAGCCCAGCCACGTGCATGGACAATGATGCTTATATTCATATCCATCATTTCAGTTGTTCCCGAACACATTGTGACGTCAACATGCGACGTCTAACGTTTCCTGGCGTGGAAGATCGTCAAACCCTGAGACTGATACCTTAACACACTTCACCAATCCTGGTCAATTCCTCCGTCACAACCGTGTCAAGAGCTAATGCTGCCCATTACCCTCAAAGAATTATTTAAGCGTCACCCCTACCCTAACTAGCGAGTAGGCGTGATGGACAAGTTGACTGCGGGTCAACCACTGACGTGTGACAGCAGACATTGTCCGCGGCACGTCACGTGACCCTCTGACCCACGTGTTCCGCACGCGCCGGTAGTTGCGTCAGGGGAATCCAAAGTTGGATGTGACCCTTGGTAGGCATATTCTTTGATGTGGCACGAGCTGTATGAAGGAGACCGGTATTTAAAATACCTTACCGGAGAAAGTACATTTGTTTCCGACAGTCGTGTTCAGTCGCCGTTTAGACGATGATAAATGACCCTGTTTTATTTTTTGTGTTTTAAACGGCGGTGGGGAGTTGACCCGAAGGCTATAAGCAGGGCTTACTAATTTAAATTGAGGGTTACTAATGCCAAGTAACAATCAGTATAGTGCTACAAATATTTCTATGTTCAGGGGGATAAACACACACGTTCTAGCATGAGCGTGACTGAGAAATCCTTTATGTGCATTTCAGGAAACGTGATTATTATAAATGGTTTGTCTTACAAGACAAACTCCTCTGTTATTATGTTTTGATTAAACTGACGAGCAAAAGAAACTGTACCTCTCACTTTGATTTTATCATACTTTGATTTTAATTGAAATTATATCCCAAAAATTAAATCTACTGGCGCTTGATCATGGTTCGAAGAATACTTGAAATGGTTGTATTTGACATATTTAATTTTGAATTTTAAAAAAATAAAAGCTAAAACAATCGCATGATACACATCATAACAATATCTAAAACTTTATATCTTTTTAAAACTTATGAATTTATTTTTTGTCCCAAATTTACATTTCAAACTGGGTAGGGGTCGTGTGGTTCATCCAAATATTTTTTAATTACCCAGCAACTGATGAAAGTTTGGAAACATTTTGAGGTGGGAGTGAGTGAAATATATACAGTATCAGATATACAAACAGTTTTTACAATTTACAATTACATGAATTAAACAAGTTCAGTTTACTTCCTTTGGTTTCTCAGTTTAGGAACGTCGTTATTCTTGGTTGTTGAACATGGTGGAATATCGGGTAACAATAGGTCCCCAAAATTGTACTTCTAAGGATGGGGTTATATTGGGTGCAGTGGTCCAGGCTGGTCAGGCTGTGTGCGTGTCATGGATGGTTACTCATGTTGTCTAACAGGGCGGTGGGGTAGCCTAATGGTTAAAGCGCATTGGCTCGTCACGCCGAAGACCCGGGTTCGAATCCCCACATGGGTACAATGAGTGAAGCCCATTTCTGAATTGTCCCCCGCCGTGATATTGCTGGAATATTGCTAAAAGCGGCATAAAACCAAGAGCTTAGTCAGTCCAGTCAGTCTAGCATTGCTTGGTCTGCACCAGCGGTATCGTTTACAAGCGTTAAAAGCATTGATGACGGCGACGTTGAGGAACGTTCGCTTTCGCCATGTTAACTCACGTAATAATTATCCTCGGTTTATCCAGTGTATTTTACCTCCCGCAGTTCGCTTATATACCCTGGACTCATTCGTCGCAGCCCATAGCTTACTTTTCTTTGATCCCAGTTCAGCTTACACAGCGTAAATGATGACTACCAGATCTACTCATTCTGGAAGGAACTGATAATTGTGTTTTAATTATGTTTGATTTTTTTTGGTTGCATGTGACCTTTAAGCTTGCATAAAATTATCTCTATTGGAAATAATGAAAGTTTTGGAAACGTTATCCGTATTTCGGATGTTTCAAGTTTAGAAATGTACTATTCAGATTGTAAATAGCATTATTGTTTCTTTCAAATCTGTCGTGCCTAGTGTTTGACGGCATTCAAAGTCTCATTGTTCAGAGGCCATTTCCTCACTTTCGTCTCATCAATAGACAACGGTTTCCTGCCAAATGTGTTCAATCTTTTCATTCAGCCCACTGGCTTAATACGACGGAAGATGGCCCGTATGACAATTACAAAACGGAAAACACAAGTTCCTGGTGGGCCGCAGCCAATACTGTTTGTACCAGATCAGGCGGGCACCTGTTTGTACCTCGGAAGCAAAATAGCCTGGATGATCTGACCAACCTACTCGATGAGAACAAGGTGTACTGGGTTGGCGGCTTTCAGTATTCGTCTTTGATATGGACAGGTAAAACAGGTGAAACATCACCACAAACAATACTACTACTACTGCCACCACCATCAACATTATACCATCACTACTACACCGTTATTATTATTATGTTTTACAGATTAAAGATGGAAATGCAGCAGAGAGGGTTCGGGTGATCCTGGCACAGTTAGGCTGGTAAGGCTCATCATCAGCTCAGGGCCCTCGCCCCCTCTACACGCAGCCCAGACAGAGAATGGGACTTATCCCAGGAAACACTGCCTAGTCGAACCCACCAAGAACGTTCCGGAGACTCCTCAACACTGCAGCCTTCTGCATTACCCGGAGTATCAGAAGGGCTGTGCTCCCGTTGGAGAACCCGTTGGACCACTACTACTACTACTATTAGTACTACTACTACTACTACTACTACTACTACTACTACTACTACTACTACCACCACCATTTCTATCACCACCACCACTACTACTACTACTCCGCCATATAGGTGGCATATTGCTGAGTGCGGCGGGAAAATAAACTCACTCTCTCACTACGACTACTGCTGCTGCTACTACTACTGCTACTATTTTCCACAACCATTACTACCACCACTACCACTACCACTACCACTCTATTACTACTACTACTACTACTACTTCTACTGCTACTACTACTACTACTACTACTACTACTTCTACTAGTACTACTACTACTACTACCACTACTACTACTACTACTACTACTTCTACTGCTACTACTACTACTACTACTACTACTACTACTACTACTACTTCTACTGCTACTACTACTAGAACCACCGCCACCACCACTACTATAATACAACTGCTGCTTTATTATCACGCCACCTCATTCCACAACTACTGCTGCTGCTGCTGCTGCTGATGATGATGATGATGTATGTTGTTTCAGCTGACGTAACCAGATACTACAGGAGGCTGGGCGTCATGCTGGATGTGTATGGAAGGCACGTTAAACCATCTACAATCGACGACAATTCTCCGTTTATGTGCAATGTGCGATGTGGGAATAATTCTGGCCTGTTTGGACTCAAGGTACAAAGTACAAAGTTCAAACACTAAATATGCTCGAAATAAACAACGTATTCTCCCCAAGTGAGACTTTCTTTGCAATATTTGTTCTGTGAAGGCTTCCGCTTCTTTAGGCCACAGGGAAAGTTCAAGTTCAATCACAAAATGTTGTTTTACCCAAGTAACCTATTATATATACACATATCGAATTTACTGGGATTAAACTTTTACCCGTCTTTATGCACTTTAAGTAATATTTGTCTGGATTTCAAAAACATATTTCATACTTTCAGCTAGTTGCAGTGCTTTGTTACTAGCTCCATATTTTTACCAAAGAAAACTATTTCGTTGAAGGGACGATCCTGTTACTGCCTTGGAGACGGAAGCAAGCTGCGTGGACTGACCGTTGAGAACATGACACACACAGAGATCCGTTGTCCTGGAGATTACAACGAACTGTGTGGCGATGACAAGCGGATATCGGTGTACGCTGGAGGTGAATATTTTCACACCTGTATCAACAATGTTACGTTCCTATTTTACAGAAAACCATGCCCTATTGTCATACACTTCCAGGCTTATAAGTTGGAACTGTATTTTTATGGAAAAATATCATCTATAATATAATAATGAAATCCCTAAAGAATCCATGTCGACTTCGTCTGATATCAACAACACCGCTTTAGTCGAAATGAGGATACTCTCGAAGATCCTGGAATTCGTGTTAAGGGGCTTTAATGCACGCAGTATTGCTGCCTTGCAGGACTGGGTCTATAACATATTAATGTTTGCCGCATGGGTCTTAATCATTATGTGTAGGAAGATTAATTTTATGTTATAGGACGATGGCCCAGGAGGCTATCCATATATAATATTTTTTATTATGCTCCACACTTAGCGTGTTTACGACATCGTGCCATATTCCGGTATCAACAATCCGGGTCGTAAACATGATATGATGCTCATTGTCTTATCACATCCTTTTCCTCTACACATGTTTCCGACATCGTGCATCTTTTGGTGCATCTTCGGGTAACTGAAACTATTATCCTCAACTTAGGAAGCCGATACTCATATCGTGTCCTTTTAATTTTCCATTGTTGCAGATATGACAAGTATATCAAGCAGTGGAACCTGCGGCTATGTGAGGAAGATATCTGACAGCCATGTGAAATCACAACTTCATCTGGATGACGACTGCACTAAGAAGAGATTCTATGCCTACAAGGAACAAACAGGTTTAAACGGAGAAATGTTTCTGTATGATACAGTATTGTAAGAGGACGTTAGATGCAAATTAATTAAACCTGAGTAATTTTCAGTAATCAGGAAGGCATATTTACCCATGATATTGAACCATCATGTCCTATAATATTACAGTTTTCTGGAATTTTCATGTCGAAATAACGGGATGATAATCTAGAAGCGAACATGTCTTGTCACCTTACAGTAAATAATAAAAGACACCAATAAATACACATCTGCGTTCGTCGCTTTTGGTATTGAGACGATGGGGTAGCCGGAAACCCGATTTCGATTCCCACGGCGTAAAACTAAACTCACTGGTTGGGTGTTAATGTATTGCTAAATATTGTTGTGTTGTACTCTTAGTGGTGGTGGTGGTGGAATTGGGTTTAACGTCGTGCTTGAGAATATTTCGCTCATATGACGACGTGCATGCATGTGTATGTGTATGTGCGGCTGCTTGTACTAGCCCAGACTGAAGCTGGTTTTATAGTGCTAGCCCACTGAGATACCATGCCTCAGTGAAGCATGAATACCCCACTCAGACACATTATACTGACTCCAAGCCGACCAGTCCTTGTTGTACCCATTAATGCCGAGCGCCAGGCAGGGACCAACAAGTACCGAACCCGCGACCTTCCACACTCCGGGCGGACGCTCTAACCACTACACCACGGAGGCGGTCTGTACTCTTAGTATATCTAAGAAGCATCCATGTTGTATTGAGCCCAAATTAGTAATTGCAGACAAATCGTTTGACAAAACTAGTGTTTGAGTGACATTCAGACATTATATTGTTGTCGAGTACAATAACATATACATAAATCCGCCTTCGCTCAGCAATACACAGAGTTCCAAATGAATGATTTAGATGTACTATCTTCCTAATTTTGATTCCCAGGAGAGACAAGCATGGGGAGTAGGCTGAGGTGTCGTGGAGGCGTGTGTGTGAGTAATACAACTGAATCATGGACGGACGCAGTCTGGAAGACCCGTGGATTACTGAAAGTAACAGACGCGAATAGAGAGAGTCTGTACTCTGCCATGCATTACCGTGATTACTGGATCGGACTGAGGCGGCGCCAAGAATACAAATGGATTAATGGTAATCACAAAATAGTTTTTTGGTAAGTAATTGGATGGGGCAAGGCAAAGTGTTCACAATTATAGACTTCGAGAGACATATTGTGAATTCTACTGAAACTGACGAACTTTGGACTGTGGAAAGTATGTCGATATCTTCGTAGTTCAAGACAGAGTGCCATAAGGATAAGTAGGATTCCACCAGTAAAGGATTCTGAGACGGATTTGAAGGATTCTGAATATATAACGAATCTTTATGTGTAGATTAGGGACTACAGGCGCTGTGTATTTGTTCATTTACTACCATTTACTGCCATTCAAGTACTGCCTTCTTGCTAGCATGTTTCATGTCGTCAATCATGCTCAAAGTACTACTAATATCTGTGCAATTCATTAGACAGTTATTAATACACAATTCGAACCCACACAAGACAGTGTATATTCATGAAGTAATCGAACTTGTCCAATTGATGATATATCCAATTTGCATAGATAACCATGTGCTGTCGATGAATAAGATGTGTGTGGTGTCCTCCCATTTGTGAGAACTCCCAGTTGTGAGACACATTAATTAATGGTTCAGTGCACATAGGTGGTGTTTCCACATACCTACAATGAAAGTGGGATCAGCCCAGTTGTTGAAGAGTACCAACAGGAGTCATTGATGAGTAGATTAATGAAATAGATTATCAAAGATTCTATTTACACAGAAGAAATAGACTCTTATGAAGTTTGAAAGTCATTTTGGTTTAAACATATTTTATTATTATTTATGAAAATGAATGGGATTGGTGAGCAAGCATTACTGCTTATGTTAACACGGCTCCCATGCAACATTAAATACAAAATGAAATGGAGGATGTGACGTCATCGATATTGACTATTGCATAAATATATTTTTAAGTATACATCAAATACAACTATTCTCTAAGTAGTCATAATTAGAGAGTTTCAGTTGTGGTTGTCTAAGAAGCTATTGTAGGAATATAAATCAATCATGAAAAGGTTGTTGAGTTAATTTAAGTATTTTCCTGAGAAAATTTGAAGCGTTGTGTCTTGGTGATATAATCGTGGACAGATTCAACTATTTTCATGCTTTACACTAGGAGTAAATTCTTTGTTTCCGTTCAAAATGGTATCCAGGTTATAACGGGGAGTGCCGGGTAAAAAGGATTTGGCATTATAAGAGGCAGTTCGACTGTAAACTTGTATTTCAGAGTTATTCAAACTATATCTTGTAGTTTCGGAGAAGGATGTAAATCTGAGTAGGTAAATTAATTTCTCTTTCAAATGATCACGAAGTTCCCTACACAAAGTGTATGTTAATCAATTTATCTTAGTAAGTTTCATTAAGATTCAGTTACATAGCAAATCAGTAATTAGCTAGGGTTAATCCATTCTATCAGACAGGGGAGTATGGTGTGTTTTCTTTGTTAATTACCTACTCCACTGTCTCATAACTGGAAGTCTCACAATTGGGAGTTCTCACAAATGGGAGTAGACCATGTGTGTCAATGAACGTAAATACGTCATTTTTGACAAACCAAGCAAGCAAAAAAACTGAATCGAGGGACAATATCTGATAACAATACAAAGTATAATTGAAAACGCCTCAGGTATACTCAATGGCTTTCAAACTAAGCTCATTGTTCGTCAATATACAAATAAATGTCCAAAGACTTAGACATGTGTTCTGTGTGTTAAAAGTATGTATTATATGTCTACTTGATTTCCTTTCATCTAATTGTCACTTAGACGACTTGACACAACGTTATGTTGACCTCGCGTTAATATAACAACCCGCAGACCCCACGGGATTAAACATAGAATGGTAAACCCATAACGTAAACTCCTGATCCCTCGTGTCCGCTGTAACTGCACAAGGTAGGCATCGCTATGTTCCTGTAATGATAATTGCTTCCGTTTCCACACAATGGCAGACGGGAGGTCGATAAATATAACCCTCTTGATCAACATGTCAGTTTTGTGTCGAGGTCGAAACTTCATCGAGGAGAAGTGAATATCAGTTGTCCAAGGTGGATAAATGATTGGATCAACAACCTCAAGGGAAGTCAGAGATTGTATAACGTTTCACATGTGATTAAAACTTTACCTGACCTTTGGGCCTTTAAAATGCGATGGTAAAGTAACGTTCAGATTCACCAGACAAGGTTTACATTCGGCAGTTAAGCAATGCTTTGTATTTTCATTTTACAGGAAATAGCGTAGCACGGAATATGTCCAGACATTACTTGGACAAGCGATGCCTTGCTGTGCGGAGAGATGATTCCCACGTACACGTGGCTTGGTATCCTTGCTCGGACACCTACAGAGCTGTATGCCAGTCCATTAAGCCGGACAAAACAGATGATGATCGAGGTAACTTCAAATTTCAAATTCAAATCAAGAAATCTCTCCCAAGGTCGTGAAAACAGTTTTTATTATCATGTCCATTTCGATGTTGGTGCGCCGTACAAAGATATTTATGTTGTTGTTTTCTCCCAAACGGAATGAAAAATATGAAAATCAAGAAACTGTGATTTGACCAAGACGTCTAACATTCAGAAATATTCAAATAGCCAGGCCCCTTCTACTGATCAACCCACCTATGATAGAAATAAAAGAAACCATAAATTTCATAGTTCGATCTATGCATAAAGATTCAGAATGACGAATGACTTTTCAAAAGACTTCAAGATAAAAAGGATCACCGCAACTGTCCAATGGTCAACTTCCCCTTTATGTGAAGGAGTATACCAATTCCTCCACTTCATCCTTCTATGAACACTTTATATGCAGTTCCTCATAAAATGTTAATGCATACGACCGGTTTGATGTGTAGTGGCATTGGAATAATTTCATTTCACGACTGTAAATATATTAGTGTCACCATGACACCGGACGTATGTACTCACGAATGATTGAGTAACGCTGTGTATCCATACCTGTGGAGTATTGTCGATCCTACTTTCCCTTTCTTTCAGGCATATACCTAGGCGTGGCAGCGACTATCGTGGCTGTGTTTATGCTGTGTTTAATCGGCGCGGTTATTCACTTTAAGAGGTGCGTTTTGAAAATAAACTCATCAAACAAAATTAAGGATAACCCCAATTCAATATTAACTATTTAATAGTTCAAATTATGATCCATATAATACTTACATATTGAATATTGGGGTGGTTTTAACTTTTGGTTGGGTATATATGTTCTCAAATTATCTCCAAGTGTGTACATTATGATACAAAGATTAAAATGTGAGTTTTAGTGTTTCTATGTGGAAAGAGTAAAGTCAAGTTGAACCTAAAATCAAAGATGTCCGTCAAATTTCAATATGGCCGTTAATTGCCACAATGAGTTTGTTATTGCGAGGTAGAACTATATATCACTATCCACTTTCGACGACTTACGCAGTTTGCATTACCATACCGTTAATACTTGATTGTGATTCATGTGCATATGTTCATAATATTGTCGACTTTAGACGTCTTGTTTGAGAGTTCGAGTAACTGATTTTATGGAAAACGCTTTGTGGCTTTCATTATTGGAAGGGTGTTTTAGCTTTGCGATAGACATTGGTCACAATTATTATTAGTTACCTAAAGTTGAACACATATTTGACATAAGTCATATAGAAAAAGAGGCTCCAGATATAATTGATTTAAAATTATAGATTACACGGATTTAATATTCTTGATAAAATAATGATAGAAATGTAGTCATGAACACAATCTTAAATTTCCTTCCGTTTCTTCTATGTTATTGTAGAAAGGGTCTTTGTTGCTTCAAGGCGAATGACGAGACGGACAGTGCTCATTCCGCTAACTCCCCAAGTCCACTGCACTATTCCCGTGCCACTGTACCTCGACTTCCTGGACAGACAAATAACGTAAACGCCACAGATCGCCACAAGCTTAACATATTAGACGCTGGGGTATGCGATGGGGACGCAGTCTACAGCGTGATAGACGGCCCTGAGTGTCCTGGGTGCTCCGACCCCTACACTGATCCTATCAGAGCAGCTGGTGTGGAGGACGGGGAGTACAATACCACACGACAGGCACACGGACGACGAGATGATAATACATATAATCACATCCGCACAGGATATGACCGTGAGGGTTCTGATCAAGATGGGAATCTGTACCACGAGGTCACGGAGGCCTGATGTCAGGTCTGGGGTGGGATCACCATGTTGGAGCTTGTGTAGTGGACGGGGATGCTTTGGAAAGACCGAGACAAGAGATGACTCATGGTTCTAAAGAAACATCCGATTCATTCAGCAATTTGGCCAGAATCTGCTGAAACCTGTCACAGCAGTACAGATGCGTCAGAAATAATTTGTAATACGGCCTTCGCCAGCAATATTGTATTGTCTTCTGTAGCTAACATATTTTAGATTTACATAGTAGTTACATATTCATAACTGTGATATTCTAGTTGTTTTTTTATTGTCCTTCGTTGATAGGCTTTGTATAATTTACATGTATTTATGGTGAAAAACTTGTTTTAGTCACGATATGGCTAAAATATTGGCGATGTGAGTGTAAATCTTAACTCACTCACTCACCTGTGCCAGCTCACGACTGATCGGGTAAACGGATATGTGTAGGGAATGTGACAATCACCTCCAGATCCGTCCTGACTGTGTAGAGTGAGTGAGTTTAGTTTTACGCCGCATTTAGCAATATTCCAGCAATATCACGGCGGGGGGACACCAGAATGGGCTTCACACCTGACTGTGTGGAACGTACAGGCGAAGCTTACCATTGGAACTCCTGTTTCGTATTGTAAAATGTAATGTTTATTTCATTATGTAGATGAACAGTATACTTTACCTTGCACGAATGCTACCTACTATGACGATATGTTTTCAAATGTGTACGAAATGTTTCAAGAGAGTTGGTGAACCCGAAGTGGCGGGGAATTTGTATCTTGCAGTGCAGTGGTCCAGCACTGACGATGCTGTAAGTCTACTCACAGCTCTGTCGTCTATGAATCCAATGAATGAGGTCCTTGCAGTACGACTGCTTCGATGATTTCGTTCTGCTGAACATCACACCAAGATTCTTCAATTTGTCTTTTTATGTCTGTACTGTAGTTAACTTTGGTAACCAACTACATTTACACTTATCTTGCCTCACACATAAATGTCGTTTTCTGATTGGCTTCGCGCTATTCTACTATTTTCAATGTACCTCGCTTACGAGTACATTTTCTATGTACCCCGCTGGGAATGCCGGACTCATTTGGAACTTCGTAGTAGTAATTCTTTATCTCGAATAATATTGAATCACGTATGATGTACGGAAATTACCGATGTTTTGCGAATGCAAATCGATGGAAGGGAGATAAATTTGTTTTTCTTGTCGTCTTGTCGTCTGGTACTCCATACTATGATCCGATACCCGTGTTTCAAACAGTTCAAAAATACCATTGAGGTGTTTGGAAAAGATAAATACGTTGTTCACTGGTCCCTCGGAGCCCATGGGTTGATGCACCCTCGATGTTTCTTTATGTTAACATAAACAAACATCGAGGGTACATCAGCCCATCTCCCCCTCGAGGCCAGTGAACAACTTATAATGCCCTGTTTAATTGTATGACCCTGAGAGTGTAATGATTTTGTTTCCATTTCGTTTTAATGATTATTGCCTTTGAATTTTCCAACATAAAAGCTGCATTTTCAAGATTCGGTATTCAGTATCAAAGGTCTCCAGCCCAGAGTACATGTGTATATACAGTCAGGTCACACTGCATATCATTAATAATTGTAACGATTAAGTTTCACATCACCAAAAGTAAATGAAGCGTTAGTTGTCTCCTTAGCTGTCTGATTTGTGTACACTTTAAAATATACAGTGCTAAAGATCTGACATAGTATTATCTGTCATAACCTTCTTAAATGTGTCTATTTTACATAAATTACATAAAAAGTACAAATACCTAGTAAAAACTTATTTCTCAACTTGTTATACAAATGACATGAAGTAATAACCAGCACTTCGTCTTCAACTGCAGAGTATATTCAGATTATCAAAACAATATATACTTGTTCTGTTGTCTCTAGTAACTCACCACCGACCTGTTTCAACAGCCAACTTATGATTATCTGAATCCGCTGAGAACATATCTCTACTTTCTACTTTTCAAGCTGCGCTGTTGTGGTACAACATTTATGTCTTTTTTGTGGCAGACAAGTTATGGGAGATCATGTTATCAAGGGTGTATTCCCCAGTTGCATTTTACTATTGTGGCTGCTAAGAGTCCGCTCAGTTTTGTAATAACGTGATAAACATATCTGATAAATGTCCAATATCGATCCAACCTTGGACGACAACAGAAAACACGAACAGGAATGTTATCTACGCTTTTGTACAGGCATGTGTACATAACATCAGACACATCGGAACAGTGAGTGGAGAGTAACGTTGGGGATTATTTGCCTTTAATGTGCCATAAAAACTCTCATGCATATATATTTCTAATTTCATGTTTCAACTTGCGATTTGTGATTTATTTCATTAATCACAGAATAATATTATTAGCTTGCTGTATTTGATATATAGGACTTCATGTATAAACACAAATAAATGTAGCCTTGTTTATTTCTATTTATTACTTGAGTAGGATGGTTTATGTATTCATGACTTTACGTTTTCCATTCATACTCATAGTTGAAACTTGGGCGGTGGGGTAGCCCAGTGATTAAAGCGTTTGCTCGTCACGCCGAAGATCCGGGTTCGATTCCTCACACGGGTGCAATGTGTGAAGTCCATTTCTTGTGTCACCCACCGTGGTATTGCTGGAATATTGCTAAAAGCCGCGTAAAACTAAACTCACTCACATAGTTGAAACTATTGTTATACTTCATCTATCACACAATAGTGTTTACAAACACAAGGCAGCCATTATAGCATTGGTATTGCTTCTAGGCAATGTCACAAGGAAATCCTCAAACACTGAAATTTTCCTGTTTTCCAACTTACTTTCCTTGTTATATATCACATTTGGGTTGGGTTTGTTTGTTGTTTAACGTCGCACTCAGCACGATTCCAGCAGATCACGGTTTCTAAATTTATAGACCTTTGACCAGACAATTCATTGATTGATGGCCTGCCTGTATATCGATCTATGCAACAGGGATACGATGACATGCGTCAGCCAAGTCATCTAGCATGAGCACCTGATCCCGTTATTCGCCTCTCACGACGAGCATGGGTTGCTGAATAAATACATGCGATGAATACTTTTATGTACTTTTATGTATCCATAAAAAAATATCCAGGGTGGGATGGAGGAAGGAGCATGTTTTAACCTACTTGAATCCGAATTCAATGATCCATAGATGTAATTTTCCCTGCTATTTTGCAGGATAATTGAAACTAATGTTTCTGAAGTTGTATATTTACCATGGCTTACTATACTGGGCGTTGTAATAAACAGCAATGTTTATTTGTCCCATATCTATCAAATATAGTGCAGCCCTGTCTATCAAGTCAATAGCATGCAGCCCGTAGCCACCACTAACCTGACAACGTGAGAGTTTTATGTTGACATAACAAAGTTGATAGACATTTGATTCAGATAATCCATTGCCCCAAAATATGTTTTCTGGAGATTAGACACTGATATAGACAGATCAGTTAACGTCCTGGTCCCAGTGCAGGTATATAAACTTCCTAGTTGCAATCCAAGATGGCGTCTGTGGGAACAACAGGATATTACCGCATTTCGTGGATAGTCTTGGTTTTCTTTCTCCCTAATTGTTTTGTCATTGCTGAGAAACTAAGTAAGTGTATACTTTCACCCTTTTTGGTGTTTATTCGTGTTAATATCCTTACTGTTTTTTCTTTTGGGGTACAGGAAACAAAGGTAAATATATTCATATAAATGATTATAAGGGTACTGTCCAAACTTGACACACATAATGACCTACACAGACACAGACACACATAATCACTCACACAGACACACACGATCACACATGATGATCCACACAGACATAGACACACATAATCACTCACACAGACACACACGATCACACATAATGACCAACACAGACATAGGCACAAATTATCAGTCACACAGACACACGGGACCACACATAATGACCAAGACAGACATAGACGCACATAATCACTCACACAGACACACACGATGATCCACACAGACATAGACACAAATAATCACTCACACAGACACACACGATGATCCACACAGACATAGACACAAATAATCACTCACACAGACACACACGATGATCCACACAGACATAGACACACATAATCACTCACACAGACACACACGATCACACATGATGACCCAAAGAGAGAGAGAGAGGAGAGGGGTCTACACTGTCACGTCTATGTCTACAAATTTGCAAATTCTTCGGCACAATGACATAGTCACCTGAGTCGTTTCATCCATACAAGTCGAGTGCTTGTGGTTATATATTTATTTCTTAAAAAATAGCCAGCGACACTAAAATTACGACTGTCACAAGACCTCCTGTTCAGGCTGTGTTAAACCTATCGCAGCGTTATCAGATTCATGGCATAAATTTGCACCAGGACAGAGTGCCCTTTGTAACGGAGGGGAAACACGATGGTGGGTCCCCAGTGACGTCACTATTTATTCAGGGAATTCTCAATACGGGTATGTGTCATATGTATTCTTAAACGTTTTAGAAGGAAACCATTTGAAACCATTTGACAAGATGTAGTACAGCAATGTAATAAAGTTATTTGTGCATATCGTCTGAACGTCAACAAATTACAATGGTAAATGTGAAATATGTACACAACAAAGAATAAAGTTATTTGTGCATATCGTCTGAACACAGAGATCATTCAACGTCAACAAATGTGTCCTCAAAATCACAAGATGTAGTATGCGATACATATTCTATCCCTGAGGCTAGTGAAATTCACACAAGGATATGTACAAAGCAGATGGGCACGATTTTATTCAACAAAGAATAAAGTTATTTGTGCATATCGTCTGAACGTCAACAAATTAAAATGTCCTCAAAATGCGTCCGCGATACATATTCTATCCCTGAGGCTAGTGAAATTCACACAAGGATATGTACAAAGCAGATGGGCACGATTTTATTCAACAAAGAATAAAGTTATTTGTGAAATTCACAACAAATTAAAATGTCCTCAAAATGCGTCGTTATCTTGATCATTCAACTGTTCACGAAATGTAGTATGCGATACATATTCTATCCCTGAGGCTAGTGAAATTCACACAAGGATATGTACAAAACAGATGTAGTATGCGAGAGGCTAATGAAATTCACACAAGGATATGTATGGGTGCATTTCGTCTGAACGTCAACAAATTAAAATGTCCTCATTTTTTTTCAACAAAGAATAAAGTTATTTGCTATCGTCTGAACGTCAACAAATTAAAATGTCCTCAAAATGCGTCGTTATCTTGAAAAACTTATTTTCACTATGCCTATTCACTCCCCGAAAATACACATGCATAACTCTTTAAACTACGATTAACTAATGGTGACACGTTGTTAGCATAGTGATAAAGATCGGAAATCTTCGATATTTCAGTTATTTGTGTATTTTCTGAATATTCTAAATTTTTCTCTTTGCTTATTATTTTCGTAGCTTAATATTTCAACTATATTTTTTCAATATAGGACACACTTTCGATTTCTTTCTCTTTGCTTTATATTTCTATTATTTTCTCGAAATTTCGAGCTTTGCCATTATTTTTGTTAATTTCTGTGATATTATGTTTTGCTCAATGTTTCAAGTTTATTGATTGAGTCGTTATTGATCAAACAGTCATACGTGAACAACACCCCGCCTCGCGTTTTGTGTTTGCGCCATTAAAACAACATCTCTTGTCATTTTCCTAGTTCTTCCTTTTCTTACAAATGCATTACATCAGTCGATACTAATGATCACTTGTTATTTTCCAATATACTTTTCTATAGCGTATATATCAATGAAATTTGCAATTGCAATGGTGCGTTCTGCTCTGTTGGGTGTAAAATATCAGCTGAACATTTACACAAACAAATGTTTTTATTGTCTCTTTGTTTAAAGATTTATAGAGTGTTTACAATTATATAGCAAGTAGGACAGGGCCCAGGCTAGTCTATATCAACTGCCTTGCACGTGACTTATCTTGAATAATAACGCCGGGAAAATCATGTAACATACTGCCAAATACCTATTTTGCTCAACTTGAATCTGAATAGTCTACTGTATGTCTCTATACGTGTATGTTTACACCATCACCATAGGCAAAATGCTGTTATTTGTATCACATCATTATGGACTAAGAAGACACACTAATGTGAACTAATGAATAGACATTACAACTTTATTGACGGTCCATACAGATATAAGGACCTGGATCAATCCAAAAATTTTCAAAAATATTTTTCAATGAAAGATACGTACTAAATTGTAGTTCTGTCTACACCAAAACCTATAAATACCATTTGATGTCAAGGTGTAGTGCTGGTGCATCAGAGTAACGAACAACTGAACTATTGTTATATTTCAGCCATATGGACTGATCCTCATGACAATTATGACACGACTCATACAACGTACAACGTAACGACTTCCGGGTACACCTGGTGGGCTGCAGCACAGTCGGGATGTTCTCAGTTCGGTGGACATCTGTACATACCTCGGTCACAAAGCTTTCCTGACGTTCTCCTTACACAGATGCAGTCTGGGGTCGATTACTGGATCGGAGCAGTGAAATATCCAACCTGGGTTTGGACAGGTAATACTTTGGTTGAATATACATTTCATTGCAGGTTCGTTCTTTTGAGATTTCTTTTGAAGAAGCATTAGATATATATATGTTGTTGTGATCGACAGTATCTGTTAATCATCATATATGCATGCTTAATTACTCGGTTGGTCATTGTACCGATGTACTCTCAAAGGTGTGCTTGTCAATGCGAGCCTCAATGCGAGTCTGTTGACCAGTTGTCCAGATGTATGAATTTTACACAGAACATTTGACTCCAAGCTCTTTCACTATCACAGGATGACCTGTATGGTTAACAGATAGAAGAGGCCACCAGTTATCTACATTTGTTATATCATACTCATAGATGAGTAGACATCCGTTTGTAATCTTTTTTATATATGTGAATAACTCACGACGCTGTTTTCGGTCAACAAAACAGAATTCACCAGTGACCTACAGGTTCGTAGCACCCGTGAAGGTCCGGGTTAGAATGAACCTTCAGTAACCCATGCTTGTCGTAAAAGGCGACTAACGGGATCGGGTGGTCAGGCTCGCATGACACATGTCATTGGTTCCCAATTGCGCAGATCGATGCTCATGCTGTTCATCACTGGATTGTCTGGTCCAGACTCGATTATTTACAAACCGCCGCCATATAGCTGTAATATTGCTGAGTGCGGCGTAAAACTAAACTCACTCACTCACAGGTTCGTAGCAGCAGAGTATTGACTGAAAACTATATCGTTCCTACGATTGAACAACACATATGAAATGGTGTTATTGTAGGAGATGTAGTTCCTAAATCTCAAATAGTGTGGGGCAGTTTAAAAAATATTTTCCCCTGATATATATTTCCTCTTTCATGTTTGAATCTTTTCTAAAACCTGAATCCGGCTTTAATCTACATTTACTCTGACTCTCTTAGAGGAGTATTAGATGTAATTTATGTTCAGTTACCTTTGTTTTTGTTTCAGCCGATCAATCGACTCTGTACACTCATGTTGGATACATGCGTATATCGACATATTGGCCAATGTTCCATCTGGAGGGGAATTGTGTTTTGACCTGCCATCAGCATTGCAAGGAGCACTATAAAACAATTGGACTTCGGGTGAGCATCAAGGAATCGATAAAATCCTTTGGTAATATACCAAACACTGCTTATCAGTATATCCAATTGAAGACGCAGAGTCTAGTGAGTGATTGATAACAATTACAATACTATGAATACTAAATGCGTATGTTGATTAAAAATGTGTTATTTTGCTTGAAAATGTAAACATGGCATACAGATTATCCAATGACCCGTTTTCACTGTCCAACATTTTGTCACTGGACGTCCAGCTTTGGCAGAAACAAGAAACCTTGCCATGACACAGCAACTTTATAATTTCCATCATCGCCATGTTTGCAGTTATGACACACATGCCAATTCATGGTATGCCCTAGAATATAGAATCGTTTTGAGTAGGTCAGTGAACTGCTTCAGACGCGTCCATCCAATACATTTGACTTGTGCTTACTTTCTAAAACTCATGAAATCATTTATTCTCTGTCTTGCACTAGATTCATAGAAATATATTCACACCGTCAGACTACAGACGGTGCTACTATTTTTGATGTAATCTTCACTGACGATTCCGTTAGTCAGATCGAACACTGTTATCATATATACAGCAAAATCGACAAAACCATTTCCATATTCTCAAGACGATTGTACGATTCCGACTTAGCTATACAAGCAGTATATGCGTTTTCAAAGGATGTTATTCGTCATGTGAATGTTTCATTATTATTTAATGGACATTTTAGCATTTCGTTTCATAGTGTATCACTTCGGATGGCCCATACTTTCCTTTGTCTTTAAAGGGAAAGGAATGCTACTGCCTCGAAAATCATTGGCCTGCTGAGCAGTCTGATCATTCTCAAGTAAGATGCCCTGGTAACTATGGCGAATTCTGCGGAGACGACAATGGAGTATCTCTGTACAAATTAGGTGATTTTGAGAATTGTGTCTTGCCAACAAATTCACATCCAATAACCCAACCAATTCACATCCACATCATAGTTACAACATTGTAGATATTTGACATGACAGTTATTCGTGTGATGGCAACTGGATTTATTGTACACGACAAACACATCTGCCATTCATTATAGATAACGTTCGACTACGTAAATGGAAGAAAGTTATATTCTGCCTTTTGGGATAGTCTCTGCTAAACCTCAAATGTTCAAAAACATGAAGTTTAAGCAAAGGATGTACTGCAAAGAATGAATGTATTATTATTCACGTCCAGGTACTGTCGGTTCTTGATCATTAAGAACTTGCACACATCGTTATGAAAAACAAAAACAAAAATAAAACATCATATCGTAGCATTTATACATTTGACTGAACTGAGTGAGTGAGTTCAGTTTTACGCCGCACTCAGCAATATTCCAGCTATATGGCGACGGTCTGTAAGTAATCGAGTCAGGACCAGACAATCTAGTGATCAACAGCATGAGCATCGATCTACGCAATTGGGAACCGATGACATGTGTCAACCAGGTCAGCGAGCCTGACCACCCGATCCCGTTAGTCGCCTCTTACGACAAGCATGGATTATTGAAGATCAATACTGTAACCCGGATCTTCACGGGTCTTGACTGAACTGAATTGGTCAACAGTCTTATCATAAGTTCACACAGGGTGAAGATATACACACATACATGAAATTACATCAAGTGCAGAGGGAACTATTCTGGTCCAACATCTGGGCATTCGGTTTGGAGCATCGGTGGTTGCCCTGCAACTGTAAGCAACACCTTCTCTGTTCTAAAACGTGTTATGTACATCCGATATATCCGTCAATCTGAATGTAATGCCTGTAATGACAATCACTGGATTGTCTGGAGAATCCCCAGCCTGCTGTCATTTAGCTGAAATAGTGCTTAGTGAGACGTTCACAAACATTAAATCAATTCATAATATTGAATTGGACATAATTATCGTCCTAGCATAATTTGGTAATGTTTCACGAGTTTTCATATTGAGATTTCAAGAAAAGGTTCCATTTTAAATATATGTTCATTTACAGTGATCTTCATCTTCAGTATAATTCATTGTACAGCGTAGACAGTTTTCTTTTTGTGATATCACCATGTTGTTTATACTTAGGTGTCCTGAATTTCAACAATATCCTTTCAAATAATCATTTTCAGGATTTAGTTAATCCAAAGAACTAAAGAAATTCAGAGGAGACGACAGTTGTATATCTGGGTACAAATTAGAAGATTACAGAGAACACGACTTATGGAAAAATGATGATTTAACAAAAAAGGCAATCCACATCTTGCAATAATATGTGGCTGATGCTAATCCCTGGAAAAGATGCTGGTTCTACCATCCATCGCACATATCTTAGAAGTTCTTGGTAAAATGACCGGTTTTGATATGACGGTAACATGGTCATATGTACAGTATATGTGCTCGATTAGCATTTATTATGAGTAGTTTCAACTTGCAATAAAAGTGTAAATAACGTTTGGTTCCAAGTGATGGGTTATGTTGGAGTGTAACAGTAGCACAGGGTGTATATTGTCTGATCCAGTTGAACTGTTAAAATGTCAAAATCCCTACAACAGTTGGGTTGTGTGTTATGTTTGAGAATACTATGCTCGATCATTATTCATATCTTCAGAATATACAAATAAAAGATAAAACGTGTTTGCTCCTTAAAATGCTACAGCTCTCACTTAAAGAATAATATCAGTTTTTTTATTTTCAGAAGACTTCATTACTATTCCAAGTCCGAGCGATAGATGTGGTTTTGTCAGTGAGAGCACAAGAGAGTCAAGGACGATCTCCTCCTATCGTTGTTATTATCCTTATACATCTTATTACCTAACCGTATACCTGGAAAACAACTGTGATGTCAGAAAGCGGAAAGCTTGTGAGGGTGAGTGAGTGAGTTATTATTTAACGTCACATCGGCAATATTTCAGCCATATCGTGACGAAAACTATTAATACAATAAAAAGTGAAATGAGAACATTTGACATTGAAATGGAATATATGTACGTTATAAAAACCTGTCGACGAAGGACAGTAAAACAACTAGAATATCACAATTACAACTAAAACTAGTGTGGAGAGTTAAAACTAATAGCACTATTTGGACAATACAATATAAAAACAGGCTATAGATCGCCAACACCAGAAGGTAGATCACGAAATCTTGTGAGGACTCACACTTACGTAAGTCAACTGTATTTACGCTGGTCAGAGAAATAAGATGTTTGTCACTTCAGACTGAACATGTTTTTCCACGGTAACATCATTTTTCAAAGAACGTGATCCTATTTGTCAAGTATCTACTAAGGTATTTCTAACACCTTAAATTTTCAGCCATGTAAATGCATGGGTATGAATATATCCTTCTATCAGTGCATCAAAAGTATTTGTAGATCTAGTAAATGAAGAACGTTGATTAGGGTAATATATTTACAATTGTAAGATTCGGTTTACAACTTCGATGCATTTCTATGTTTATACATACGTTTTACCAATGAACAGTTTATTTTAAACTCTACTTTTAACGATCGATGCCGTATTTGTTATTACAGGTGATTATTGGTACTGGACATGCAGTCGAAATATATGCGTATCAGGACAAAACGATACCTTTGAAAATTCAAAACGCAATTGTAATTTGGTACAAGTAACCCGTTCAAACATCGACGACCTGTGTCATGCAATAGCGCGGAACAAGTTCTGGAGTTGGCCTACGTACTGGATTGGCCTACAAAGGAAGTCCGAACAGAAATGGATGAACGGTTAGTCCATTCATTACATATAAGTTAAATCAACTGAAATCACTTTATATACAGAAGATTTTGTTCCTTCTGTGAACACAAACATCTACATGTATGCATTGATACTACAACACCTTCGTAATATGAATGCTTGCTCGTTATCACCGTGTAAATACCCATTCCTGATTTTTCTAAAACTGCAAAGTCGTTACGAAATTGATAGTATCTGATTGCAAAATCTATCTCTAGGGATAACAACTTCATTATTGCGAGGGTGCGATGTTTTCATACAGATTCGTTATTTGTATCACTTGCTTGATAGCGGTGTTAGTACGTACACCGAAACGTGGCACTCAATGCAATAAAGAAGTTGACTATCCATAGAACATGGTTTTCCTTCATCTATACAACTTCTAAAATGTCTCTCAAAGAAGATTCTTGTACCGTTGTTATTCCTGCTTGACAACGGTAGCACGAATTTGTATTGAAACGTCGCACCCTTGTTATAAAGAAGTTGTTATCCATAAAGTTTGTCAATTTCGTACTTTCCAACTTTCCAATGCCATTCATAGAAGAGGGTAGTATCGAAACTGACTTGTAATGTATGACATTCCCGCCTTTACACAACGGAATGTGTGCCTGGGGATAGTCAAGACTGGGTATTCCTTTGCACTGACGTTCTAAATTTAATTTTACTGCTCGATGTTTCTGCTGGTGGTCTTAAGTCCCCGAGATTCATCATAAGCTCATCTACAAAAGATTTGTTTGGTCCAAGACATTAAAACTGAACCAAATGTACTGTCAAACAAATTTATTTCCCAAACGTTTTTTCTTCTTTTCTTATAAGTGTCGGAATCTCTGTACTTCCCAATTATCTAATTAGATTTTCCTGTTTTATCGATCACTTGATTGTCTGGTTTGTTTTACAGGCCGCAGTCGCACGGCAGGAGCACTGCTGTGCAGCACCAGACCTAAAAAAGAACATTTTTTCGGCACATTTTATGATAGGCGGGTTCTACCACAGGCCCTCGTGTCTTTGCGAGGATTAAAGATTTAAAAAAAACCATATGAACCTTTGAGATGACCCCCGACTCGAAATGCTTCACAGTACAATACATCATGACAAGTGTATTGTACTGTGAAGCATTCGAGTCGGGGTCATCTCAAAACAATATTTTTCAATCATTAATTCTCGCAGAGGCACGAGGGCCTGTGGGTTTTAACAGTAGGGTAGGGCATGCTTTCAATTTTCGCAAACCGATTTTCTATGTTTCATTTATATCATCCTCACAGCAACTTTTCTCTTTACACTAAACGAAATTTGCTGTGAGGATTGTCAAGATTGTTGTACTGACGTTCTACATATTCACAATGTTCCACCAGGTAGTGATATGGTGCTCGATGCCTCCGACTACTATGATGACGTGTTACCTCTATGCCTGGCGGTATCTAAAACGTACGAAGGAGTACAGTTCCACTGGACAAAGTGCCTGGAAAGATCCATGTCGATTTGTGAAATATGTAATTATTAAATTTATCTCTAATTTGCAACCTTATTCATAATTTCCATTAACGTGTATACATCGATTTATTTCCAGCTCAGGAAAAGGACTATTGTTTACTATTCACATGCTATTGAGCATGTATACAATTTCAGAAGAAACAAATAGTCTATGACAAACATTTACGTATGACCATCGCACACGGTGTGTTTGCTTTTTTCTTAGTGAAAGTCAGAACAACAAAACCACCAACTAGGATGTCGACAAAAACGACCAACACGTCTCCTGGGATGTCGACACACACGACCAACACGTCTCCTGGGATGTCGACACACACCACCAATAACAGGCCTTCTTGGATGTCGACACACACGACCAACAGGCCCTCGCCGCCAAGCAGTGGTCCTTCGTCTTCAACAGACACTGTGCTACCCTCTTCCACCAACGCCACATCCAAACATCATACTGAACCTGTTCCCGCTTCTGTTCAACAACCCAGCAGCAACACTGGTAAAGGATATTCTTTGATCCTAACATCCTCAGTGAACAAGACTTACAAACATCAATTGATAACGATAACCTTAGATTCTTATAAACCGTTCATGATAAAATATAGTGCTTTTTACCCTGAACTCGCAAAGAGATTGGTATTGTTGGGTAAATAAGTCGCCGAATCGTGTAGCTGAAATACATCGAATCTGTTCAAAACGGAAGAAAGGTTGTATACACAAGCCCGTTAACATTGTTCGTGTGTCACGCTTATGGTCAAAATACCAACATCGACGAGAAAATGACGTTTAAGCTTTCACTTTTGCACATAACCTCGATTAAATGGATTTTAAGACTGTCAACTGTAGCAGGTCTGTTATAAATATAGATACGATACGATATCATTAGTTGAAGAAAGGTACAGTCACATTTTTGTAAATTATGGTCAAAATTACATACCACAGTACACATATCTTCATGTTATTGACGAAGTGACCACATTATATCTCTGTTAATTGTGTCGGAAGGACCGAAGTGTTCGTGCCAGGTTTCTCTCAGAAGAAAAAAAAATGTAATCCCATACGAGGTTTATGGTTTTAAATTGCAATATTGGGCCAAGCTCAAGAAAGAGAAATGTTTATTCTGTGTTGCCTTTCCAGGTATCTATGTTGGTTGTTCCATTGCCGCTGTGGCCGTTGTAGTTTCTCTGGTATTCCTCCTTATATCATACAGGTATGCAAACATTTTCACAAATGTTACATTGTCAGATCAATTGAAATACGTTACAGTATTAACGACAATTGTCCCGGATAATAATTATTTAGAAATGTAGGTATATCAGCGCTTAAAGCTGAAATATATTTGCTGGAACTGGTTTTAGCAATGATCCGAATTATGTAGAGAAATATTTTGGATGGAAAGCATATCAGTCGCCTGCAAATATTAGTCAGTCGTCATTTTCAAGGGGAAGTGTAGTAGTCTAGTGGTTAAAACGTTCGCGGGTTCGATGGGTCGACATGGGTACAATGTGTGAAGCCCATTTCTGCTGTCCCCCGCCGTGATATTGCTGGAATATTACTAGCCTCGTAAACCTAAACTCACTCACTCACTCACTCTCTCTTCATCTTCAGACAGCGGTTTCTGTGCTTCAAAGATAAAGGCTCTGTTCCATCTAGAGGACACGTTCACTTCATTGCTGGTGTGGACAATGCCACTTACTCAGGAGCTGTTGCTCCACCAGAAGACCAGGGCGGCATTAACATGTCTGTGTCCCCAAACAGTTCTCCACATTACTCAGTCATTCCTGTAGCCACAGTGACACCAAACAACCACGTCAATCTGAAGTCGTCACGACGGGACACCGAGAATCAGAAAGATTACTACAACATTAAGCCTGGGAATAACACTTTGAGTGTTACCGGTTCCAGTTCCCAAGAATTGACAGACGATGGCCATTATGTAGTTCCCAAAGGGAGCTTGAGTAAAATAACACAGAAACACCCGAAGTCCACAGAACCTACTGCACACTACCATACTACAGATCAGCCACACTACGCTGTCCCTCATTCCAGGGGCGTTGACGATGTTGATGGAACAAGAGGAGATGTTGGCGATGGCATCTATCATCTTGCTGGAGAGATCGGGAAGAAGGATGATGTGTATAGCCTTCCTAGTGTCATACACGTACCGAGCAGAGATACGAAAGATGTAGGAGCTCCCTATATCACACTAATCCAAGACACAGCCCCCTTAAACACACGCCCTGGAACTGGTGAATATGACCGAGTGATTCATCCTTCTCAAAGACATGACTATGACACAGTATCACGGGACCGTCGTATGATGGTCGGTGCCGACACGTACGACCATTTGGGGCACGCAGACCATGATGTTGACGACAGTTACGACACAACACGACACCAACAACAACGACGAAGACTGGATGACTACAGCCATACAGATGTTCTCAACGTTGTATTAGAAGATGATGATGACGACGTTGATGACACCTACCATTATATCAACGAGACGGAGGAGGACGAGGTGGAGGCAACGCATGGAAATGTTCAACCCGTCTATATCAACACTGGAAACTCTTATGCTCAAGCTGCAGATGATGCTGATTACTACAATTTACCTTTCGTTACCGACGCAGGGGGTGACATCTCAGACGACCCTGGTAATCAACAAGACGACAAGGTATACAGTCAAGCAAGAACAGTCTCTGATGCTTGAAGAACATCTGAAAGATTCACACAAGAAAATGACGTTGAAACGTCTATCATTCATTGTTGAGATAAAGTTTCGGTTTCCTTTTTGTTTGTTTCCATGGTGATATATTGTCTAATATACCCATAGAAACGAATGAGGGACCACGTGAAAGTACATGTGTTCCTCTTATTTATTTCCAGAATTTCACTCACAGTGCAATATATACTGTGTGAGGAAACCTGGAAAAGAACTTGCACTTCCATGTGATCCCTTATTCGTTTCCATGAGAATATATAGTAATATATAACATCCTGTAGCTTTTGGATTAATTTCCCAAGATCAGGGTGGGCGCTTCATTTATACGCAGCCTCAAACGGGAAGCAGTCGGTGGCATCCTATCTCGCACGTATTGATGTATTGTATATGTTTTATAACGATATTCGTGCACGTTTAATTAGATGCACTCTGTTGCATCAGAATGACTCAACTGAAGCACACAATGTTAACATTAGGCCTTGTAAATTTGACTTAATGAAACACTGAAACCCTTAGTCTCTCGTACAGACCCGGAAGCAAACATATCCAAGAAAGCCCACACAAGTCTAGAAAATGTGGAAATGAAGAAAGTCTCAGGGCACATTTTCATTATACATGTATATGTATTTTTTTTTTACTGTGAACTTTTGTCAGTAAAATATGTTCATTTCAGAGACTAGTTGTTAGTCTATGAAACCCTGTAAGCCGGACGTTCCTCGTGAATCGTCCGTATTACAAAATGTCCTGATTAATTCTCGATTACACAGTAATGACCCTGTATTCTATATAATCGTTACACACAGACTGGTCAGAAAGGAAGCATATCCGGGAATAATTATTTGCTTGATATACAGAGATGATATTTACCGGCTGCTGTGATGTATAACCTGAATAGTACTGAGTGCGGCATAAAGTAACATTATCACTCAATACCACAGGTGTACCTACTGCAGCAGAGTTCGGTGATGATAAACATTATAAATCACTTATTACCGTGTGAACATGTTTGTGTACAGGTGGGTGGGGTAGCCTCGTGGTTAAGACGTTCGCTCGTCACGCCGAAGACCCGGGCTCGCTTCCCCACATGGGAACAAAGTGTCAAGTCCATGTCTGGTGTCCTCCGCCGCGATATTGCTGGAATATTGCTAAAAGCGGCGTGATGCTAAACTCACTCACTACTTGTGTCTATGTACATTTTTCTCACTAAACTCACGATTTGTTATGTGAGCATGTTTCATGTTATGCAAGGAGCTCTACAACGTGTGCATATTCATTGTGTCTACAGTCTATATTCACTGTTACATATATTGTCACGTGCATCATTGCGTGCAAGAAACATCATTATAAACTAAACGAATTTTGGATCTGGATGTATTTTACTCACGTTACATTTCTTTTAAGATATGACTTCTATACTTTTTGCGAATACACGTTGCACACTCTTCATAAAATTCGTAACACGCTCGGTAATGTTTGCTCCAAAATGTGCAAAAACCCGTTTTCAACTTTGTATTTTAGTTCCTTATTCTACCTTGCTAAAACTAATCATTTGTGCTATGCCATCCGTAAACAAAACTAACCGGTTGTGCGTGTGAACTGGGGCCATGGAGTTATCTCCCTTGGTACACTGAACTTTTCGTTGTGTGTTTTCGAATGGCAGGTAGGCTACACACAAGGTCTAGATAATCCATTTCCATGTATTCTGTATATACATGACTTTTCACTTTGCGTCATACTGGAAGCTATGCATATCTAAGTCTATACAATGTGAATGCCGAACACGTCTCGCTAGTAGTCTACTAGTTGCGGTTTCTTAGCTTTATTGAAACATAGACTCCATAAATGGCTTTGTTTACACGAAATCACTTTAACATTTGTACATAAAACTGAAAACTATTATTTTGTACTACTCTTAATTTACCGAACAGTAAATAAACAACGCATCTTGAACTTCATCATTGTTTGATTAATCTGCGTTTGTCCTTTTATTACCAAAGGTAATTTTGTATCGTAGTAAAGAAAACTAACACCACACTCGGATTAGGTGACTTGGTTCATGGATGTCGTCGTATCCCGCCTGCGTCAAATCGGTGCTCATGATGTCAGTCACTGGATTCTCGTGTCAAGACTCGTTAGTTACAGCTTGAAAACGCAGTTAAACAGCAAACAATGAAACGTGTTGCTTACCTCGTACATTAATGTAGAAGGCAGGGGCGGATACAGCTTTTGAGAAAGCAGGGATGCGCAGTTCAGAAAGGGGGTGGGGTGGGGGTGCACAGTTCATTTTCACCCATTTCCTCGAGAGTTTCAATGGTCATTTAATAACCTTTCAGCACAAAGGGGTGGGGGTGGGGGGTGGAGAACCCCTGCACCCCCTCTAGATCCGCCTATGGAAGGTAGACTTTATATCTCTGAGTAGGACACACATTCATATATAGGAATAATATATATTCTCATCTTTAAGCCACTAAACAAACACCAATCAGTTGCAAGACCAGATCGGTGAACATCCAAGGATAAACAAGGTCTGCTTTATGTGCATAGTTTCAAACCTAAAGGTCTGCTTCGTGTGCAGACACCGTTTCTACACTTTCTAAATATACACTATATACACTCATGCGCGTGTATCTAAGCGACACGGATTAACTCGCTAATATAATCACTATAACTCGCTAATATAATCACTATAATCCGTGTAAATAAGGACGTGTTACAACTCGGTCTGTAGAAGATATACTGTCATACGGAATGGGTACCTATGTTCGGTGTGACGCCGCTTTGAATACTTAAATTTACCTTTTATTCCGCCTCTGTTTGATGTAGGAGTGACGAAGGTGCAGACTGACTGACTGACTGACTGAGTTTAGTTTTACGCCGCTTTTAGCAATATTCCAGCAATATCACGGCGGGGGACACCAGAAATGGGCTTAACACGGTGCACACAAGGTAGGGATAGGAACCCACCAGAATCCAGATACCGCTAAGGTACGCAACTGTGCAGAGAGCATTGCATAAACTTAGACCACAGGGTCACCATTGGCTAAGTATACTGAAGTACTACATATCTGGGACACATTGCGCTGAAATACTATAGTATACATATCGAGCACACTATTGTCAGACAAGACATATATCTGGGATACATTACGCTGAAGTACTACATATCTAGGACACAATTCACAGACAGAGACATATATCTGGGACACATTACGCTGAAGTTCTACATATCTAGGACACAATTCACAGACAAGACATATATCTAGGACACATTTCGCTGAAGTACTATATATCTAGGACACATTTGGCAGACAGAGACATATATCTGGGATACGTTACGTTGAAGTACTACTTATCTAGGACACAATTCCCAGACAGAGACATATATCTGGGACATATTACGCTGAAGTATTACATATCTAGGACACAATTCGCAGGCAAGACATATATCTGGGACACATTACGCTGAAGTATTACATTTTGAGGACACAATTCGCAGACAAGACATATATCTGGGACACATTACGCTGAAATACCACATACCTGGGGCACAGTTCGCACAAGTGAGACATATATCTCAACGCATCACGCATATCATGCAGTCGATGTTTACCATTCTGAATGTACCCAGGACCTACCCACGTGTTCATCTTTTCGAACAAACACCTATGATTCTTTCAAATACATTCTGCAGTAGACCTGTAGTCAGCTGTATTGACTAAGTCGCCAAATATTTCACAACCTTGTTACTGTAAACACCGGAGTACTCATCCCCGATGCAAGCAGTCACGTACTTCAATGCGCACTACCGTGACAATAAATCTACGTATACAAAACAGGTTCACTGAAGTGGCAACGCAGTGTGCACTCTACGTCAGTGCTCGTTCCCCGCGTTCAGCCTTGTCCTCAGCACACTTCCTTCCCAGGAACAAGATGGTGAAGTCGAGTATTCTCGCCTCCCGCGACAAGTGGGTTGTTGGCCTTATCTTCCTATTTTATGGATGCCACAATACTCTTGGTGACATATCTAGTAAGTATATTCAGATAATATGACTTTGCATCAACAATTCACTAATTTAACTGAGAAAAACACAATCATGGTTTAGATATAATATGTTTATATACTCAGTAACGGGGTTTGCAGTGGTTAAATTTAATTCAACATTTTTAATAATTGGATGTTTTTTTCAATCCTTATGGCAAGGGAATGTGATATTTTGTGTAACTAAGGCAACGACACTTCGTCGTGCTGCAAGAACAATAGTCTTCAGGACAGGGACATTGTCAAAAGCTGATTTTGTATTTTTAAACGAAAACGTGTACAATAAAATGTATCTAAAACATTAGAAAATATAATTCATATATTTGAATACCTTATAAATATTGCCAGTGTTCACCACGATTGACAAATGTCAAAAATATACTTTACATAAATATAAAAGGAAATTTAATGCGTTGATTCAAAATCTATTTGCATCAAACGGATTACCACAAAGTGCCCTTGATACCAACCCTACATTCCAGACTGATAAACAATATGTTCGGGGGACCAGAAATACAAGTCTGTGTTTTGTTTTGTCAATAGCTGCTCAGCGGTCACTCTACCCTGACCCCCTCGGGCTACTTTCCCTTAAGCAATATTATTTGTAACGTGTCTTGTTCTGTTCGTTTCATATGCTTATAAAATCGCAGTCGAGCTCATAAACCAGGAGAGACACATTCCACCGAAATATCCATAAACCTTTTGTAACAGAAGAGATTACTCACACCGACAAAGGAGATATAGGTACATGCGATGTAAATATGTACAAAGGCAAATACTGTGACTAGCCGTCAGGGTCTCCTTCTCCTCAATAACATTCTACGCAGGGGCGGATACAGTTTTTTTGAGAAAGGGGGGTGAACACTATTCAGAAAAGAAGGGATGCACACTTCATTTTCACCCGAGTTTCAATGGTTTCAATGGTCATTTAACATTTAGCCTTTGTAATTTGATGTAATATCATTTGATATCACTGTTACTGTTATCACTTATTTGAGTGGCATTATAGAAGTTGGGAAGTACAATATGGTCAAACTTTAAGGATAACGAAATATATAAATTGTTATCCATTAAGTGTGTCCATATTGATAGTGTAATCGAACCTTTCATTTATCAACCGTAAGCACATTTACTTACCGTTGTGTGAAGCCCATTTCTGGAATCTCCCGCCGTGATATTGCTGAAATATTGCTAAAAGCGGCGTAAAACTAAACTCACTCATTCACTTTCCGTTGTTGTATGTCAATTCAGTTCTACACCAGCAGCACGTTTATTCAATGAATAACATTGCTCACAGAACACCATAAAGTCTGTGACAAAGAGCAGGAAAAACCTGCTTTACGAATTCAAAAGCAAGGGGAAAAGGCAAGAGAAGACGAATAATGGCTCTGTACTTTTTCAAATAACACCGATTATAAAACTTAGGTCATAATAGATCACAAAAGAGGAAATATAAGCCATAACATATTGTTCTGGAATATTTCAAAAGTCTTTAGTGTTTAATCAATAGAAAAGCTTTGTAGTTTAGGTACCAAACTGTCCTTGTACTTGCTAACACTTTCATACTTTGTACATCCCTTTAACTAGTCTCCCTGTAATATACAGCCTATTGGTTTAATGTGGGGACAATATAAAGGTAATGCGCTACCCACAAGCACGGACATGATGCTAACAGATCGAAGAGTATTCGGTTCATGTCCAGGATTCGAACCGACGACCTGTTTATTACCTTCCCTTGTGAGCGCCAAATCAGCATTGCCTGATAATTGTGGAATAGTTTAAATTTCCATTGTCAAATGCATAATTTTGTTGTACAAAGGTACCATCCATGTTAGAGTGTTTTAAACAGGTAGTCATCAAAAAGGGGTGGTGGGGTAGCCTAGTGGTCAAAGCTTGTCCTTGTCACGCCAAAAACGCCACCTCTCCCATAAAAACGACGTAAAGCCATAATCACTCACTCACTCACTCACTTTAAATCAAGCCCAGTTAGGCCGTCTATGCCAGGGCTGCTATGAACTGGTGCACTACGATGGAGGTCAACACATGCTTCAACAGCTGGCATCTCTTGACGAATATGGTAAAGATTCGGTCATACAAATTATTATTACAATATTACAATAATACATTAGTCTACATTTTCTGAATGACTACTCATCTGTTCCTTCACAGGGATTGGATATGGAGCACAGTGGTGTAGTGGTTAGCATGCTGGCCTCTCACGCTAAAGGCCCGGGGTTCGAATCCCGGCGGAGACACCACAATTTGTGACCTGGGTCTCATACTGTGTTGTGTCCCTTGGCAAGGCACTTCGTCCACACTGCACTCAGTCCACCCAACTGTTCAAAGTTGGTACCTGAGAAGCGGATGTACGGAGCTGTAGCGGCTTTGAATAAAATCTACATAACCGTGCCATCCTTCTCTTCATTATCTAGTATGAGGACACTTCCTCAACTGTGTCACAGTACTGATCATTTTGCCCTGATCGTGACAGTGTCTCACGTGGCACAATGAATATATTCAACATGACGAGTGTTGAGTGTTCGTAAATGTGTATCTGAAAGAAGATATCGTGATGAGATACGCTAGGATTTTATCGCCACAGCCCTAAATATCAAATCTATATCTACACCCCAATCTGATATTACTTTGCCTACTGCAGTATGGTCAGTAACAGTTCAGTGTCTGGGGGAAACACGGAGGATGTTGGCTATATGTGACGTAAATGGCAGAGGTGTGTACTTAGGGCCTGTATCTGGTGAAGCGCATAGAGGAACTGTCAAGTGTAAACGTCGAGGAGAGGTCGATGCGCTGTTTCAACAAATGTTCAAACACAAACTAGGAAATACTACTATCCTAGGTTTCCGCCACAGTAAAGCTCAGATCTATTGGCAATGCAGGGTGTGTCTTAATGAAAGACTCATGTACTCGCCCACTTACTCAATCACTGACTCGATGTCATTCCATTTTAATGTATTTGGTTAAAGTGCTCTCTCAGCAGAGAAATATTTACTTTTGAAGTTTCTGTAGATGCTACATATGCTCTGTAGATGGAACATAGACTCTGTAGATGCAACATATGCTCTGTAGATGCAACATATGCTCTGTAGATGCAACATAGACTCTGTAGATGCAACATATGCTCTATAGATGGAACATATGCTCTGTAGATGGAACATAGACTCTGTAGAAACCAACATATGCTCTGTAGATGCAACATATGCTCTATAGATGCAACATATGCTCTGTAGATGCAACATAGACTCTGTAGATGCAACATAGACTCTGTAGATGCTACATAGACTATGTGGATGCAACAAAGACGCTGTGGATGTAACAGAGACTCTGTGGATGGAACATAGACTCTATAGATACAACATGTGCTCTGTGGATGCAACATAGACTCTGTAGATGCAACACAGACGCCGTGGATGCAACATATGCTCTGTAGATGCAACATATGCTCTGTAGATGCTACATGTGCTCTGTCGATGCAACATATGCTCTGTAGATGCAACATATGCTCTGTAGATGCTACATATGCTCTGTAGATGCAACACAGACGCCGTGGATGCAACATATGCTCTGTAGATGCAACATATGCTCTGTAGATGCTACATATGCTCTGTAGATGCAACACAGACGCCGTGGATGCACCAAAGACTTTGTAGATGCAACATATGCTCTGTAGATGCAACATATGCTCTGTAGATGCAACATATGCTCTGTAGATGCAACATATGCTCTGTAGATGCTACATAGACTCTGTAGATGCAACATATGCTCTGTAGATGCTACATAGACTCTGTAGATGCAACATATGCTCTATAGATGCTACATAGACTCTGTAGATGCAACATATGCTCTGTAGACGCTACATAGACTCTGTAGATGCAACATATGCTCTGTAGATGCTACATAGACTCTGTAGATGCAACATATGCTCTGTAGATGCTACATAGACTCTGTAGATGCAACATATGCTCTATAGATGCTACATAGACTCTGTAGATGCAACATAGACTCTGTAGATGCAACATATGCTCTATAGATGCTACATAGACTCTGTAGATGCAACATATGCTCTGTAGATGCTACATAGACTCTGTAGATGCAACATATGCTCTGTAGATGCTACATAGACTCTGTAGATGCAACATATGCTCTGTGAATGCAACAAAGACTTTGTAGATGCAACATGTGCTCTGTGGATGCTACATAGACTCTGTAGATGCAACACATGCTCTGTAGATGCTACATAGACTCTGTAGATGCAACATGTGCTCTGTGAATGCAACAAAGACTTTGTAGATGCAACATGTGCTCTGTGGATGCAACATAGGCTTTGTAGATGCAACATATGCTCTGTAGATGCTACATAGACTATGTGGATGCAACACAGACGCCGTGGATGCAACATATGCTCTGTAGATGCAACATATGCTCTGTGGATGCAGCATATGCTCTGTGGATGCAACAAAGACTTTGTAGATGCAACATATGCTCTGTGGATGCAACGCATGCTCTATGGGTGCAACATATACTCTGTGGATGCAAAATAGGGAATACGATGCAACATTTGCTTTGTGCATGCACCACAGGCTCTGCGGATGCAACATATGCTTTGTGGATACAACACGGGCTCTGTGAATGCATCATGTGCTCTGTGGGTATAACAGGCTCTATGGATGCAACACAGGCTCTGTGAGTGCAACATAGACTCTGTGGATGCAACATAAACTCTGTGGATGCAAAATAGGGAATGTGATGCAACATTACATTATGCTTTGTACATGCACCACAAGCTCTGTGGATGCAATATATGCTCTGTGGATGCAAAATAGGGAATGTGATGCAACATATGCTCTGTGGATGCAACACAGGCTCTGTGGGTGCAACATAGACTCTGTAGATGCAACATATACTTTGTGGATGCAACATAGACTCCGTGGATGCAACATATGCTCTGCGGATGCAGAATAGACTCTGTGGATGCAACATAGACTGTGGATGAAAAACAGACTCTGTGGATGCAACACAGAATCTGTGGATGCAAAATAGGGAATGCAGCATAAACACCAGCTCAGAAAGCTAGAATCTGACTCCATGTGTCTTCACATTGGTGATGCTGAGATTTTGTCCTCACACAGTGCGCGAAATCTGGGAGGAATTCTTGATTTCACCATGTCCATTGACGCCCATATTGTTTCTGTCAGCAAAGCTTGCTACTACAGCATTTTCAACATCAGCAGAGTACGCCACTATCTTGACAATCAAACCTGCAAAACGTTGATGCACTGCCTAGTAACTTCACAACTTGACTATTGCAACTCACTGTTCAGAAACTTCAAAGAATTCAGAACTCAGCGGCCCGATGTATCTCCCGTTCTTCCCACTATGACCATATCTCTCCTGTGCTTCAGTCTCTTCACTGGCTTCCCATCTCTGCAAGATTCACCTTCAAACTCCTCGCCCTCACTCACGACTGTCTCTACAATAAAAACTGTCCATCCTATCTCAAAGAACTTATCTCCCCTTACTCACCTCAGCGGAATCTCAGATCCTCCAGTGACTCTCTCTTGACTCAACCAAAATCACTAAATGGACTTTTCGAACGGGCCTTCTCTTTCGTCAGCCCACAACTCAGGAATTCGCTTCTCCAAAACCTCAGAAACACAACCACTAAAGACACTAAAATCACAGCTTAAGACTCACCTATATCTATCTGTGTACCAGTAAATAATCATTCTCTGTTTTATGTATGTATGTTCACTTTTATCACTTTATTAGCGCCACTGAGCATCTGTAAGGTAGATATTAGCGCTTTACAAATGTATTATTATATGCTTTGTGAATGCAACACAGGCTCTGTGGGTGTATGATAGACTGATATAATTATATGGATGTCAACTTCTTTATTGTGCTTTCTTTATTGTGTCACAATAAAGAAGTTGATGTCCATATAATTCTTACCTTTAACATGTGTTAACGTATGCATGTTCTGTGTTAATGCATAGTAAATGGACGTTAAATGCCATGAAGATACATAGTACTACACTGATGTTTTTCATGCTAAGACTCGTGAAAGAACAGGTCAAAGGTGAGGTAAAGTATATGTTGAAAGGGTAAGACACAGTACGGCCAAAGCCTAACGGACCCCTCGCTGTATTGCTGGTCGTAGAAGGAGAACGTATTGGGTGTCAGACACGGCAAAGTGGTTGAGTGAATGTACTGCTCGACAGTGCCACTGGTTTTTTCTGGTCCAGATCCGACTTTTTTACAATCCGTAGCCATGTAGATGGCATATTGGTGAGCCCAACAAGCACACAAACCAACGAACTAGCGTGACAAAAGCTTGTCAAATACATGTAGTATGAAAAACGGTTCGGCAAGCGAGTGACAAGATACGCCGATTACGTTAACATTCTATTTAGACCCAGTTGCATTTGTTGAAAAGCTGGATAAAGCAGAAAAAGAAAACTGAAACCTTTGTAAACAAGTTTTAATATCATATTACATTTAAAAGGAATTCCAGTCTAAAACCCCTGCTTTTTGTTCTACAGCGATATGGCATGACAGAGATCCAGAAGATGAAAGACACCGCAGAGCAGAATACCAAACTCTGAACACCTCCAACTGGTGGGATGCAGGACAGGAGTGTAAGGAGTTTGGAGGCCAGTTGTACGTCCCCGGTGCAGAAAGCATCTCCCAAGACGTGATAGATGCTCTGGAAGAAGACGAATACTATTGGGTTGGAGCCGTGAAGAATTCCAAATGGATATGGACGTGTGAGTAATCCTATCCTTTCAGTTTGTTTGTTTGTTTGTTTGTCACAGCTATATGGAGTCGGTCTCTTAATAATCCTGTGTGAGTAATCCTATCCTTTCAGTTTGTTTGTTTGTTTGTTTGTTTGTCACAGCTATATGGAGTCGGTCTCTTAATAATCGGGTTTGTAAATAATCTAGTGTTGACAAGCCTATGATCATCAACAGGATCATGATTAACTTCCACGTACAGCATGACTAGGGGACGCAACTCATAAACTGATATAGTGATGACGCATGGGCATATCTGTTTCAGCAGATGCTTCCCCTTTGTACACCTATGTCGGCTACAAACCTACTCCTAGCATGAAGAAAACCCATATCCATGGAAACTCTGCCTTTCAGTGCCACTTGGAGTGTGACGACGACAGTGTTGTTGGTTTGAGAGTAAGTAACTTCACTTTATAGTCATGACGTCAAAGATGAGGATGTTATAAGACCATGTGTGCATGCGTTCGTTCATTGCTGAAGAGAGCGAGTAAATGTGCAAGAATGAATTATCCCAAAATATCAGAGCACTGATTGGGGCGGTGGGATAGCCTAGTGGTTAAAGCGTTCGCTCGTCACGCCGAAGACCCGGGTTCGATTCCCCACATGGGTACAATGTGTGAAGCCCATTTCTGGTGTTCCTCGCCGTGATATTGCTGGAATATTGCTAAAAACGGCGTAAAACTAAACTCACTCTATCAAAGCACTAATTTGTGTAATGGGTGAGTGAGTATGGATTTCCGTCGCTTTTAGCAATATTCCAGCAATATCACGCCGGGGGACCCCAGAAATGAGCTTCACACATTGCACCCATGTGAGGAATCGTACCCAGTTATTTGGCGTGACGAGCAATCGCTTTAACCACCATGCTACCCAACCTCCCCTGATTTGTTTAAAAAATAGGCGGTACAAAAGCAATTCTACTGTAACCCAAAGGTTTCCAAAAGTTCCAGTGAGCCTCAGCAGCAATAACTCTTCTAGGGTTCCACATTTCAACATTAATAAAGAAAACCGTTTTTAACAATGACTATCTGCGTTCTTTATCAGGGTGAGGAGTGTTACTGCTTGTCGGCGGCGGTCCAAGCAACCTCCACAAACACTTCTCAAATCAGATGCTCAGGCAACTTTGATCAATCATGTGGAAATGAAGACGGAATGTCACTTTATGCTATAGGTAAGCTAACCGGTACGGTCGTGCACGCCAAGTGTTGTTTTTTTAGGTGGATTGAATAAACGCAATTGAAAGCGCATATAAAATCACTGATGGCGAAATATACATGACATTCAAATTGAAACACTTAATTATAACAACATCATGCTTGGTAGTATAACAATATTTGAATGAGATTCACTGAGAGGCATTAAAAAAATTTAAACATCATGTTAAGGGATATCCTTGGCTACAGTCATCCGGAAAACACAAAAACACAATTGGAAATTAGTCTTGGAACACACACGATAAAACGCTTGTTGGCGTCATTCCTGACATTTTTCGCGGACCGTCAGAGACCTCTACTAAATGTGCCATTTCACTTATCAACATGGTGAGCGTTGCTACCCTATTGTCATGACTGCCCTACTCCTCCTTGATCACTGGCACATACTGTGCTCTTTTAACAAAAGGTGTGTCAGTGGTGGTTGCAACCCGCAGAACAAGACAAGTTTATATATTTCTTACACACCAGATGACGTGGCTCATCCATGTCATGTAACCTGCACCCTACTATGCTGTTCTTACGTCATATTAGATCTGTTTCAGCCTATATTCGTGAACGATCATTTCCTGGCGTTATCAGTTTTAGATCGCGCTGAAATATTCTTAAAGGAAGATGGCGAGTGTGGTTATGCAGAGAAAGAATGGAGAGGGTCCATCAGCTTACATTTTGACCAGAACTGTGACAGGGAAAGGTCTCTTGCTTGTCCAGGTGAGAGAGACATTTGGAATGTTTTGAGGCCGCTCTTTATAATATTCCAGATAAATCATGGAGGCCTGTAAAAAAACGAGTCTTTAGCAGACAAACTGGATATTAGTCATGTGTTGATAGTAAGAACAGCATTCAACGCCGTCAGGGCACGTTGATGCACTGTCAAGGTACTTTCCCACGTAGCTGTTCAATCCCATAGTCAATGACATTAAGTTGCGATTACTCCTAGTCAACGCCTTCAAGTTACGATGACACAGAGCCTAACCTCTATATCAATTTCGTCGCCTCTGTTGACAAGAGACCGCCTCCGTACTGTAGTGTTTAGAGCGACCGCCCGAACAAAAAAGGTCGCGGGTTTGATCCCCGGTCGGGTCATACCAAAAGACTTGTACTTGTTCGTCCCTGCTTGGTGCTCGGCATTAATGAGTACAAAAAGGACTGGTCGGCTCGGAGTCAGTATAATGTGTCTGAGTGGGGTATTCATGCTTATCTGCGGCATGGTATCTCAGTGAGCTAGCACTGTAAAACCAGCTTAAGTCTGGGCTAGTACAAGCAGCCACACATACACATGCACGTCGTCGTAAGTCCGACGTTAAACCCCATTTCACCTCGCCTCTTGACAAGAACGGCTACTGATCCAAATGTAGAAATGGTCGGATTAACACAGGTCACGCCATGGTGAGGTCCCTTATGCGACTGCATAATTTGCGAAGTGTTCAGATAAGACAGTCATCAAATGTGTAGCTTTGGACATGATATTGTTTTTTAAAACGTGTATGTTTATAACCACACAAAGGGAATGTAAGGCTGAATATTTACTGACTTTTACTATCTTTAAGAAGATATTCGTCAAATATTGTCCTGTCCTGTCCGACATGTCCTGTCATGGGCAAATAATCTAATATGACTGTTTTACCAACAGAGCCGCTGCAGGATAGTACACGATGCCGGGGAACCGTATGCGTTAATAATGACGAAATGACTTGGGACGAAGCCAACAGAACACACCCTTTGCTGAAGGTCAACAACACTAACAGGCTTGATCTGCATAACGCCATGGGTCGTTGGTGGAGCTACTGGATTGGTTTGAGGAGAAAGTACTTCTGCAAATGGATAAATGGTAACCTTAAGATAAGATAAGATAAGATGATGCTTTATTATCCTGAAGGAAATTTGCTGTACGCGATTACCATTGAAAACACATTCAATATAACAACAGCTTCATACATACATACATACATACATACATACATACATACATACATACATACACCCTCACATATTTTAATATCACAAAATGACGAAAGTCAATTCCGCCGCCGTCATAGTAGGTACATTTAAGTTTGTAAATGGGTTTAGGTAATAAAATATCTCGACATAGATACAAAAAGGACATAAACAGACAAACTGGAGAGAGCATAACAACCATGCGTGTCGCCACAGAGCAGCGCCAGCTGCTATTTTGAATTGCCAGTCGAACCTTGTTTTGAATTGTTTAGATCTAAGGTGAAGGGATATTATAAGTTATCACATCGTGTCTCGGGAAATATGGGGTTTTATAAGTCCCGAGTAAGGTTGTATTCCCCGAGCAACCTTACGAGGGACTGATAAAACCCCGTATTTCCCGAGATACGATGTGATAACGCATTTATCTAGCCGAAAGATTTTACTAAATGAAAAGAAAAGAAAAGAAAATTCTCAGTTGTTGTGGCGAAACGTGTCCTTGCTGCTATGTTGACACCAGCTGATCGATTGACCTCAATGCAGCGCACTTTACTCACGGCTTGGCGATGCACGCTTTTCTCACTTCGCGTGGTCACCGAGGCGTGGCGGGATAATACGACTTTTTGTACTCCCTGCTCGCGGATCGTGACGGGTGTACATGGTATTTTATCAGAGTCACGTGAACCAATCAAAACTCGACATTCTTACATGAGGCTGGATAAGAAATGTTACCTATTAGCTGAAGTACCAAATGTTTGAGAAACGTTAGTTGCTAAACCTTCTGAACAACATACCTGTTAAAATTATAATCTTTACAACCATATCATTACCAAATATACTAGTATATAATATCAAAATAGGGTTTATAAGTCAATCTTGACAAATCTTGCATAGTTTTATTTAGAAACGGTGGCTATCTCAAGAAATCAGAAAAATGGCTCTATAATGGAAACCAAATGAATGTTGTATCACACTATAAATATTTAGGTGTTGTTTTTACCACAAAATTGATATGGTCCAAGACATGTGAAACAGTCTTCAAGCCAAAAAATTCAGTGCTTATTTTTCAAACGTTTTCTGTGCGTCAATAAAAATAATTCTTCCAATGCTGTACTTCGTGAAATTGGCAAAACTCAATTATGTGTTAAATATTATGGCAGATGTATCAAATATTGGTGCAGAATATTACATATAGACGATAATCGACATCACAAATCATGTTAGGAAATGTTAAAGATGCAAGATGATAGCGGCAGCTGCAACTGGGTTACGCATGTGCGTTTACTTTTATTCCGAATTGGATTTTCTTATGTTTGGATTACGCAGGAATGGGGGAATATTGAAATGTTTATAAGTAACTTTAGACAAAGATTCAAGGTATAGAAATTCAAAATTGGCATTCTAGGATAACATCATCATATTTTCTAAAACACTATGGAGCAGTCAAGTCCGCCCTGGAACCTGAAAAATACATATTGGAACAACACCTTATCCGCTTTTTATGCAAATCCCGCTTTTTAAGCCATGAGTTGAATATTCAACAACAACGTTACAATAATAATATAGATAAAAATATACTGATATGTGACAAATGTGATTTTAATGTTACACAAGCTGAATTTCATTTTTACTTGTGTGTCCATTTTATTCTGTACATAGAAAACTGTATAGGTAATTATTACCATTCGTTTCCATCAAGATTAAAACTAAAACAACTTTTAAGAACAACAAATGCACATATATTGAATTACACTGTTTTATCTGTCCATCCGCACAACATTGTTTTGAATGTTTGTACTCTTGGCCATTTGGCCTCAAATACAGAAAATAAACTTCTTCTTCTTCTTCATTATATTTTAATATATTATCATGAAAACAAAATTGATGAAATGATGATAAGGAAAATATTGAATAACACAAATGTCACGGGATTTAAACAGTAGTAATTCTGGTTAAGGCCCGATTCAGTTATCTAAGCGAAACATGTTTTACTTTTGAATTTCATGTCGTGATATACATAATTGCTGTAAATTGATATCAGGATTTCCATGTCATCTGCTGTTAACTGTACATGTTTCTGTTACAGGACAGGACGTGAGCACTGACTATGACGGCAGTGACCTGTCTGAAGCCTGCCTTACTGTACGGAAACTAGGCGACCAGTCATCTCCCCTTGTTCGCTTCACCTGGCTCCCCTGTGATGAAGAAATGTTATCTCTCTGTGAATCGGGTGGGTCGACTTTTACCTGCATTCTTTGTAATGATAATAGCTATATCTAGTTTGTATCCCGATAATGAGCTATTATGTATCTGTTAGTCCTGTATGTTTTACCTGCAACTCGCGTATTGATAATCAGGTTCTATTTGTGAGTCAGTTCTACGTGTATCCCGTGTGTGGATAATCAGTTATCTTTTTGTCAGTCACTTTTACCTGTATCCCATGTGTTGATAATCAATTATCTTTTTGTCAGTCAGATTAAATGCATCCCGCGTGTTGAAAATTAATTATCTACATGTATTTGACAGTACGTTTTACCTGAATCCCGTGTGTTGATAATCAGTTATCTACATGTTCTTTTAGTTTAACCTGTATCCTGTGTAGTAATAGTTAACTATCTATCTGTTCCGTTTCACCAAAGTATGGCATCTGGAAAGTGCCAACACCTGCCTGTTACATACCATAACATGATATAGAGAAGCTTGTGTATAATCCCATCTGAGACATATTCACCCTTGTATCTCATACACGAAGGAAGAAAAGGAATTTCATCTGCAATTATAGGCTCAGACTCGATCTACTCTCTTGCTGGTTTTTAGAAATATAAAAACCTAAGCGTGTTTATCTTAACGGGGGAAATCTAAATCCAAATAATGTGGAACTTGGTCTATCGGGACAATTTCATCGGTATGGCGTCCCAGTGGTCATGTCTAATCATTTCAGTCCTCGTCGATTTTAACTGTTCTCTCAAGTAACCGTAGCACATTTCTTTTGTTTGTTTTATATATTTAGTGAAACCGGGAACCACCTATGTGCCTGAACCACAGCCGAACACTGCTGAACCACCAACATCGACCGGCACCAACCACACAGAACTCTACGGACCGATCAAAGGTGAGCACAGTTTCATACGGCATATCCGTTATATAGTGTGTTGTGGAGGGGTGAGGTGTGTGTTGTGGAGGGTGAGGTGTGTGTTGTGGAGGGGTGAGGTGTGTGTTGTGTAGGGGTGAGGAGTGTGTTGTGTAGGGGTGAGGTGTGTGTTGTGGGGTGAGGTGTGTGAGGTGAGGTGTGTAGGGGTGAGGTGAGGTGTGTGTTGTGTAGGGGTGAGGGTGTGTGTTGTGTGCAGGGGGGTGAGGTGAGGTGTGTGTGTGTGAGGGGTGTGTGGTGAGTGTTGTGTAGGGGTGAGGTGTGTGTTGTGTAGGGGTGAGGAGTGTGTGTGTGTGTAGGGGTGAGGAGTGTGTGTGTGTATAGGGTGAGGGTGTGTGTGTGTGTAGTGAGGAGTGTGTTGTGTAGGGGTGAGGTGTGTGTGTTGTGTAGGGGTGAGGAGTGTGTGTGTGTGGAGGGGTGTGTGTTAGGGAGAGGTGTGTGTTGTGTAGGGGTGAGGAGTGTGTTGTGTAGGGGTGAGGTGTGTGTTGTGTAGGGATGAGGAGTGTGTTGTGTAGGGGTGAGGTGTGTGTTGTGTAGGGGTGAGGTGTGTGTTGTGTAGGGGTGAGGAGTGTGTTGTGTAGGGAGGAGGTGTGTGTGTTGTGTAGGGGGTGTGTTGTGTAGGGGTGTGGAGGTGTGTGTGTGTAGGGGTGAGGAGTGTGTTGTGTAGGGATGAGGTGTGTTGTGGAGGGTGTGAGGTGTAGGGATGAGGAGTGTGTTGTGTAGGGGTGAGGTGTGTGTGTGTGTGTGTAGGGGTGAGGAGTGTGTGTTGTGTAGGGATGAGGAGTGTGTTGTATAGGGGTGAGGAAGTGTGTTGTGTAGGGGTGAGGCATGTGTGTGTAGGGATGGGAGGTGTGTGAGGAATTGAGTGTGCGTGTGGGGTGAGGAGTGTGTTGTGTAGAGGGTGAGGTGTGTGTGTGTGTAGGGTGGGGAGTGTGTGTTGTGTAGTGTGTTGTGTGTGTTTGTGGGAAAGGGTGTGTTGTGGAGGGTAGAGGTGTGTGTGTTGCTTAGGTGTGTGTTGTAGGGGTGAGGAGTGTGTGTTGTGTAGGGATGAGGTGTGTGCTGTGTAGGGTGAGGGTGTGTTGTAGTGTGTTGTTGTGTGAGGAGGGTGTAGGGAGGAGTGTGTTGTGTAGGGGTGAGGAGGGTATTGTGTAGGGATGAGGAGTGTGTTGTGTAGGGGTGAGGTGTGTGTTGTGTAGGGGTGATGAGTATGTTGTGTAGGGGTGAGGAGTGTGTTGTGTAGGGATGAGGAGTGTGTTGTATACTGGGCCAAGCGTGCCCCTTACTAAGTAACAGACACAGGTGAGGGGTGGCTATCATGGGATATATAGGTACAGTTGGGAGAACAACCGACGAGATACTTCTAACCTTCTTCCTAATATAACCGCTTGAAAATATCCTGCAGTAGACGCAGGTGATATCCATGGATATACTGATTACCTACGACTGTTGTTACTGCTTGCATCGCCGCAGCATGTGCATCAGCATTTCAGACTGCTGTGGATATGCTGCAATTGTTCCTCTACTTAATAAAACTTAATACACTGCACTCTGAAACTGTTCAATAGGCCATGTTCATAGTGACTGCTACAATGGTGAAATGGTTTTACATGAGATTATTGTAATGATATGATATAAGTGTGTGTGTTTGCGTGCATGCATGTGTGTGTACTAGTCCGGATAGTTTAACGTGGACGCACAACTCAGTCCACGTTACTTTGTCCAAGACGACTAATCGTTACTTGCCCAAAACAAATACCACTAATTAACATCTTTCGATAAGACATGAGATGACCGGGCATCGAACCACTGACTGTCCTCTCTTCAGGCAGGCGCTCATCCCACTGGACCATAGAGTCCGTCTGTTGTTTAAAGGATTTCCTTTGTTCCATCCAATTGTTGCTTGAACTTTTTCCCTCATTGCAGGCAGTGCTGGGGTCTATATTGGAGCTGCCGTGGGCTGTGTTGCCGCTGTGATATGCTGCATAGTTCTGGTACTATTTATAAGACGGTAAGGACACTGGAGCTGAACATCTAGGGGACCGTTCATAATTTATGGCTAGTGGGGGGTGATGATGATTTTTATAGAGAAGCATGTACAATGTGAATGACCCCCCTAAAATGTATGTACAAAATAAGTGACCCCCCTGCATGTCATGTACAAAATCAATTACCTCCCCCCTCCCCTTCCCATAATTTCTAAGCATAATTGTATACATATTTTTGTGTACAAAATTGCTAACACCCCCGTTGGTACGTGTGTACAAAATTGCTGACTCCCCTAGCTCTCTACCCCCACTTAATACTTGATACTTTTGACTAGGGGATCAAAACCTACGTATGTGTTTTGTCTTTGTCTGTTCCAGTCGTTCATATTTCTTTAAGAACACACAGTTATTTACTATTTCCTTCCCTTGTGAATGATGATATCAGTTTGACATTCTAATTACGACTTTAAAAAACTGAAAAACTCTTGCTAGGCCTGACAAATCCGTCTGACCAATCATCCCACATGCATGAGTATGGTGGCTGATAAGGCCCATCACTTTCTCATGAGAGGGTGTCCAGTAAAACGCAATAGCACCGATAAACATAGGGTAAATTTATTCTCGTCACGAAGGGATGACAATATTTATCATACAATGGATAGTGTTCTCGGCAGGATAAAGCCAACGGATATTTTCGGTATCCTTTGGGGTCATATACGGATATCGATGCAAATATTAGTATCACAACATTGTAACACCAATAAGTCATGTTTGTTTACACTGTTCAAGAAGTCCTAGAAATCTGCATATGACCTCTCTAATTTGCATCGATATCCGTATACTAACCCAACGGATACCGAAAATATCCGTTGGCTTTATCCTGCCGAGTACACTGTCCATTGTATGATAAAGATAGGTCATCACACTCGTGTGTTTTGGGATGGTTAATATCCTGCATTAAGAATAAACGTTATATTTAAATAGCTAGCCTTGGCGAGCTACATGCATAGTGTGTATTCCTCATGCAACATTGCATTTAGCGAGCCTTGGCGAGCTAAATACATGGTGTTTATTCCTTATGCAGGATATTAACCACCCCAACACACGCTCGCGTGATAGCGTGATATTGTAATGGATGTATTCCTACAAATATGCACAATAACGTCACAAGAACAAAAAAACAACAAAATGGAACTGATAGTTGCTGTTTTACTTATGACGACCAGTTTGGAAATATCTTTGTCACCTTGACCACAAACATTCATAATCCATTGAACTTTCTGTTTCTTCATGTAAAGGTCATGCATCTCTCTGGGTTGTTTTTCAGGAAGAAGAAGTTCTGTTTTGTGGAAAAGTCAGACACACAAACACCTGTCTTCAGCAACCCCACTGCTGAAAGCACAACCTACTGTCTAACCACATCCACTGACCCCTACTACTCTATGCCCAACCCTCCAGAAGGTCAGTTACCCGACCCTTCTCTGACGAAGTCCATTCATGACCAGAAATCTTCAGACCCTTACTACTCTACCCTTGCTGTACAAGAGAAACCGGCTCCTCCCACGGCCGTCGTCATGCCATACCGACCATCAGAACAGACGCTCTATGTAAACTCTCCAGAGACTGCAAAGGAAGGAGTATACAATAAATTGTCTGATACTGAAAACCCGAACACTGACAGTACTGGAAATGCATACAACCATACTTCCGGTTTATTGCAAAATAGCTATAAAGGGGAATATGATTCCGCAAAGGCATTGGGTGATGAAGATGAAGGCATCCAGGATCATCTGCATCTGGGTCCACCAGCAGAGGAAGAAGATGATGGAATATACAATATTCCTGACTACGCTGAGCATCAAAGAGCAGATGGTGATTACGACAAAGCGAATATTAAACGTTATAATTTGGCTCTTACCGACAGTAACACAAGTCAGACATCTGTTACCAATTCCAAAAGTCTTGTGGAACCTGCACCTGATTCTCAAGCATCTGCTCCGGCTCAGAGTGTTCCTGAAGGAAGTGATGACGATTCCTATGAAATACCCATTGAAGGAACTGGCAATGATTCTACGGTAGTAAACGCGGATACGGCCAGTATCAGCGGCAACGTCGATGAAACAGATATTTATGAATGTATTGACAATAACAACTCGGGCCAAACTGGCCGAGATGAGGATGATAACGCTACCAGTGAAGGTGACGTCTCTGTATGTCAGGACGAGTTAGAAGCAGCCACATACTCTGCTGAGGACTGGTACAAAGAGGATAGAGAACATATATATGGTAATATCGAATCCGACTCCAGCACTGTTGGCCCTGTACAAGATGGTCACTGCTACTACAACATAGTCAGCGACACCAACGCTCTGTCAACACAACCGTCTACGTATTGCATCGATGACGACAATGTCTATTCTCTGGCTACCCATGCATAGGTCCGGCCAGCTTGACGTATATGTGTGTCAGTATGATATATACACTAATGAGTTGGTAATGTCAACACCGATATTGTCTCAGTCACGATAGTAACAAAAAACTTCAATATCTGTCATCGCAGCACAAAAATATACTATATATAATTGCCATGGACAATTCAGGGCTCCAGATAATTATTTTGACTCAAGAGTATTTCACTCCTCAAAATTAAAATTTAGGAGTAAAATACCAAATGGAGGAATATTTCACAAATGTTTTATTACTTTTCCTTGATAATTGAAACAGTTTTCCTTTCAAAAAACGCTACATGTTTCTTTTAGTTAGTCATTCTTACTGCAAACGACAGGAAATAAATGACAATGCGCGATAAATGTTTTCCTGTGCTGGTTTAAGGCCATCACGTGATATACAGTAGCCCTAAAGCTATATTATTACTGATACGCACCGGAAATGTTGTGATAGTAACGCTGTTTGAAGGCTAGCTTTTAAACAAATTGTGAACCGAACGAGAATTAGAAATATTAACGGAGATCAAACGGAAAAACTCAACTATGTTCGCTTCAATACAGACAGCAACACTATTCGAGATCTTCAGATCGGACATGCTTGTCGTAAGAGGCGACTAACGGGATCGGGTGGTCAGGCTCGCTGACTTGGTTGACACATGTCATCGGTTCCCAATTGCGCAGATCGATGCTCATGCTGTTGATCACTGGATTGTCTGGTCCAGACTCGATTATTTACACACTGCCGCCATATAGCTGGGGCGTGGTGGTACACAATCTGTCACAACATTGTAACACCTAGATCCACCCCCACGGTGTGGTGGTACACAATCTGTCACAACATTGTAACACCTAGATCCACCATCCACGGCGCGTGGTGGTACATAATCTGGAGTCACAACATTGTAACACCTGGAGATCCACCACCCAGGGCGTGGTGGTACATCAATCAGTCACAACATTGTAACACCTAGATCCATCACCCACGGCGTGGTGGTACACAATCAGTCACAACGTTGTAACACCTAGATCCATCACCCACGGCGTGGTGGTACATAATCAGTCACAACGTTGTAACACCTAGATCCACCACCCAGGGCGTGGTGGTACACAATCTGTCACAACATTGTAACACCTAGATCCACCACCCACGGCGTGGTGGTACATCAATCTGTCACAACGTTGTAACACCTAGATCCACCACCCACGGCGTGGTGGTACATAATCAGTCACAACGTTGTAACACCTAGATCCACCACCCAGGTACACAATCTGTCACGTAACACCTAGATCCACCACCCAGGGCATGGTGGTACATAATCAGTCACAACGTTGTAACACCTAGATCCACCACCCACGGCGTGGTGGTACATAATCAGTCACAACATTGTAACACCTAGATCCACCCCCACGGCGTGGTGGTACACAATCAGTCACAACGTTGTAACACCTAGATCCACCACCCACGGCGTGGTGGTACACAATCAGTCACAACATTGTAACACCTAGATCCACCACCCACGGCGTGGTGGTACACAATCAGTCACAACGTTGTAACACCTAGATCCATCACCCACGGCGTGGTGGTACATAATCAGTCACAACGTTGTAACACCTAGATCCACCACCCACGGCGTGGTGGTACACAATCTGTCACAACGTTGTAACACCTAGATCCACCACCCACGGCGTGGTGGTACATAATCAGTCACAACATTGTAACACCCCAGATCCACCACCAACAGGGCGTGGTGGTGGTACACAATCAGTCACAACATTGTAACACCTAGATCCACCACCCACGGGCGTGGTGGTACATAATCAGTCACAACATTGTAACACCTAGATCCACCACCCACGGCGTGGTGGTACACAATCAGTCACAACATTGTAACACCTAGATCCACCACCCAGGGCGTGGTGGTACACAATCAGTCACAACATTGTAACACCTAGATCCACCCCCCAGGGCGTGGTGGTACACAATCAGTCACAACATTGTAACACCTAGATCCACCACCCAGGGCGTGGTGGTACACAATCAGTCACAACGTTGTAACACCTAGATCCACCACCCAGGGCGTGGTGGTACACAATCAGTCACAACATTGTAACACCTAGATCCGACCCCAGGGCGTGGTGACACATAATCAGTCACAACATTGTAACACCTAGATCCAACCCCAGGGCGTGGTGGTACATAATCAGTCACAACATTGTAACACCTAGATCCACCACCCAGATTTACGAAAGATTCAGCGATCTCTACATCCAGAGTTCAAAGAGGGATAAACGTCATAAGTAATATTGTTTTGTTAGCAGCCACTGATCAAGACAACTGGGAGATCTATGATAAAACGTATTTCATTATAAATCCAGGTATATTATAAATGTTAGTTGATGATACAAATCTCATTCATAGCATCACGTTTACCTGCTAAATCTCATTAAGTACAGAACGTGATAAACCCGATTCGTTTTGTACACAATATACAGCATTCCCAGAGATTATTGAGAAAATCTTTGTTTCCTAATACCGATAAAAGATTTTTAAAATAGGTGTTGCATTATGTAGTAAGGTACTCAATATGGGAAGGTCTTGTATGCCTAACAATGAACCTACGACATCAAAAGTTATCCCCGTGGTGTAGCAGACGACTTCCTTTGTTGACTAGGCAGATTTGACAGCAGAAGAGAGGAGAAAGCTGGTTGAAGATGATTTTGACTGACTGAGTTTGGTTTTACGCCGCTTTTAGCAATATTCAGCAATATCACGGCGGGGGACACCAGAAATGGGCTTCACTCATTGTACCCATGTGGGGATTCAAACCCGGGTCTTCGGCGTATATAAGAGTTATTAGGAAGTAATGTGTCTGATAAATGTTCCATTAGTAAACTCATATCTATGTACAGTAGAACATGGTTATAGCGAACACGGATATAGCGTACAAACGGATATAGCGAACAAATTTAAAAGTCCCGTCAACAGTCCTTTATAATATCATTAAAATTATACGTGAATAACGAACTCGTGAGTAGCGAATTAACGGCTACAGCGAACTGATTTACTACCCCCAAGACCCAATTAACGACATGATTAGCGAACTCACTCATTGTCAGCTCAGCCACTTAGCGGTACAGTATACATCAATCTTGTTGGCGGTGAATCAACATTGTTTGGTGGTCATTAATTAATTAACAAAACAAACACATCGTGTTTAACGTTATGAAAAACGAAAGTTTTCGTTGACGAGGACGGTATCCATTGCCGTAGTATGATTGGCTGCCTTAGGTCACGTGTCTGATATACTTTTATATGACGAACATAATATCAAAGTTGACCAAACTATGCATTTATGGCCTATATTTAATCCTTTTAAATAAATTGGGGCATTTTAACTACCCCCTGGTGCAATTTGACCAAAACTTCAGGGCACTTCGACTAAATTTGTTGGGGGCAATTCGACTGGCAATCGGACTTTAATCTAATTTGTGTTAAAAATACCACTGACAGTAAGTTGTAAGAGGGAATGATGGAGTATAAATGAATCTCGTGGGTTCTTCTTTCTTCTTCAGCCTAGTTTGGGGATTTTCATTCCCCTTGTGTGCATGCATAGTCGGATCCGGAAATTTTTCAATGTGTGTGTGTGTGTGTGTGTGTGTGTGTGTGTGTGTGTGTGTGTGTGTGTGTGTGTGTGTGTGTGTGTGTGTGTGTGTGTGTGTGTGTGTGTGTGTGTGTGTGTGTGTGTGTGTGTTTGTTTTATTCGAACATAAAACTTCTGACCCGGATGGTCCTTTGACTCACAAAAAACGACAAAATGATTGGAATCCATGTTGATTTTATGATGATTATTGCTCATTTAAAAGTGCACTGATGTTCATACAAAACCATGTCTGGCCCTGGAATGTTTAATATTGAATTCATTGGTGAATGTAAACATTCAAAATATCATTTTGCGAGTCATACACGATTCAAGGTCAATACCGAGTGTAACCTCCATGTGACTATGACAGCCAATACTCTCCTCCTCATACCCCATGTCAGCCTCCTGATCCGCAGAAGGGCCAGTCTACGCCATTCCTCGTCTACAGCAGCTTCCAACTGGACCAGCTTCTGTACAGGAGGATCCCTTTGTTCCACACGACGACTAATCATGTCCCAGATACGCTCCAAAGGGTTAAGATCGGGGCTCATTCAATCGTGAGATATGTCAGGGGTGCTTAACTAAGTTCTTTGTGCAGATCTTGTTGAAAATAACAATAAAACAATTGCGATAGCATGAGATTCATTTCCAATCAAACTAAAGCTGTAAAAACCAAAACGACACTATCATTAGTAATGAGCAAGTGTAAACCAAAAGTCACTGTGTTCTTGAATCTGATTGGTTGAAAACGTGATCAAATGGTATTTGATTCCCGGAATATTATGCGTAGATAGCTGTGATGATCAAAAATGACGTAAAGTCTGATTCAGAGATCTATGTGATGACATACTCAGACTCGATGTCAATGAGCGCAGACCCGTTGGTTTCCGTTTGTAAATTGAGTGCTTCGGTTCCAAATGAATTACCGTTAAATACTCAATAACACCCGGATATTCGCCATGGCGAAGCGTCGATATCAAACGAGGCTGATTCAGAATCATGTACTATCAGACCCTGCCCGTTGGTTTCCGTCTTCCTTTGTTACTACACTCGCCGCCTCTGGCTGCTCGTACTACACGTCTGCTGTACAGCTAATGCAGGTCACTTTTGTAAGTATTCAGATGATTTTGGTTGTTGAAAATAATTAATACTAATATAAGGTTACAAATAGTGATGCCGAAAACATGATGGCCAGTTCGGAATGACTTAAACATGTACGCCTAGTTGGATTCGTTTCAAATGATTTTTCGCAAACGTGTCAGTGGCGGATGCTACTGGTAGGGCAGTACATGTTTATTCTTTAGACGACCACCTGGCCTGTTTTCAGTTATATTTTATCACTGCTATTTAGCCTTTAACGCACGACAGAATGTGTTTCGTCGGATAAATCGTCGGTTAACTCAAGTGTTGAAAATATATATGACATTGACATGAAGCATGTCAGACATCATATCTGAGAAAAATATCGTCACGAATGGGTTTTGCAGGGCACTAAACATATTAAAATCATATCACGCTTCATAATTTAACAGTTTTCACCACCAGTTACATAGTACTAGTATTGTGCCTGTGAAGATCCGGGTTAGAATTTGTCTCCAGTAACCCATGCTTATTGTAAGAGGCGACTAACGGGATCGGGTGGTCAGGCTTGCCAACGTAGATGACACATGTGATCGTGTCCCAATTCCGTTGATCGATGCTCATGCTGTTGATCACTGGATTGTCTGGTACAGACTCGACTATCCACTGATTGATGCCATATAGCTGGAATGTGGCATTAAACAACAAACAAACAAACAATCATGATATTGTTGCTGCCTGAAGCGATTACCCACATGGGATCAATGTGTGAAGCCCATTTCTGGTGTCCCCCGCCGTGATATTGCTGGAATATTGCTTAAAATCGGCGTAAAACTATACTCAGTCAGTCAGTGCTCCCTTAAGCAAAAGAGAATCAAACATACGTACCACTAGCGGTGAAATGTGTGAAACTTCCTTCGCTTTATGCTTGCATACACTATCAAGCTGGACTTAGAAATAGGAGTATGCATTACATGACATTCTATGCAAGCAGGCAATCATGCTTCCTGATGCCTTACTCGTAATTTAATGAGCTGATGTCTGAGGGAGGTTTTATCTCATCGTATACATTTGATGCAATGGAAGTGTCATAGTAGACGTTCACAATATGGATGCTGTCCATGTTAAGCCCTATGGATGTGTTGCTGTAATAATTTCGAACTTAAGACCGGATTCGATTGAGAATCGTGACTTAGTGGCTCGGATCATTGCTTGTGCTTCCAGTCGCTGATTTGTGTGTTCCACACCCAAGCAGGGATGCTGCTTCGTACAATCCACTCACTCACTCTGGGCATTTCAGCCCAGTGGTACGACGACGACATACCTGGGACGGATGCCAACTTGGAGTATCACACAACGACAACAAAAGCAGCTGGTGGGAGGCTGTAGGAGGAAGGTGTGGCACCGGGCGAGTCTACATCCCCGAATCAGATGTACTACCTGACGCCATTAGTCAGAAGATGACTTCAGGCCAATACTACTGGATGGGCGCAATTGCATACTCTACATGGAAATGGACAGGTACCATATTTTCCAAAAAACATCTGGGTAATAATCAGAAGAAAAAGTCAATATTTTCCATATTTCATATGTGTCTTCATTTTGTGAAATAAACTTCAAAACATTTGCCCAAACTTGACCCCGAAGTTAAGCAGCCACTCCGAAAGCCAAAATCACCCTTAAATGAAGCTGCATTTTGTAAAGGTATACTTAATCCCTCTGCACTTCTCCTACATGTGTACTCTCCAAACGGGAACTAGTCTATTAAGTTTATTTGAATTTCTAGAATAGTTTCAATAAATAATAGAACCTCACAAAACTGGGTGTGACAGTGTACCTCTCTAACCTTTACTCTCCGTCTCTACCGTTTTCTCTCCGTCTCACCCATTTTCGCTCTCTCTGTGTCAAGCTTTTTCTCTCCCCCCCCTCTCTCTACCTCCCCCCATCTCTACCCTTTTCGCAAGCAACTGGTGTCAATCCATATTCCCGTCACCCTGTGTTATATCTGCCTTTTACGTGGAATGAAATTTGTTTACGCAGATAAAATGGGTTGATTTTTCACTTGTCTCGACATGTCACTTTAATAGTAATGTCATTTATACAAGCTGACCATAACCATTTATATATTTTGTGATATTGGGTTGATAATATTATCATCAGAATAATAATAAGGCAAAAGCACCAGTTTAGAATTTGATAACTGTATGATAAACGAGAACAATACATGAACATGAACATATGTCCCGTTCTGTTGAAATAGTGTATTAGAGATATATATCCTTTTACAGTCATGCTCACGGTTATTGTTGGATCAGGAAGTGTGAACGTATTTCCTTTACAGACGGATCCCCTTTCTACAAATACGTTGGATACAGCACAGAACCCTTGTCAGATGGTTATCATGTCGATGGTAATTCCGCCTCTCGGTGCCATTTGATGTGTGAGGAGGACGAGCCGTTTGGACTGAGGGTAAGATTTAAGAGTATCTATTTGTTTTTACTTGGTGATGCAAAGATGAAATCAAAGTGTTCCCAGGTAGATTAGCATACTTGATTGGCAGAAATATGGTACACACACACGCATACGCACACACACACACAGACAGACACACACGGTATGTATGCATGTGTGTATGTATGTACGTACGTACGTATGTATGTACGTGTGTACGTATGTATGTATGTATGTATGTATGTATGTATGTATGTATGTATGTATGTATGTATGTATGTATGTATGTATGTATGTATGTACGTACGTACGTACGTACGTACGTATGTATGTATGTATGTACGTACGTATGTATATATGTATGCATGTAAATATTTTACTTAAAATGTGACAGTTATGATTGTAGTTATGTACACTTATGCTGGATATCCTGAAGATTGTGATCACACTTGATAACACCATACTGATTCAGACAGAAGCTCCAGACTGTAAAACGAAGTCAGTTTTTAATTCTATAATTTCCGATTAAATCACCATCGTCACTGGCAACCCCTACGTCCTCTGAAAAAACCCGTTGATGGAATAATTCCCGGTCTTCACCTTGGAAGCAGGGCACTCACTGTCACGTCTACTGCAATACAGAATCTGAGTGTACTTCTTCATACCTGCCAAGTCTGTAACTGTTTCCAGATGCCGAAATTCGCCTTCACGGGCGGGAGTAGTGTTGGCCCCATTGGCTGTGCCGACGCCGTCGTAGCGTTTGGTTTAGTGACGAATCACTTTCCTTCTTCCAAGAAACATGAACGGATCTGTGTGGATAATGTTGGCGTTATACACTGGATGTAGTGTAGAATATGTCGTCAGATTCGGTAGAGTCCCTGATGACGTGGGTAGCCATCTCTGAGAGGCAGTTTTTTAGAAACTAGTTTTAGCAGCTAACCAGGCGCAAAATTCTGTAAGAAAATGTTTGTCCATACGTAACACATCTGTGAGTTCTGAAAAAAAGGCTTCATGTAATGGACGTCAAGGTCCCCGGATTAAACGTCTCAATGCCACTGAGCATCTGTGGGACGAATTAGACAGAATTAGACTTAGAATCACCAGCAGTTTTACACAAAGCTATACAAGAATTCAGCCATTCCACCAAGTGTCATCCACATCTTCTTGGGTCCATGAGTAGGAGATGTCATTCAGCCCCATGACTGACCTACTAGGCTTTACTGTCGCGCTTGAGACGTGAGTGGCAATGGCAAAAACCTCACTTTGGGATCCTCCAAACCCAAACATGGCGCATTTATGCCTTGAAGAAATCGCAAAACAGACCTATAAAAATACACGAGATTTTCTTTCAGTGAAGATTTCGGGAACTATCCTATTTAATACACTCAAGGGGAAACTAGCAGAGTGGTGGTTATTGGAGGTAAATGTCTACTTGAAGGGTGAGACTTGCTTCTGTGGAGTCAGTGACCAGGTACAGATGACATGGAACCAGACAGAAGTCCGCTGTCCTGGAAACTATGACGAGAGGTGTGGAAACCAGGACGGCCTCTCCGTGTACAGGACAGGAGGTAAAAGTAACATATACATGACCATTGCGCATATGCAGTTCTCTTCTCTACCTTCAATAATGTTTGATTCTATTTGTGAAGTCGTGAAATATACTTAAAAGACAGGAATATTCCTTACGGGATCGATTTCATCCTCTCCGCGCGTGGGAGGGGCGTGGATGTGGAAGTGTGGCTGGGATGCGGATAGCTAGAGAGGTACCAGTCATACATTGCAGAAAATGTTCACTAGACAAATTAAAGTAAACGGATGCCTGTCTTGAAGCGACGACTGAAAAAGACTTCGTGTGTCTCAGCCAGTGAGTGAATTTATTTTTTAGGCCAAGATCAGCAATATTCCAGCAATATCACAGCGGAGGACACCAGAAATGCGCTTCATACTTTGTACCCATGTGGGGAATCGAACCTGGGTCTTCGGCGTGGTGAGCGAACGCTTTTACCATAAGGCCTCCCCACCGGCCCCTGTCTCAACCGAATCCTTAGCTGAAAGATTTGTATTATGTCTCTTTGCTTTTTAGAAATCGCATTTGACGCTGATGATAAGGACATGTGTGTGTATGCAGAACTCAAATGGTTTGGAAAGGAAACCAAATATTATTCATCAAGTTGTGATACGTCAAGATCAGCTGCTTGTAAAAATGGAACAGTATTAAATGAATGTAAGTACCAAGTATGTGTCGATGGTGCAACAATGTGGTTAAAGTTTCGAAGTTTCAGGTTCGACTTCCAATGTGGGTCTGAATCCCAATTTAAAACGTTTATCGTCTTGATGTGGCTAAAAGCAGCGTAAAACGATACCGACAATAATTAATTAACTTTATAATGAAATACATGAATACAATACAAATGATGTTATTGCTGTTAGACGATACTTGGGTCGGTATTACGGTAAAAGGCTACAGCAATTTACCAACACGTGTGTATTGATGTACATGTACATGTATATGCATGGACCTAGCTCTGATAGCGGAACCATTCTAGTACGCAGTTCAACAGACAGTGGCAACAAATGCAGTAAATCCGTTTGTGTTCACCACACTCCCAACCAGTGGGATGAAGCAAACAGGACGTGTAACCTAGTGACAGTGACCAGTACAAATAAAAAGGACCTTCATAATGCCATGGAATATACGTATCGATTGGATGAAGAGAAGTACACTTACTGGATTGGATTAAGGAGAGGCTATGTGAAGAAATGGTTGAACGGTAGGTTGACAGATTTTCAGGACGACTTAAACCGCCTGGACCAAACAATCCAGTGATTGGCAACGATCCAAACAGTCCGTGATCTTAGATTGCTTGGAACACCTTGGGCTACAAAATCTAGGCACCTTTTACGACAGGCAGTGGTGTACATGGATGCCTGTTCTGCCTAAGGGCCAAATAGGATCCCGCATTATAATAACATAAAGTAGGATAACCCATTCAAAGTCGCAGAAAAGTAGATTAACCTTTGTTCATTTCTATGTTCATTCGCAATGTAAGCCCTCATTAAAATTAAAATTGAAAATTTATAGATTGTGTATATTTTGCACAGTGAGCATATTGGTCAGAAGAGTTCCCCAGTTCATCATGTACGAGACGTTATAGTCGTTTTGTGAACGACACTAAGGAGTTGTAGAGCTGATGTACTATTACCTCACGACAAGTCTGCTATTGCTGTGTCATGGCCTTATGGTGACTTTGGGCAAAGGATTGTAGATATGGATGCCATAGACATAGACTTGTGGCTTTCAGAGCCATATGTGATGAAGAAACCGTCAGTTCTTCATCACATATGCTCGGGTTTGTTTGTTTGCTGTTGGCACTGGAGGTATCGTTGTTTCGGCTAAATCAGAGTGTCAGTGAAAAATTTAATCTGGACCATGAAAGCTTGTGGGGAAATTATGAAGAAAGACTCCAGCCGAATGCGACAACGCGCACGTAAGGGAACCCGACCGAATGTGACAGATTCCTCTCATAACAAACTTGAGATAACGACCAGTTTTACTTCCTACGGTGTCATATGCTCAGATCCGCAAATGTTGTTTATATTTATTGACGTTTTAGTTTTAACAGGATGTTGAAAGAACAAATATTTGAAACATTAATTCTATCCTGAATTATTTCAGGAAGCGACGTCCTTGACAGCGTACATCCCTACACAGCTGACAAACTCTGTCTCTCTACGACCGGGACCTCACTGTTTCGTTGGGAGGATTGTTCTAAAAAAACATTACCAACTATATGTGAATCGGGTGAGAGAATGTGATAATCACGTAGATTTAATTCATTTAAGTTTATTTGTATAGACAACACTGTATGGTAAACTTCCGTTTTGTATATACAAAAATTGTTTACGTCAACAGCCTCACCGAAGATGACGAGATCCACTACATCATCTGTTCTACACACCACCTTGCAGTCCATAGATACAGGAACCTCGACGACGATGACGACAACAACAACAACAACTATGTCTGTACTGACTAGTCAGGCATCCAGAGTTGTGATCCAACAGACAACAGAGCCATTTTCGGATAAACACGACCAAGGCAATAACAATATGGGTATGATTTCTATAGAAATAGGAGAACGAAAGAGAGAGTGATGATTTCTATAGAAATAGGAGAGAGAGGGAGAGACGAGACAGAAATGGAGGAAGACAAATAGTTTAGGTTGTGGTTTGTTGTTTTACGCCGCACGCAGCAATATTCCAGCTATATAACGGCGGTCTGTGAATGGAAATCGAGTCTGGACCAGACAAGCCAGTGATTAACAGCATGCGTATCAATCTACGCAGTTGGGATACGATGACATGTCTCAACCAAGTCAGCGAGCCTGACCCCCCCCGATCCCGTTAGTCGCCTTTTACGACAAGCATGACCAAATTTAAACCGGATCTTCACGGGTTCAGGCCAATAGCCAGGGGAATATCTCAAATATCCCCTACCTTCGCTGGTTTAGTTTGGTTATCCCATATACATGCCTGTTGTCTATGATGAATCCACCATATGATTAATGCGCTCGCATGTCAGCACCATATCAGTAAACATGGATTTCACCTACTCAGTAAACGTCAGTCTAAAGTTATCGGTTCCCAATTGTGTAGGTCGATGTTCATGCTGTTGATCACTGGATTGTCTGGTCCAGACTCGATTATTTACAGACCGCCGCCATATAGCGAGAATATTAATGGATGCGGCAGAAAACTAAACTCACTCACTCAAAGTTTTAAATTAATCTTTCCTCACACATGGAGATGACATGTCGTGGTCTAACAGAACACTACTGAAAGTGACGTTAACCTACACTCACAAACTCCTTACATTTGTATTTTCCTACAGATGTGTAATCTGTTCTTACATATCTGCATACAACTATTGCTGCCAACAGTCTTGGTTTCAGGTTTGTACTATGGCCTGTCGGTTCTGGGTGTCGTCTCTGTAGCCGTCGTTATTACTCTACTGCTGGTTTTGTACAAGTAAGTCTTATATGATACTATATATTGTACCGTTTGTTGTCAAACACGTTTGTGTCGAACTTTGATATGTCGAAGTTACGATTGTCTCAAAGTTAAAGCTTGGTTCCTACGAATTACCTCTTTAGTCATCATGTCGAACTTCTGAGTATGACATTAATGAGTACAAGTATTTAACGAGTATTTATTTACATTTATTTACGTTTAGACAGAAAAGGTGTTGCTTTGCTTCGGCGCCAGTTGACCCAAAGGTCAACAGCCTTCCTCTGGTATCCATGGACAACAACCTCTACCTATGCACAATGGATGTTCAAACTGAACAAGGAGCTGTTCTGGAGCCATCTGCAACAGCGAATGGGAACTGCGTCGATGATGAATACGATTTGCTTGGCCAGAATAAACGTGGATGTGCAAACGAAGAGACGGGTAATGCAGCAGCAGGGAAACCTGTGTCACACCATGACGGACGTGGTGCTTACGATCGTGTGCTGAAGGGCCAGAATATTCAGGATGAAACGTACGACCATGGAAGAGAAAACGGGACAGTTCGCAAGGGCGATGACGTGTACGACCATGCAGGAGACAAGTGTACAGTTCGTAAGGGCGATGACGTATACGACCATGCAGGAGACAATGGTACAGTTCGTAAGGGCGATGACGTGTACGACCATGCAGGAGCCAAAGGTACAGTTCGTAAGGGCGATGACGTATACGACCATGCAGACCATGGTACAGTTAGTAACGGCGATGACGTGTACGACCATGCAGGAGCCAAAGATACAGTTCGTAAGGTCGATGACGTATACGACCATGCAGACCATGGTACAGTTAGTAAGGGCGATGACGTGTACGACCATGCGGGAGAAGACAGCTGCTATTATAATATGCGGTGATGTTTCAACAGATCCAAAGTGGGATGCACATAATAGAATCCATGCTGGGGACCTTTTATAAAGGCTCGATACATGCTTAACTGTTTCGGGAACATCTCACGTCATCAAAGATTTGGTTCCATTCATATAATTATCACCGCTACTTTGACTTTAACACCCACTGGCATCAGTTTCATCGGATACTCGAGACTGGTTAGTCTCTGGCATTCATATTTCTTATTTCTACACTCTGAAGTATAACTCTTATTTCTACACTCTGAAGTATAACGTGATATACCACATCAAGCATATACATGTACATATCTATTAGAACAGCTGACTGAAGGACACACCAGGGAAATACCCATTACCATGATGTCATTCAGCTGAAGAGGTGCAAGAGGTAGTCATGTGTATTACAAGCAATAAATATTTAGTTATCCGTTACAGTGTTATATGTTAATTATTACCGTATTTGTTGTGTCAGCTACAACGAATTGTACTAGTATCATCCTTCAGATGACTGTCGACCCGTGAAGATCCGGGTTAGAATTGATCTTCAGTAACCCATGTTTGTCGTAAGAGGCGACTAACGGGATCGGGTGGTCAGGCTCGCTGACTGGGTTGACCCACATATCATCGTATTCCAATCGAGTAGATCGATGTTCGTGCTGTTGATCCCTGGATTGTTCTCAATTAAACCAGCGAATTTGCTTAAAGGATGCGAACGTCCGAACTTGGTCAGCTGTGCAACAAACAAGCGTCTTGTCGATGGGTGAGTGAGTGAGTGAGTGAGGTTTCACGCCGCCTTCAGTGAGTGAGTGAGTAGGGTTTTACGCCGCTTTTGGCAATATTCCAGCAATATCACGGCGGGGGACACCAGAAATGGGCTTCACACATTGTACCGATGTGGTTAATCGAATCTGTTGATGAGCGGGCCTTTTAACCATTAGGCTACCCCTCCGTCCCGTCTGATCGATGGGCTGTGGAAGTGACATAAGGCGGGTTCCCCATTTTCCTGGACTTCACATGTCCGTTCTCAATGAGGCATATGGTACATGTGATTTATTAAATGATTTTATATGCACCTAGTATAGAAAGTTTCACCATCCCCAAGTTGAGAATATTGCCATGTCGAAGTTGAGAAAGCATCATCTTGCCCTAGTGTAGACAGTATCGGGTGGGTGACCAGGATCCCGATCCACAAAGCGTTCGTAGCGCGACGTCATAATTTGTAAGCCTATTATGATAAACTATAGAGTTACGACAGGTCGTAACGTGACGAACGCTTTGCGGATCGGGATCCTGGTTAACTGGGTGTTGTTGCAGCAGAACGGGCACCTGAAACGAGGCACATCTTTCAGTTATTTGCCACAGATGCAGTATTTCTGAGTGTTGCGTTAAACACAAGTACCATAATCGAAAGTTTCTAATTCCGTAACGATGACATCGACCGCTACCAATCATAAATCAATATATATATATTATAGTGCATCTATGAACAACCGTTCAACACAACCGCCCGACAATGCATATACAGTCAAACAACGATGTGTCGAACTTTGACCTCTCAAACTTACGGTTTGACCTCTCAAACTTACGGTTGTCCCTTCGTATTCTTTCTTTATTCATTTAATCTTCGGTTGTGTCGAACCTTGGATAACTCGAAGTATATAGTAGGTCCCTTCAACTTCGACTAAACAGTGGTTGACTGTATATGTATGTGACCAATATTTCAGCCTTGTGCACAAGATGTGGTGATGGTCAAGTACATCAGATGCTGTATTGGAACATAGTCCAATCCTCTGAAGTGACGCAATTCGCTGTGAAGAGTTGTGTCCCTTGGGCACGCCAGGAACCTATGATTCGAATCCATGGTAATGCTGGTAGTTTTGTCAGCACCACTCGTGGATTTCACTTTAGTGGTAAACGTCTGATTCCCGTATCACTGAGTGAGTGAGGGAGGGAGGGAGCTACCCCACCGCCCGTATCACCCACCCGCCGTGACATAGCTTGAATACTATCAAAAAGTGCGTCCAACACAACTCACCCAGTCCAAAACCCGTGCCGGGTTAGAAGTCACACTTGCTTTTCAGCCTTCAGTCTGTCAATGACAAGACATCGTTAAAGCTATGTTTCCAACTTTCACAAAATGCCTTTAAGAAACTGAATCTGCATTTGTGAAGCTAGCTATACAAGGAAAAGGCTGTCCAGTTTTCACCCCATTTTATTACTTATCAGCTTAAAAATAATAATCTACAATAGTAAAATGGATAAGAGTGTTATTATCAAATTTCTAAAAGAGTCCGATAAACTGGTATTCGATGATAGATACCCCATTCGGTTAATATACAGGTCACAACATAGACACACACGCGCGCGCGCACACACACACACACACACACACACACACACACACACACACACACACATTGACAGAAATGGGGCGGCACACCTAATGACTGTATTCATACACTTCTAAATTTATGTCATTCCTGTGTCTGAACCATCAATTATTTTAACAATGACAGTACATGATAAAGGAACTATTACGACACTTCTGTCTGCCAATCAAAACAACATATATTTGCTCTTGTATTAGAATTGTCAAGCATTATCATAATGTGGAGATCGTGGAGCAGTATCTCCATATGATTTAATGGTTTAACATCGTAATCTCATTTTTAAGTGTGGAATCCTATTTTACTGAAATCGGAATGAAATGCACAATGTGATAGCGATGCATGGAACATCATATTGATCAATGGACTGTCTGATCCAGACTCGATTATTTACAGACCGTCGCCATATAGCTGGAATATTGCTGAGTGCGGCATTAAACAACAAAGTGTCGGCAAGACACTTTGTGCACTGATGAGAGTTAAGTTGTAGCTGCAACATATACCATGAAGTTATGACATGCATGCATCAGTGTTCTTTCACGGAAATCATTTCATGCATACAAGAATTGTACAGTTGCACCATCATGAACACTTGCTTGATAGTTGTCATTGTCCAACCTTTCTCAGATCGGAATGCAACGCACAACGTGATAGGTGTGCCCCCTCCCAACATCCCCTTCGTGTTATTTCCAAGGGGAATTCCCTTTCAAAATTCCCCACTAACACGAATGCACACACTTGCTACCTGCGTCATTCACTTACAGTTGCTTCACCTGCAGTCTTTACCCTTATGGAATACGTCAGCATCTTAAGACTCATTGCAGGTAAGAAATGTTACTTCAAATGTGAGTGAGTTAATTCGGCTTGTGCTGTTATTTAGCAATACACAGCCATTAATGCACAAGCAATATTACAAAAAGTACATTGTTTTGTATATTTACATGCAATATAAAACATAGTATGTCAAAATATAAATAACAGGCACGTAGAAGGAACATGGAAGGTTAAAACAAGTTTTAACACATGCAACGACAAACTGACAGAGATTGTGCGAATTTATCTCGCTGGTGCAAGGGAGATAACTCTGTAGGCTTCCACTACGTTTCAAAATCAGCAACTCATTAATGTGCGGTTGTCCATTTCATATTCATCCATTTATCATGTTCATTCTATAAGTGTAAATTAATGCTTAATTAATGTTTGATTTCACTAATGGCCTCGTCGGCAGGAGGTTCAAACACATTAGGTATTTCCACTAGGGGAACTCCCGCATGTAAAACCCGTCAGTGCTTCCCCTGCATTCGCTCTCACTAGCAGGGTTCCACAGCAGGATAGTCTTCCGTTAGGCCATCATGATGCTAATCCACATCACTGCCACGTTCATCGCAGGTAAGTGTGTGTGTAGACAAATACAGTGAGTTGCAGCAAACCTTTTTGATTTAACAATCATTGTACAATTTACATGTTTCAGAAGAAGACATACTTCTTGTTACGATTAAATCCATAATTTTAAACATACCATTTTGCTGACATCATTGCAGTAGTTTTGTGAGGACTTGAATTAATGAGTGAGGATTGTTTTACGCCTTTTAGCGACAATATTACAGCGGGGGACACAACAGATGGATTTCACACATTGTACCCTTGCAGGGAACGTTTAAACGTTCATACCTCCAGGCCATCGCCCCTACCTGAATTGTCAGACATAATATATCAAAACATATATATTGTATATCTTCACACTGATAGCACAAATAAATGAGAATTATAATGGACATATTATATATCATAGGTTCTTGATATCTTGTGGATATTGATGCATTTAACGAGTGGGTCGCTGTAAGATATGCACCTACAGAGGAATCCCCTTCCATCTTTCCGTAATGAGAAATCATTGTTTCTTAAAAGTCGTTGTAGGTATAAGGCTGGGTTACTGAATACAAAACCCGTGAAAGATCCGGGTTAGACAGTAACCCATGCTTGTCGTAAGAGGCGACTAACGGGATCGGGTGGTCAGGCTCGATGACTTGGTTGACACATGTCATCGTATCCCATTTGCGCAGATTGATGCTCGTGCTGTTGATCACTGGATTGTCTAGTCCAGACTCGACTATTTACAGACAGGCCGCCATATAATTGTAATATTGCTGAGTGCGGCGTAAAACTAAACTCACTCACTCACTACTGAATACAGTCCCAGCACTCACCTGCCCTATTTTAATCTATTGTTAAGTAATACACATATTTGAATATCAACATTCACTACTAATGTATTGAGAAAATAGTGTTTATCAGAAAAAAACATGTAACATAAAATGCATATTCCACAACAACTCATATTTTACTGTTGTCAGTGTCTCCAAGACACACGTTTGGAGGCTAAGTTCATTAAAAAAACATACAATAAATAGAAAAGTGTATTTTTCTTGTGAAATAACACTTTTGATCTCATCTCGTGATCTCATAAGGTCACTCATGGCTTAAGAAAATATATTCTTTAACAGGTTATATGAAGAGGTGTTATTTGTGGTGGGAACACGTATTTCGGTATCTGTAGGTGATGTTACGAAAGGAACATAAAGAAAGATAAGTTTATTTGTGAAATAGCTGACGATAGTTTATGGAAACCCAAGGATGAAAGACACGCCTAAACAAAGTGCAGGAACTTCGCTTCGCGTTTTGTAAGGAAGATAACCATGTTTAACTCGCAACTGTTTTATCTTCTGTTCCCATGTCGCCCTAAAACTATATCATCCCTAACAACAACTGTTTATTTATTCTCGTGTCATAATTGGTTATATTACAAATTTTGTGTGTAATATTCTAAATCCGGTAACTTAATTCTATAAATGAATGCTGATTGCAATCAGGAGCTGAGATAAACCGCTAAGGTGGTTCCCCAATGGAAAGTCCCTTTGTAAAAGCCCCGCGTCCGGAGCTGCATCTTGGGCTATTGGCCAGCCCCGATGCCATGGCAACCACTTGTGAAAGGGGAAGCCCCTTGGTGAATTCCCTTACAAAATATCTACTGCCACTCTTTTATTATACGAGACATACACTTGATGATGTTAGTTTGGGAGGAAATCAGCATGATATTCTACACCAGGGCACTGTGTCTTGCAGGTATGTGCAGTAGACTAAGGAAAGAGAATAACATAATGTGTATAAATATTGTTTAGAGATGCGTATTTCACAAGTTTGTGTGATTATCAATAATACAAATATTATTTAACAATTTGTGTTGGAAGATTTGGTAAATACATTGCATAATCGGTAAAAATGTTTACTTGTGTACATTCCTGTTATTCAATCTGTGTGCGACTATATATGAAATATCTTTATAAAACACAGTTGGCCAAATATATACAAGTCATATATATATATACATTATTGTCATTATTGTCACAGTGGCCAATACTCACCTAATATCCCAATTGACTAAACAAGTACTCTTATAACCTATTGCCTTTGGACGACTGTTGCATTCAAATCTATAATAAATAATAAATCTAAATAGTTAGTAAATATTGGTTTATCAATATAATCAATATGCCTATTCAGAAAAAAAATATACTCAATCATAATTATGCAGCTGGATAAATCGACAAGATATTGTTACAATGATATATATATTGAAATGCAGTTATATCATACCATATCGATATTCAATGTACGTTAAGTATACATATCACTCAATGATTTTGTTTGATATATTTTCCAATATGAATTAATGTTACGTGTGATTGGATAGATATCACTCTTTGATGATTGCATCTAACGGTATAATTATAATTGATATGTAATACATCATGCAACGATGATATTGTTAAACCCCTTAGGGATGGGAAATAGTAAAACTTTGTGTTGTCTATAAAATTACAATGTAAAGGTTTACCTCAAAATTTAAAGAAATGATGATTTAAAGATTTGGGGAATCCCCCCATGCCGCCATGTTATATAGTGAGTCACACACGAGCAGTCTTTTGGAACGTTCTAGATCTGCAACCGCTACCAGAGCATTACATCGATCCAGATTTCACAATAGGTTGTCACCATTTAACTAAAGAGCATGTCAACAACCAATGTGTCAAAACACGTCTAAAAAAAGGGGGCTCGTTCACCAGGTGATATAGCCAGTGAATGCGTCTGTTCAGCTTGTGATCAGTGCATTACGTTTACAAGCGTCAAGGTGCATGCCATGTCACGCAATACACATTTGCGCATGCGTGAATATCTTCGCTCTAATGCCGTCTATTGACAATCCCATAATATACACGGCACATGCCAAACATGGTCACATAAATATTTGATCTGTGCATGGAGAGCGGACATTATGTTTGCAGGTGAATGTCAACTGCAACTTGTTTATGCAACGACCATACGAATTCATTACAGTAGCGAGTTCAGGGGGATTTGACAATCTATCACTGGAACTATTCGTCGTCATTTTCTTAACACCTCATATCAATAGTACTCCAAATTGTATTATAATGATATATAGTGAACTTGGAAGATCCCATCTGTCTCAAGTAGTCAAACTCAAAATGAAATCATTTTTGGGTAGAGTGAGTAAGTGAGTTTGGTTTTACGCCGCTTTTAGCAATATTCCAGCAATATCACGGCGGGGACACCAGAAATGAGCTTCACACGAATTTTTGTGTAGAATTCTGTCTATGAAAACATCTAAATTAATTAACAGTCATCACTTATAAAGTATTTTTAATGATGCTTTAACGGGAATATGTAAACATAAATGTTTGAATTATATGAAATGAGTTTTGACAAAATTGGCGTTAGTATTAACATAATGGATAACACAAAAGGGTCAAATTGAAGGTTATCATAACATACAGATAAAGGACAAACTGATATCAAGCTGGACTCTAGGTTACATGCAATAGATACATTTTGTAAATATAAATGAATGATTGTTTTAGGTTTAAAAGCTATTTATTTAATGAATATGGAAATGTTTGGGGGATTTTACCTTAGTTTAAAATATCCAATCATTTACCAATTGAAACAGACAGATGGTCGAAAATGCCATTAACTGAAACTCATTAAATGGAGATGAATTTTACTATTTGAATAGCTATCTTTCATTTGAACGAGAGGGAAAAACTGGTTCATAAATAGAATTGTATTTAACATGACACGTTTAAAATGTATTTGGTTTCTGTTTTTTATAATAGTCGAATTTTGGAAACTGTGCAAAATCGTAACGATATAGTTAATCCATGGCAGAATATAATAATAATAATAATAATAGTTTATTACTGTGTCATATGTTACATGTAGTAATACATTTTGGCACTTTACTTTATACAAACACCGGGCCAGTTCTGTCTTAAATGATACCAGATAAATACATATATTTATACCCGAGCTCCCCTTGTAAATAGCTCACCCTTTCATACTTCCCACGTACAGCAGTACGGTGCAAGGATCACGTTACATTACTTTTGTATCCTCAGAGCAAGTGTAAGCCCTATATTTATACCAAGACTTTATTTCTTTGACCTGTTTGTAATTTAACGAACATAATAAAAGTGTCCAAATATGCACCCTGAAGTGTGAGCTAATTCATTTACTATTCCTGTCTTACGTTTTTTACTAAATGGTCAAGACCAATGTCTAAGCTAATAAATTTTTAGATCTAAACGCCAATATTCGTAAAACAATCATATGTTTAATGACAATAAATCGTTTTACAATCTGTCATACCGCTCTGACAATAACGTTTCTTATTAAACAATTGTGTGTATGATAAATAGCATCATGAATAAATATCATTATCACACACACATATTTCAAAGTTAGCATTAAAACATACCCTTCTAAAACGCACAATATGTTTCAACACACTATGTCGTCCCAGAACACTACCTTGAGGGACGCTATCGTCGTTCCCCTTATGACATAGGTACACGGCCTCACCTGCTGCTACATATAACGGAATTGTTCATCTAGTTGCCTCTGTGATCCTCACATTGACACAAGCTGGTTCCATGGTTTACCTCCTTCTGTCAACACGTTATCCATACCATGGTAGCCTGGTAACATACCCGCTCTGTTCCAGGGCAACATGACACGATATGTCGTGTGATGTGACAGACTCACAGATATGAGTACCTCGTTATCACACAATCATCTCCCATCGGTGATTCCACATTTAGGCTCGTATATTTAATTCTAATAGGATCAATAAATTCAGTAAATTTCCAGAAAACACATGCTGACAATGTTCAGCTATTATTAACGCGAGCAAGCAAAGTGTCCCCGCCCGCCAAAAGGAAACCCGATATGCTCTGTATGCTGTATGTTGCGCAACACATTGACAGACAACAGGTGATATTGCCCTTGCGTTAGACCTTAGCTGGAAGCTGTTCAATCGACACTACCTCGGTCGACTTATGATATCTCGTCAGCGTTTCGACTAACTCCATAGCAGGAACATGAATAAACACGTAATTCGCGCAGTTACCTTACCATTGTAACCTTATCAGCAAGGGGGCTGTGAATGAACTTACTGTCTTATAACTATTTTGGAATCAAGTCCGACCCTCTCGGAGTGACGAATTAAAAGCCACCAAGATACTAGTGATCTGGGCCTAGATTTTCGAAGCTCTCTTAGCGCTGAGATAGTCGTAAGTGCCATACATTAACATTAACTTACGACTATCTTAGAGCTAAGAGAGCTTCGAAAATCTAGGCCCTGGTATTTATGGAATCTTATAACATTATCGCTGTACATGCACTACGAAATGATTCGGGTGTAGACAGACCATGTTCGACAGAGTTGAACTATAAGATGATCCCATCAGTCTCGACAACACGTAACCTGTAACCCCAAACTTACACAAGCAACTCTTAACAGATAGTGACTGGGTGAGTGGGTAGCGTACGTTTTACTCACTTCCGTCAATATTCAAGTGATATCATGACGCACAGGACCCAGGATCAAAGTGCTTCAAACCCTATGTGCCCATCTGGAGAATCGAACCCGGTCAATAACCAGGGCTTTAACAACTGGGCTACACCATCACCAACGATTCTATAGGGCGCGGTCTTCCACTTCTCTAGTGGTACTGTTTCCATGTTTGTTATTATATGGCTCTCATAGAATGATTGACATAGAATATATTTGCACTCATACAACGCCAACAAATTTATCTATCATTTGTTTCTTTCAGTCTTGGTCGCACTCTTCCGAAATGTCTGCAGTGCGACTGGGACAATTCCGCCTAACACCACCCAACCCTATCGGTTTCCATGTGGCATGGACCGGTGCCTCATCAATGTCCGGTACTGTGACAAAGGACGGAGTACTGACCCAGGGCAGTGGACCTGCAGTCCATGCACCGAGATTGAGCAGTGGTGTGAGAAGGACATAGCCCGGGTGCCAAGAGACTGTCTGGGTTACTGTGAAGGTACTTCACTTTGTTTGTTTGTTGTTTAACGCCGCACTCATCAATATTTTAGCCATATGGCGGTGGTTTGTAAATAATCGGTCTGGACCAGACAATCTACTGATCAACATCTTGAGCATCGATTTATGCAATTGGGATACGGTGACATGTCAAGTCAGCGAGCCTGACCATCCGCACCCCTGCACACGCACGCACACACACACACACGCACACACACACACACACACACACAAGAATGTTTATCTCGATTTTCCAACAAAACATATTCAAACATTTAGCATTTACACTATACAATCCGTAATAACAATTGTTTTGATTAACGAATTCTGATATTTTGAATTTATGTAAGCATTCACAGCAGTAATCGTGAAATGAAGTGTCCGGATAAATAGGGTTCAGGGCCCTGTTCCTCAAAGCGACCGCAGCGCTAAGATGATCGCAACTCCCATACTTTAACATAGACTTACGAAAGTCGTAGCGCTACGATCGCTTTGAGGAAGGGGGCCCATACCAACAAAGTTCACTACAAATGCAAAACGTAATCGTTCACAAGGCAATTGTTTCAGATAAACGTGGTTTCACTGTGAGTTCAGCTACTGGATGTTTAAGATACGGACATCTTTAGAAAGCCAAAAGCATTATTTTGCTGACACAAATGACCTTAAATGTTACAGCCAAAAGATGCAGTGCATCCATGAAGGCCCTTGAGTCTAGATACAGAGAGGAGAACCAAAATAGTCGTCGCAATTCTGATATACCCCTGGACGAGACCAAGGCACTGAGTATGTATTTTGTTAAGGTTATCCAAATGTTGTGCTGTCTATGCTCATTTTCAGGAGGAACGGGTGGGCAACTCCATAACTGTTTCAAGAAGTGCTTCTATGGTCATCATGTTATAGCGTTATTGAGGTCACATTTCATCAAATCTGCTTGTGTGTAACATGCACTTATTTGTTCTCCTTTGTGTGCTTCTGTAACTGAATCTGTTTTAATCAACGAAGAAGATACCCAAACATGCCATTCATTGTGTGTTATACGCTTTAGGTGGTCTGGAGAGGTTTATGGCCGAAAATAGCATCGTCGTGGTGTGTGTACTCATACTTCTAGCTGTCATCGTCGTCGGTTTGTTTGCTCACACCTTGCGACAGTGTAGACGTAAGAATATGAGGGGTAGTGCTGATGACGACACGGAGGTGGGAGTTCGCCTTATGGGATCAAAGCCAGGTGAGAAAAAATATATAAATGAACTAACTAACGTCCCAGGGTATTATTACCATACTAACAGTGTACAATACCATTTTATAACCTGAAATAATTCGGTGGCTGAACACGGGATAACGAGGTTGGGTGTTAATGCCAGGTAAGGGTATAAGTGTTTCAACATAGCAGACATATCTTGTCGCTCTCTTTACTGATATAAGAATGGAGCATACATTGAAACTGGCAATAAAGACTTTAAATTGAAGATAAACCAAGTTCTATGGATAGACAACTTCTTTATTGCGACCTTTCGGTGTAGGTACTAACACCGTTATCACCACATGCTTGATAACGGTGTTAACTACACCGAAACGTCGCACTCATTGCTTTCAATAAAGAAGTTGACTATCCATAGAACTTGGTTTTCCTTCATCATTACAACTTCTAAAGTGCCTCACAAACATGGTATTTTATGGACTATCTCGGTCTATTTATTGCATTGGTGTGTGAATGCTGCCTCACTTTAATCCACACTACCAAAGCTCTATCCCCGAACGCTGTCATCCATCAAGTCCGTGCCGGACAAGCCAGTGGTAGATTGCAGGGGCCTCACAAGGTCAGGGGATCACGACACACCAAGTCACATGTGGTGACCTCCTACTCCTTTAGTTGGCTCGAACAATAAAGCTGGAGACAGGCGACGATCCCTGTTAGGATTACATACATGCATGTATGTATGTATGGATGGATGGATGTATGTATGTATGTATTGATGGATGTATGGACCCATCCATCCATCTATTTGTATATCGCTGATATCCAGCTCAGCTGCTCAAAGGGCTCTTTGGTCTTCAGCAACCCATGCTTCTTGTCAAAGGTAACTAACTGAATTATAGGGTGGTCAGCTGACTTAGTAGACACATCATCGTATCCCAAGATCGATGCTCATGATGTCACTCACTGGATTGACTGGTCCACATTATTTAGTCAGTCGTCATATAGTTGGAATATTGCTGAGTTCAGTATTAAACAACAACATATAATGAGCACGGCATAGTGAGGGCAGGAGATTCGTCCCAAGTCCTAATAAGTGAAAAATAATCACATACAATTGGCAGATCTTTATACATGTGACCATCTTTCAGATAGCCACGATCCACATCCAACTGTCACCAAGAAGTTCAGCACCACAGGCACCCAGACTGACTCTACAGGATTCCTAGGAAGTGCCAGTACCGACACAAACCAGGTTGAGTTTGTTCAACCAAACACTAAAGGAGCACATGGAATAAGGGTGCTCCCTTCCGCCACTGTTCCTGTTGACAACAATGGCAAAGACTGCACTGAGGATACCACATTCCTAAATTTGGATCGTCAACAAAATTCGGCATTTGTTAGTAATTTAGCATAACTTAATACTTATATTTTCATGACTGGCAGGTACCAAGTGATATTCTGTGGAAAAGGAGGGTTGGGTGTCTGGCTGGAGTAATTTTGAAAGTAAATAATTCTATGTTCCCAATACCATGATAAAATAATTAGCCTCACAAAAAAAGACTGATTTTAAGGAGATTGCTTTTGATACAAGTGAATGCTTTGCCTTTGGTGGTATGTCTTTGATAATAAAATCATTCAAAATCACATTGTCAAACTCAGTGAATGATTCGTCACTTACAAGGACAATTTCTGTATGAGGAGAAATGTCCAGGGTTTGGACCAAGACCAGAAATAGGCACCAACTTACAGGGTTTGGACCAAGACCACAAATGGGCACCAACTTACAGGGTTTGGACCAAGACCACAAATAGGCACCAACTTACAGGGTTTGGACCAAGACCACAAATAGGCACCAACTTACAGGGTTTGGACCAAGACCAGAAATAGGCACCAACTTACTCTGTATCATTAATATCATATATTAGGAATAAAAATTGTATTACGCGAGCCTTTGATATTAATGATACGGAAACAGTCGGGTAATAATCTCTATATATTGTACCATTCACTTCTACAGCAAGCATAAAGAACACCACTGTTGTCCAACATCTCTAACCTCTCATTTTTTTATGTGGAATGTGTTAGCGAGTTTCATGAATGCAGTTAAAGGTCACATGCAACCAAAAAATCAAACATAATTAAAACACAATTATCACTTCTTCATGACATATAATATGCATTGCTGATTATGAAAAAACAAATAAACAAAATTATAAGCGTATAATCGCAAATCAAAAGTGCAATATTTTGTACTTGGGTTTACCTCCCTCGAAACGAAGCAGCCGGGATACCGAACCCAGTCAGAGCGGGTGGGTGTGCACTCAAGTGTAACGGCTGGTTCATTAGCAGATGCCGCCTTCACGGCTCATTGTGTGTGTATATATAGAGATGTTGGGTTTTGTAAATACATGCTCATTTTTTTGTGTATAACATTTTGCAATCAACAGACATCATAACATGTCATGTGTTCAAGTATCACACCTGCCTGTCTGTGTAATTACATAATGTGACAGAGACCGAACTCGGGCCATAAATCAATGCATTTTGTTTATGGTGTATAGCCTGATTGGTGTTAAGTTCAAATTGCATGTGGTCAGTGATCGCAGTTGTGTATTGAATATTGTCATTAGCAGACAGGCAGGCAGACACACAGGTCTCAATAAAACAGACATTGAGTTTTGTCTGTGACAGCGACATATCTATATCACAGTTAGAAATTGTGCCAACGCTAAATAATGACATTGCTTTTAAGTATCGAACTGAGAAAGTGACTCGGTAAGAAGAACGTGTGGTGAAATAGACAAATGAAATTATATAAACAGTTTATTTACTGTCATAACATATAAAAAGCTCGCGCCTGTGAGATATCAACAAAACATTAGGAAAATAGCTCACACCAAAGCCTTCACCGAGTATTCACCAGACAGCCCGCTTCCAAGTTGCGCGAACCTATTTCACTGCGCACGTGCTATGAGCGCAGCCCAGCTGTTGAAACCCGTATTCCCCAGAAAAGTCTGGGGAAAATTAGTGAAACGTTTGAACTCCGATTTCGCGCGTTTTTTTTTCATCGCGTTATTTTTCAACTTTATAAGTTGAATTTGCATTTTTGACGCTTTGTTTCGGTAAGTCCATACCGAAAGGTATCAGAATCTGCAAAGTTGTGTTTTACGTTGCATGTGACCTTTATTTAATGTATGACTGCAAGATGATTGTCCTGGATGAGTTTCTGTGGAAGCCACATTCTGAAGTTCACTAGAAACATTATAACCTACTCATGCCAGGGATAACAGAAAAATCAATCACAGTCAACACGGACATGATAATAGAGGATTCTTTTATTCACAGGATTCAAGGATTGAACAAAAGGAAAGGTTTGTAGTTACTCAGCATGGATCCATCCACACCAAAAACATGTATACATACAGAGAAAGATACAAGAGGCAATAGGATTATATCAGATACATAAAACCTTTAAAACACACACTATGCTCCGATGGCCAAAAATATAAATCCTTTATGTACAGAGTAAAAATGTGAGTAAACACAATTGGCCATAAACGGCCACAATTATGCTGACCAAATAGATCAGATTTATAAACTGTGAACAGTTCAGAGACACGAAATACTTAACATTAGAAATATCCCCAAAGTCTTGTTTAACAACAAACCCGATGTATTTGTAACAGTATAATGAATTGTATTTCATATCCTGAATCTCAATATGTTTCATCAAAGAAAATCATAATCTAGTGGAGATAGTTTTCTTTACAAAAAACACACCATGGTTTAATTTTGACCATCTTATTTCTATTTTTAATATTTTACACCAAAATTAACTTTATTCCCGTTATATTCTGCGGACTATATCAAAAGTCTTGTCCAGACAAATGTTCTGTGTTCTGTGTAATGTCCCAAACATACACATACAACATCAACCAAGTAACTGTTAAACTGGCACCTGATTCTGTGATCCGTCCAGCCTGGTACTGGGACCTGTTCTAACTGGACCCCCTTGGGATGACCAGTTCCTTATTTATGTAAATATCACCTCACAACTGTTAGAGGGAGTGAGTGAGTGAGTTTAGTTTTACGCGGCACTCAGGAATATTCCAGCTATATGGCGGCGGTCACAACTGTTAGAGAGTTGTACATTTCACACTGTGTGATGGATGGAAAGTAGTCAGTGTGGTAATGTTTAATATGCTACACTAACAAAAGCAAATATTTAATGTCAGGCCAAAACATGACTGTAAAACCAAACCCCCTGTCCTGTTATTACTGAAGATTCCAATCTGCACACACACACACACACAACACATGTCAACTATTACACTAACATAGTGTAAAGAATTCCAATGCAAACTACACACATACCAGATGCCATCCAGGCCACACATTCAAATCAATACACATAAACTACCTATTGAAATCAGTACACAGACAGCTGATCTGCTTATCGTGCAGTTATTTTCAGAAATTTCAGTAACATAACCAGAGAATCTATGCCATATACACCTGGAAAAAAGTTTAGCATCACCCGTGTGTAATTTCATGCTCCAAACAACATCCACTGGACATATCAACCTTGCCATTGATCTCATTATCTGAAGAGTCTAGGATAATACTGAAAAGTCAGTACCTCTGGACTAGAATACTAGAATATTTCCAGAGTGAGTGAGTGAGTGAGTTTAGTTTTACGCCGCACTCAGCAATATTCCAGCTATATGGCGGCGGTCTGTAAATAATCGAGTCTGGACCAGACAATCCAGTGATCAACGAATATTTCCAGAATCCAGGTAAGACAATGGTTGAGGATAGAACCGCCAACATTCAGTTCTTGGTCTAGAACAGCACAATCTATCCAGTACAACATTTTGTGTTAAAAGACTAAATAGCAAACATACAATGCGGTTTCCAAATAGCTGTGTCAAAGACATGATAAAACATTACGTGATCATATTTGGTTTCTTTTTCTGAATATGAGTATGTTTCATTGACAAAAAATATTATTACATTACGTTAAAAAATAGACATACATGGAAATATATCATGATGTTTAACTTTTTCCACATGCATTTGTTTGTTTTTTATCTTTTCATGTTATAATACATTCTATAGCAGCAATTGAAAGCGTAACAGAATTTCCAAAGAGGGAAATGTAGTAAGTATGGTGTCATCCACTCACCGAGTGATCAGTTATGTAAGTTTAATGTCATGGAGGAGAGTACAAACATTTCAGAATAGATCAGTCATGAATTCAAGTATTTGCATTCGAAGACACACAAGATATTACTTTCACACACATACACACAAATCATGTCTGTCACACACGCACACTAATCATTTCCCTCAGAAGCCCTTGGTTATTTTACCGGTCCATCATAAATTAATATGCTATTTGAAATTCATTAACTGTCCCTTGAGTAAGTATTTCTCTGTACCCCATTTGATACTTGTCCTGCTTCTAACAGTACTTCAGTCATACCATGTCTGCTTAATCTGGGAGGAGAGCCTGGAGTCACTTGGGGAGTAGATAATCCCCTTTTCGTAAAACCCCAAGCACATGTATGGTGCTTAAAACAATCCTGGTCAATCTGAAATTTGAGCTTACAATCATAGGTTTCTGACAAGACTATCATACACAGCTGTGCCCTGCAAATGTCAATGCCTTATGAAGTCACCCGTTCAAAATAAAGTACATGTTTTGATGCCATAGTATATAATGCCTCGACACTTGATGCCTTGACACTTGGCCACATTATTCCCCCGAAGATCTTAAAGACATATTGACATGTTCTCTTCTGCTCCCTACTTTGATTACTAAAACAATTATAACATCAGTCACGATTTGAGTGAATAATAATTTTTTGTGTCTAATAATCAAAACTGGCTATGAGTGACAAAAAATATTAAAATTTTGATAAACAAGAAACGGCTCAAATATGTTTTAAATTAGACAAAACATTCAAAGAAGTTACCCCAAAGAAAATTCTGATATATTCTTATGGAATCATGGCAAATCATTTTTAATATTATTAGAATGTTGTTCAGTGGACATATTCTGGTGTTCTATATTTTGCAACTGAACCTCCAAACAGACACACTTCCTAAAGTAGTACTCAAATTGACACATCAATCCAGTCTGTGGAAACACTTCCAAACTCTGTTTAATAGATGATACCATCAGATTTTTCAACCATCAAAACAACATACACTGTTTGATGGCAATAATTTTATTCTGACTCTCTGTAGATGGTTTTCATGTGGAAAATCAAGGGTAATAACACAGGCGTACATGTATTCATGCATAAAACTTTAAAAGTTTACACAGATTAACAAGGAATTGTCTGATCCTTAACTTTTGAGTAGCATATTTAAGTATATTGGATCGTTTATCGTATTTACATTTCTGCTTAATGGTTTGTGTATAATGATCTGTAAAAATCGCAACAAAAACAACATAATAGATTCAACAAAATACTTCAAGTCAATCACGGCAAGATTTGATTTAAATGCATTCACAAACACTCATGTATTGTCAAGTGGTACAGAAGTTTTCAGATCTCAGATCCATCCTAGAAGACATAATAAATTCAATGAAGATGAAACGCATTTTACCGTGGTTATGAATTATATTTGTTGTGCAACCCCAGTTCTCCTTGTAGCTTTTGTGATAGGTTTAACGATAGTTGAGTGGAGCTGAACACGGTTTGATACAATTTGTAGTATGAATGAATATGTTTTTGTGCGATAGTTAATATTTCAGTAACATTTTGGCTGTCTTGAAATTAGGTAACATGAAACATCACCAATTCATGTCATCACAATGATGACTGCAAGTGAGTGAGTGAGTGAGTTAGGGTTTAATGCTGCTTTCCTCTATATTCCAGATAAATCACTATGTGTCCGCTAAACGTGACAGAGAAGCCCAAAGTGATGCACTTTGTCGAAGACCCTCAAACAGTGGTATTGCGCTGACACACTTAGTAAATTACTCATGTTCTACCGACATTCCACCCAAGATCATGTCCAGTGATGACCCCAAGTTTATCTCAGCAAAGATGGTACTGATGCTATTGTGACCACACGATGCTATTTAACTGACCTCCAGAGCGCGGTGTCACGAATCACTGAGTGTTAGTCTAACTCAAGGTACATGGCTCAGAATGGCTTCGGTACCCATGTGGGATTCAACTCCGTAATCACTGAATCCATGATGTTAAACCAATGATACTTAGCACGAGGAAGCATTCGTACAATTGGAATTTGAAAACATTCGTCCAAATTAAGACAAGTAACCATCCTATTCCCATTTAAATCTTCCCTAAAGATGGGAATGGAATCATCTGGTACACTACCCTCTGGAATTGGTAATACACTACAGCTCATAAGTAGATACTACCTTTTGTGCCATAGAATTTCAGCAAGTGTCAGCATCACCAAAACAGTGTAGTAAGCTTGTCTGAAATGTGCTGTAGTTGTTCCATGGTCATACTTATTAAGTATCTCATTTTGAGATGCTCAATCATGTTAGGTTTTCTAACAAGACTTCTGAATGACGCAAGACCTGTGCTCTAAATAAACAAGCTGTGAAGTGCTAAAGCGGACTTTACACTGCAAGCTAATTTTAACACATGTTTTAAAACTCGAGATTTAGAGTGTGAACATTCCAACAACTTTCCACCAACACAAAATTCAGAGTTGTCAAACTGTTGTCGAAAAATAGGATCGGTCTCTATTCTCACCAACTTTTCCATCATACTTTCTGTGTTATCAAACTCGAGTTTGACGTGTGAAGTGTTGTCAAACTCGTGTTGTTCAGAAACAACCAATTGCAGTCAACGGAATTGTCACATGACCGCACCAATAGAGACATGGTGCTCAAATGACACGAAAGTTAGATAATATTCGTTTGACGTGTGAAAACATTTATAACTTTAACACTATGTGTCGTCAAGCTTTAGTTTGCCGTGTGAAGGCCACCTTCAGCTCCAGGATAGCTTCCGTAAACTTTATATTTATTTCATGGCATCAAAACATAACAAAAATGTGGTAAAAGTAGAAAACAATGGTGAGAAGTAGTGTATGTACTAGAAATAGTTTTATATATTACATTGACATGGTTATTTCTTGCAGAAAATGCCTCTTGTCTCATTCAGAAATGGATTAAAACCGTAACGTACCACCCACAGTATGAATATTCAGGAGTAAATCTCAAACTATGAGACATCTGTGAAGGACTATTATATAAAATCATTAAATCCACCATACATATATATTTAAACCTTTCAATACTGTCCCACTCAAAAATAATGACCTCTACTAAAAAATATCTCTCAAATGCACATGATAATGTTCACAACAAATCAAATCATCCGTCACATACGAATATAAGATGGTTAAGGTCGAGCATGGCATCCATCCAGGCTAGGTCAGCAGTAAAAGACGATTCAGATATGTACACACTGCAGACATCATTGTCCTTGGAGCTCAATGATGGACTCTCGATCTTTGCCCACGCCAATCCACCAAACTGGAACAGAAGGATGGAGTTAGTTAGTTTTATGCCACTTTTAGCAGTCTTGCAGCAATATCATGGCGTGAGACACCAGAAATGGGCTTCACACATTGTACCCATGTAGGGAATCGAACCCGAGTCTTCAGCATGATGAGTGAATTCTTTAACCACTAGGCCGCACCACTATCCCTCAGAAGGATGGAGATTAACATTGTGTCACCTTTGTCAGCATACTAGTGCATCAATTAGGGCTGACTTATAGGATCAATAATCAGCAATATAATCGCTGCAAAGAACCATCAATGATTAATGATATAACATATTCACACATGTTTCTATCAAGACCAACACTGTTTCTGTAACTGCCAATATCCAGTACTCTGACACCAATGGAGGAAGCCCATGGACATACTCACCTGGTATATCAACAAGCGCTTCAATCTTGCGGACATAATTGAGGGCGTTCTTGGGGAGGTCTGCAAGTGTGCGAACATTTTCCGTGTTGCACTTCCACCCTGGTAGAGTGACGTACTCCACCTCAACTTTCAGTAGATCCTCATCAGATGCTGGGGACACAACGTTTACCATTTACACACATGATTGTGAACACTGCTGAACAATTCTAGCACAGACCCTTGTTACTGAGTTTAGTTTTACGCTGGTTTTAGCAATATTCCAGCAATATCACAGCAAGGGACACCAAAAATGGGCTTCACACATTGTACCCATGTGGGGGATCGAACCTGAGTTTTCTGTGTGACAACGAATGAACGCTTTAACCACCAGGCTACCCCACTGCCCATCATTGTCATGGAATCTGACCATCTGAGCGGCATGATTCATCTTTTACAAATAGTTGTTGTTACTCAGGAATCTCAAAGGGGTGTACAAGTGAGTGAGTGGGTGGTTGAATGATTTATTTCAGAAATATTCCAGCAACATCATGGCTGGGGTCATAAAAAATCTACTTGATCCTTATAGGTTTGTAGGTTGTTTAACGCCGCTCTCAGCAATATTCCAGCTATATGGCGGCAGTCTGTAAAAAATCGAGTCTAGACCAGACAAACCAGTGATCAACAGCATGAGCATTGATCTTAGCAACTGGGGTACGAATACATGTGTCAACCAGATCACCAGATCCCATTAGTCGCCTCTCACGACAAGCCTGTCATCCATGTCTGGAACAAACTACATCCCTTGCTGTGATGAGCGAACACCTTCACCTCAAGGCTACGCCACTGTACTCAAATGGGCAAGTGCATGTCATGAGTCTGTGTGACCACACAATCCTACCTGGAAACGTGTCCAGCTTCTTTCCGTCAATGTAATATGCAATGCCAATCTTTATCTCATCAAACACATCCAGGATGTCTAACTTTGTAACTGCAAATCTGTAACGAAATATAACCATTAAATGAAAATTTGGATTTCTAAAAAAAACCCAATCATATCAAAGAAGTATACCACAAACTGCATCATTTGATATAGAATAAGTTTGAAAGTAACATTTTCCTGACCATATCAAATCACAATATATTACATGTAAGAATGTACAGGTGTGGGCGAGTGGTCAACTGGGCATGTAATGTGTGGATGTATGGGTGTGTTGCATGAGTGGGGCTGTGAGACTCTGGGGTGGTGGAAGTGTGAGTATCCGGGGCTTTGTGGAAATGTGCGGTGGGATTATAGGTCAGTGAGATTATGGGGATGTGGGTGAGTGAGTGAGTGAGTTTACTTTTATGCCACACTCAGCAATATTCCAGCTATCTGGCTGCGGTCTGTAAATAATCGAGTCTGGACTAGATAATCCAGTGATCAACAGCATGAGCATCGATCTGCACAATTGGGAACTGATTACATGTGTCAACCAAGTCAGCGAGCCTGACCACCCGATCCCCTTAGTCGCCTCTTACAACAAGCATGGGTTACTGAAGATCAATATTCTAACCGGATCTTCAGGGGTTGGGGATATGGGTGAAGTATGGGGGATATAGTAAAGTAAACTAAAGAACATCCTTGGGATGTATGAAATCGCTGACACTCACGCTGTGAAGCCGTTGATGATGCTGGAGTACCGCAGCATGACAGCGTCCAGCCATCCACACCGACGTGGTCGTCCAGTCGTCACGCCATACTCGTGGCCTCGGTCCAACAACAATTTCCCTTTTTCCTGAACAGATTTTAAGAATTTCAATAATCATGCTCTCTCATTTAAACACAATGAGCACAAAATTCTAACTGTTACATGCGATGATGACACACAATGAGCACATAGAAACAACATATACACTCAATGAACCTAACTGGTACAAATGAATACTTGGGTCCTTGTCTTTAATGTTGTATACAAATACCACAATAACTCTTTCATTGCCTGAAGCTGAGGCAACGTGTAGTGTACTACTCAGGTATACACTCTCGACAAGTAATCTTATTGACACATTCCCTTTTGGATGCAGATGTCTTGATACTTTTTAAAAACGACAGGCAATAAAAATATGTACATCAATATCATGATATCGTTAAAACGAGCTTGATTGGGTATAGGAGTCCTCACATCACTGTATTCAAAAGATGCCATCAGTGGCTCTTGATGGGGTTACCTCCTTGAGCTCTGTGGGAAGCCTCCTGTGCCTACCTCGGGTGAGGTGAGGTAAGCCTTGACGACATCTCAACACCTTCCCCACATTGCGGGCGGATGGGATGCAGTAAGACCAGTACACCGCGTCCTACACTGCAGTTTGATGAGATTGAGTCATTTCGTAGGCATATTTCATATTCAGCCAAATATTGTTTTACGGGTACAACCCTAAAAGGTGGGCAACATATACTGAGTTAATGATTGAGTCATGCTTGATTTCATAGGCATATTTCATGTTCAGCAAAATATTGTTTTAAGTCAAAAGGACCACTAATATAAGTTTGCTGTAACCATAGTATATTACATGCATTTTTAATAAATTATACATCAAGTGGCTGAGTGAGTGAGTTTAGTTTTACGCCGCACTCAGCAATATTCCAGCTATATGGTAGCAGTATGTAAATAATCGTGTCTGGACCAGAAAATCCAGTGAACAACAGCATGAGCATCAATCTACGCAATTGGGATACGATGACATGTGTCAACCAAGTCAGTGCGGGTGACCACCCGATCCCATTAGTCACCTCTTATGACAAGCATGGGTTACTGAAGATCAATTCTAACCCACATCTTCACTGGGTCCATCATGAATAGACAAGAACAAAGGGCTGATAGCATGATAGATGATCCACAGTGATGGGGAATGACACCAGCTAGGTCAGATCATCTAGTTAAGTCTGGGATGACTTCTCAAAATTTGCCTCCATTGAACATATTCCTTCAGAGAGAGCACTCACTCTCATTGAATGCCACAGAATAAAACCAGCAATAACTTAACTTAGTGTGACTAGTTTTTTAGAAATTACTAGAATTATGATGTTATGGCACATCTGTCTGTGATGCCATTTTGAATTTGTATACAAGAAACAATTTAAATTTTGCTGGTTTTGTAATATTTCAGCAGCTCTGATAGGATCAGTGTTTCATAAAGGTTTTGTTTAGAAGCCCAATCAATCGAAACAAAATAATGTCTCTGATTTGGGGCTAAAAGGCAGAAAACAGATTTAGAACACATCATGTCAGCTATGCATCAAGTCATTTTCAGTTTCACAATCATTGTCTTAACTAAGACTATAGTACTCTATTGTGTGGTGCCGGAATGTACGCAAAAATATGCATTCCAGGTTGTGATTCAATTGTCACATGTTCTTGTAGATGCGTACATTTTGTCCAGAAACAGGAACAACCCCAATATGCCACTTTTTAATGGCATTTTTTTCTTTAATTGATTCATATTTCTTACACAACTGGATGCTGAAGATAGTTTTCCCAATATCCCTTAACTTCCCAAAAATCATCTGAAATTTACAAAAGTGCCAACTGATGAAGGGAGGTAACTCTAAGGTTTTCACCGTTCACTAGGGACCGTTCATAATTTATGGCTAGGGGGGTGATGATGATTTTTATGGAGAAGCATGTACAATGTGACTGACCCCCCTAAAATTTATGTACAAAGTAAGTGACCCCCCTGCTTGTCATGTACAAAGTCATTGACCCCCTTCCCCCTTCAGATATTTTTCATGCACAATTTTCAAATATTATTATGTACAAAATTGATGACTTCCCCTAGTGCATGTGTACAAAACTGACGACCCCCCTACCTCCCCAGAACAAAATGGGTGACAACCCCCTCCCCCTAAAATCATCATCATCACACACACACACCCAGCCATAAATTATGAACGGTCCCTAATGGCGGTGCTGAAATTAAGATTCTTTTCTACATAATTTCATGTTTGTTATGTATGTTCACATGAATAGTTCTCATTTAGTGTTTTCCTTTAGTGTAAGTATAATATTAAAAGGGGGTAATTTCTTCAAAACAATTCAGCATTAACATAACAATTATATCTTACTGATGCACATACAATAAAACAGAATGTGTTAATATAGAGCTGATTAGACATCAGTACTTAAGCTGTTGGTAATGAATACCTTAGCTTATTTCTGAAATCCATGGAAAGGGTGAAAAAAATTCATTAACTGGACATCTGAAATGTCCAAAATACAATCATATTGGTTATCTGTCCCTCGGTTTGGTAGACAGATTTGCTCTGGCTCATGGACTTTTGGCGTTTTATCCAAATTTCTGAATTTTTAAGATATAACAGCACTTAAAAACTTTTCCAGGCTATTTCAAGGCATGCAGTCTTAATGAGGGAGTGTAGTTGAGAAAATCTGGGATTCAATCAAAAGAAGCTACTCCTTATAGTTCTGTCCCAGGGAACCATTGTGAAGAAAGACACGAGCTGAACATACCAAAGTCTATATCCAGAATGGTGGACTGAGCTCCTTCTATTAACACGTTCTTTCCCTCCTTCAGGCATTTGTTTAAATAGTAGATCGTGTCAGTGACCATTGGTCGAATCCTCTCCCGTAGCTCCTGAAAAAAAATGGCACCATTTGAAAACTGCACCTTAATGTTAGGTCTGCCTGCAAACTGAAGAGCAGTAAACTCAAACATAGGGTAAAAAGGAGGTTCAGATGTCACTAAAATCACAACTGATCACTGTACTAACAAGTTTAGCGTAACACATTCACAGTGAGATTTCTGAGCTAAAACGTGAAAAACTGCAAATGTGACAAAAATACATAAAGTGAAGTTAAACCAGACAGTGATATTTATATCAAAATCATGCAGATGAACAAATCACCAAATTATGCAACCAAGAATACATTGTAAGCTAAGATGCTTCTGTACTTGTATATCAGCAACAAGAAGCCAAGACTAACTGACTGAGTTTGGTTTTATGCCGCTTTCAGCAATATTCCAGCAACAGCACGGCGGGCGACACCAGAAATGGGCTTCACACATTGTACCCATGTGGGGATTCGAACCCGGGTCTTTCGGCGTGACGAGCCAACGTTTTAACCATTAGGCTACCCCACCGCCCCTAGAAGCCAAGAAGCTTCTGTAGTTGTATGTCAGCAACAAGAAGCTAAGATGCTTCTGTACTTGTATGTAAGCTACAAGAAGCCAAGATGCTTCTGTACTTGTATGTAAGCTACAAGAAGCCAAGATGCTTCTGTACTTGTATGTAAGCTACAAGAAGCCAAGATGCTTCTGTACTTGTATGTCAGCTACAAGAAGCCAAGATGGTTCTGTACTTGTATGTAAGCTACAAGAAGCCAAGAAGCTTCTGTACTTGTATGTCAGCTACAAGAAGCCAAGATGCTTCTGTACTTGTATGTAAGCTACAAGAAGCCAAGATGCTTCTGTACTTGTATGTAAGCTACAAGAAGCCAAGATCTTATTGATGACATAGGGGCATATCCATAAAAAAAACATCAGTCAGTTGAGCAAATTGTTTTTCTGTGCCACGCAAACAAGAACTTCTGTAACCTTTGAAAAATTGACACTGTGCAGTGATCTTATACTTGCAGAACAAGGGCTGAACACCAAAAGGTGTCCTTGAAGGCAGGAGAAGTATGATGAGCACATACCGGCAGAACAAAACAAATCCAAACCCCCAAATCCTCAAATGGTTTCGTTGCATCTTCCTGTATCGACCACACATCAAATGCACCCATTAACAATATGTGCTTCAGATTCTCTATAATAAGCGAAGATTTTAAATGTCCACTTCAATGACATATTACGAGTTATTTTGAAATTTCTTTGATTGACAAAGAAAAATATTTTCTAAAATTTACTTTACAAGCACAAGAGATGGTCACATCGACCATGACTGAGCTTTGACATATGTGAAACACCAATTGTTATTCAGAAGAAGTAAAATGTGCAAACACTACACCATGTCCGATAATCAAATCTGTCAGCAAGTGTGTGAATATTGTTTATGCCAAGGTCGACAAATTTTTAGCTGTGCTTGTCTGACCAGACACACCTGTGGATGTTAGCAGCAAAACTGTCTACTCTGTCATCTATAAGTCTCCAAGTTCACAGAGTAACTCTACTATGTCTGTGCATGACAACCAACCAGAGCCCCAGATAAGCTACCTATTTGCGATATGCTATAGAAAAGTTGAAATACGCAAGAAAAATAAATGCCAGCGTATGAAAAACACTAAATATTTATGTTTATGCTATGTCAAAATAACATCGCGGATTTACCCAATACATCAAAATCATGTTGCATATGGTAGCCCTTCACTGATTGGCCCATCTATAAATAGCGACCAATCAAATAGCTGTTTTCTTTCAACATGTTGTGTAAACAAAATGATAATGGTGAGTAAGTGTGGTCGAAAGCTTCAACACGCTCAAAGTAAAATATCTTTTTTTTATGCTTTACAAACAGAAAACAACATCATTAGAGGACTGCTAGATGAATTAATATAAGTTTCACAATCAGAATCAATTGCAGGTGATATTATATATATGAACTTGTAACATTAGCTATTCGTGGCGTGGAAGTGAAAAAACACTATGGGGACAAGGTTTCAAGAAAACTGTTAGAGTGAGGACATGGCTGTTATATCATCTAATAGCCATCTTGATATCTTGTTTTACACCAAAACGGATGTAGACTAAGGCACATATAGTGTAGTATATGGACAAGTACGTTATTTTATATACATATATGGGAGACAACTCCTGCAGACTTATGTGACAGTAGCTGCAAGCCGATTAGAGTTGGATTCCTTAGGGACCCCTACTTGTTACCCCCACTTCCGTAGTAAACGCTCAACATTGAAGTCACGGTTTTATTGTGTTCTGTTCGGCTGCGGCCTTAGAAGTGTATAGGATTCAAATACACAACATATTATTTCTTACAGCACAAGTGGAAAAAGCGATATTAGCTATTAGCTATAATTTAGCATTGTCAGGAGGATTTTGTATTATTATATCAATGAATAAAAAAATGTCGCACCTCTTCTACTTATTTCTACTTATGGTAGGTATCTAAAAGTATAGATATTCACTTGAAATTGGAAATACCCACTTAGTTTCAAAAGTATAGGTATCATACCCACATGGCCAAAAGTTTATCTGGAGCTTTGACTCACAATCAACAAGATCAGGGAGGAATAATGAAATCAATGTATAATCTCCGGGTCCTCGGCAAGACAAGCAAACACTTGAATCACAAGGTTACCCTACAGCCTTTCAGAAAAAAAAGCCAAACTTTTGACCAATATGACATTATGTTGAATACCTAAAATGTCACTGTACATCTCTTAATTCAGCAGAAGTATCAACTGAGGCAGGTACCAACGACAAAGTGTTGCAAGACATCTTAGGGTCACACTCAAACCCAGGACCAATAGATGTTGATTTGATGGAAGGACATAAATTAGCGGACATAAAGTAATTTTATAAGGACAAAAGTAACTGACAACTGACGAGACTTGATCACAATCGGTCTCATCATTTCACTGACATGTCAATCCACAAAACACACAACAGGTCATTAACTATACACAATGAAAAGGTCTGCAGCAGTTCAAAGGTTGACTCTGCGTGTCAACAAAGGGGAGACAACTGTGGCCAGGCACAACTTACTTTATACTTGCTTAACTCTGCATCAGCGTCCACATCAAGGTCGGGACAGAGGCGCTTATGATGCTCCACAAGATTATGGAATCTGGAATCAAACATACAATATCGTTTCCATGGCAAAATTTGAAATGTCTAGGGAATCGCAAGTGAATGTCCCAACTTGTGCAGTCTGACAAATACAGTCTGCACAATGGTGGCAACTTACTTTTCTGAGAAGGTTTCAAAGTCTCCCATCAAGTCACACACGCGGAGTCCATTCCTTGTGGCCTGTGAAAACACGACAAAGGAAGACTTCTTAACATGTTTCAAAAGTAAACGGCATGTGAAAATATCGCGCCAACAAAACAAAAAACATAATCACAGTGTACCGTGGTTCAACCCAAGTTGCTAAAGTAAGTTTCTGGCATGCCAAAGGGAAGTAACTCTGCACAGTAAACTGCAGTGTCTTAAGCAAATTGGGGAATTTGGGCAGGTGCTTATTAGGTGTTTGTATATAATGTTCATCCATCACACAATGTATTATTGAAGATAAATCATGTGTGAAGCCCTCTATTGTCTAACACAGAAGTAAAGAGTACATCAGATATTACATGGCTGTGGCATACGCTGGACATATGGGAAACATTTTCTTTTGAGATTTTTAATCTGGGTATACCTTGGCGATTCCTTGGATCACCCTCTCATGAGAACTATTTTGTTGCTTGATTTGTTAGCACATAAAAATTGCGACTTCACAGTAAAACGGCCATATGTAATGATGGGCAAAACTGTGGAATACTGACAGTGTGCACATAGCCATAAATTCAATGAATCTATACAGTGAGGGAGTTAGTAAGGCTTTACAGCACTTTTAGCAATATTCCAGCAATATCATGGCTGGGGACACCAGAAATGGGCTTCAAACATTGTACCCATTTCGGGAATCGAACACGGGTCTTCAGTGTTACAAGCAGACACTTTAAGTTTAACCAGTCAGCAGGCTACGCCACTGCACCCCCCCCCCTATATTATATGGGGCATATAGCATTCATCAATAAAACTTAACATATATTTCAGGTCTTTCTGCATTGAAAGTAATCAGTTTAATCAACATTTGAGTAAATATTTCCCTATATATCTGGACTGTACTTACTTTGGAGGAATAAGCCGGACCTATTCCTTTCTTTGTTGTTCCAATCCTGTTGACAACAAAAACATTGTGTCAGATCTGATATGTCATGTGCATCTTATTTATAATGAGTCAAATCTACACCATAAAATATGCCAAATAGTTGTACATTTTCCCCAGGCAATGGATCCCAGGATACTCAATTTTGTCCCGTCTCAGCTTCCTGGGGAGTATCCAAACTGTCTGTGATTCACTAGAATGGTAACAGTCATATTACAATCTCACCCTACCATGTACCCAGTCACAGAACAATAACAATAAAATGTAACAGTATTGTGTGTTTATAATATCAGAGATGGAGCTTTGGTCCTTGATGTCTTCAACAGTATAAGTATTTTAGCAGTAGCACAGGTTCATTTAGTCCTAATAAGTTACCAATTTTAGATTTGAAAGCAAATGTCAATAAACCCATCTAAAATACATATAATCCTAATACATGTTAATATGGTAGAATTAATGTCATGATGAAGCACTCTCTGATTAGTATTTCAATATGGGAAACTGGAAAATATAACATTAGTGTTACATTAAGGATGTTGAAGTATGTATGATGAATCATGGAGTGTTTTACAGTGTCAGTGTCAAATTCCAGGAAATAGACATTAATAAAGTCATAATCCTTACTCGTAACACTGTCCAAATTTAACAATCTCTCAACTTACAATTTCGTACCACGACCTGATTCTTGCATCCCATCCACTTTTTGGTGCAGGTCAAAAACTGAAACATAACAAAACCAATATACTCTCTACCGTGTTTACAACATAACATGTAAATCAATGCCAGCCAATAGTAATTCAGAAACTCAGAAAAGTCAATTGGAGACAATCATAAACATTATTATTGTCTTGACATCAGCAGATCCTGTCTGAAACTAACCCCTGAAGGTCCGGGTTAAAATATTGATCTTCAGTAACCCATGCTTGTCATAAGAGGCGACTAATGGGATCGGGTGGTCAGGCTAGCTGACTTGGTTGACACATGTCATTGGTTCCCACTTGCACAGATCAATGCTCATGCTGTTGATCACTGGATTGTCTGGTCCAGACTCGATTTTTTACAGACCACCACCATATAGCTGGAATATTGCTGAGTGCCGCGTAAAACTAAACTCACTCACTCCCTGTCTGAAGCCACATATTGCTTGGCCATACATGCTATGAATACACAATGCCATTTAGAAAGTGGCCAAATGTAATATCTGTTATATTTGGGATTACACTTTCTCAATAAAGAACACATTCTAGTACTAACAAAAGTACTACCGTATATTACTGTAGATAAGCCGATCTCGTAGATAAGCCGAACCCCCTAACTTGACCCTTCAAATCAGTATCAAAATGGTACATTCAATAGATCACAAGCCCCTTTAGCATAGTAATTACCATGGGAATTGAGATCAGAGTTCCACATAACAGATCAGTGTTAAGGTGTTTAACTTGGAATCCCTCGCATGGCCTCGTCTTTACATTTAATTACGATCACAAGAAATGAGTCTCTGATGTTAAAATGTTATTCCTCTTTTTTTTTCCTGAGCATGTACAGAAAATTTCTGCTTCAATAACTAGCTCATGTTTCATTGAGACCATCAGGACCATGTCGCATCTTAATATCAGTTGCAGTCTAACAAACCTAATAATATACATGCTAATGAGAAAATCTCACTGTTAGTTGGCAACAATACATACACAACCAGTTTTATGGTTGGCAACTACACATACACAACCAGTTATTTGGTTGGCAAAGACACAACCTTATCACTGGCTGGAAACAACAAAAATATTATTATTTGTTCACAATTAATTAACACAATCATTCATAACGTGTTGACTGACTAAAGGCTCAAGAAAACTTCAATCTTTTTCCAGTGGTCTCCAGTTGCAAATACTATTACAGTATATCGCTGGCTGTAAAGCAAGTTTCAGGTACAGTCATCCCTCGCAATGATGCTCTTTTCGCGAAACCGCAGATTCGGTTAAACCGCGGGGTAATCCGTGGCTCCCATAAAAAAAGTTGCCCAGTGATCACACATATTCACGTCATCGAAAATAGCACATCAACAAATCCGCTGTTGAGCTATGGTTAATCAAGTTGTAAACTAGTGAAATTCAGTGCGGATTGCAATTAACAGTGTTTATTGTATATATCCATGGTTTTTCAGATGCTTAAAAAATGCAGGGTTTTTTTCAATAATAATAGATGAACAGCGAAACATCGTAATAACTTTATCATAAAGACATGTCGATCATCAGCCGAGTACTTACAACGTTTGCTATGATGCAACACACCGCGTAATTGCGCGGGTAAACACTGCCATCCAAATTTTTTGATGTCAGAAAACACATTTTATTTGATTAAATTCAATCCCATTTTCATTCATTAAAACTGTTTACAATAACAACGGAGAAACCATGAGTGAAATGGCATTAACTCATTCCATACAACACCCGCTTACCCCATTCGTGAGGGTCCGTTTTTCGCGCCTACAATAGCAATAGCACCAACTTCACATTTTCTCAGCAATCACGAATTGATTACAGCCTTGTCATCCATTGACCCCAAGACCCACGTTATTGACTCATTGAAGTCATATTTGACAATTAATTGCCAACATTTTGTTTTTACAATCAAAGTGGCACATACTGCGGGACTGACTGACTGACTTGTCAAACTGTCTCCTACGTAAAATGTATCCAGCCAGGTAACCCAAAGTGCTTAGCAATGCTAATTATTATGTTAAATATGTTCGTAGAAAACATGCATTATACTTATACATTAGTAATATATAAGATCTCTGTTAGATTAACTGCTTGACATATAAATTATTCTGATAATGGAATAGAAATTCTTTGATGTTATATTTTTGGATCAATTTTAACTGAATCACCAGTACATTTGACCAAAACATCAATCTGTGCCCAGCTGATTGCTATTTCTGGCTTAGTTGAATATCAGGTAGCATGACAGGAACAACAATTGAATTATCATGTCTTGTGATGTTTGATTGCAAGTTTCATGTACATAAATCAATTTTCATTTACAAAGTTTTTTGTTTTTTCACCTCAAACAATATATAGTTTTGACTGGGCACAATACACAAAATAGCAGTTTTGTTATGTCCCTGGAAAATACGATTTTACTTTGCCTTTGTTCCGCGTTATGTAATCGTTACTATAACGCGGGTGTCTAATAACGCGGGGGGTCATCCATGGACCCCAAGACCCGCGTTATGGCAAGGGATGCCTGTACCTAGAATGAGTGGAGCATAAAACTGGGTCACACAGTTGCAATGACTGCTCCCTACGCTCAAATACATGGGTTCAAAAACCACACTCAATGACTTCCTGAATTTGTGAGGAATGCTGGGTAATAAACGACATCATGGCTGACCACGGATGGTGTTATTAGTGACTTGGCAGTATCTAGCTGGGTTTGCTACAAGCATGGTACAGGACTGACTGAGTTTGGCTTTACGCAGCTTTTAGCAATATTCCCGCAACATCACGGCGGGGAACACCAGAAATGGGCTTCACACATTGTACCCATACAGGTATTCGAACCCGGGTCTTCGGCGTGAAGAGCCAACACTTTAACCACTAGGCTACCCCACCGCCCCGCATGGTACAGGAGGTGCAAGATCTCTCAGATTTTTCAGACTGCTCAGGTTCCACTAGTGATGCCATCAAGAGTATGAAAGTTAGCCCAAACTTATAAACATTTAAGTGAGTCATGATTGCAACCTAAATTGAAAAGCCATCTGACAGACGAAATACAAATCAATAACATGACGTTCAACGCCGGAAACAAGGATAGCGGAATCATCTCAAATAGCTAGTACGTAATTTGCATAACATGTACTCTGAATATAAACAAAATTAAAATTGTCATTGCATTTCCTTCATTCCATCAATGACTTTCACGGTTTTATAAAAATGGAAACAAAAACAAAGATACAACCAATAACAAAATCACATGTTTTATGAACGTGAGATGTCCCATCTGTCGTCAAATCAATTCAATTCCCACTGTTTACTGCTGAGTTTACTGTGTACTATGAGAGTGTGATGGAGTTAGTGAGTGAGTTCTGTTTTATGCCGCTTTGAACAATATTCCAGCTATATCACGACGGGGAACACCAGAAATGGGCTTCACACATTGTACCCATATGGGGAATCGAACCCGGGTCTTCGGCGTGACGAGCGAACGCTTAACCACTAGGCTACCCCACCGCCCCAGAGTGTGAAGGAGGGAGTGGATTAGAATCTGTGAATAGAAATGCCTTTAAGAAAGAAATTTACTTATTTAGTAAATTTAATTGATGATTTAACTACAAAAATGCTATTCCCAGTTCCTCACTAAAAATCACACCCATTGCCTTTTTTCACATTATTTTGTAGGAACCCATTAAAGATTGAACTGTGTAAACAAATGATGCCTTAATGCAACAAAGCATCTTAGACAATACTTGCTAAGGAACACATGCTTGTTGTAAGTGACGACTAATGGGATTGGGTGGTCAGACTCGCTGACTTGGTTGACACATGTCATCATATCCCAGTTGTGGTGATCGAGGCTCATGATGTTGATCACTGGATTGCCTGGTCCAGACTCGATTATTTACAGACTTCTGCCATATTGTAGCATTAAACAACAAACAAACAACCTACATGCTCAGGGCCACACCTCTGAGTAAAGATGACAACTTCGGTCTTTAATAAGTGCTCAGTAATTATTTTTTTTAAATCTATTAAATTTTTTTCACATTTTCATGTCATGCTTCAGTCTGGAACGTAAAGGCAGAGTACATAAATTAACATTGATATTTAGGTTTCTAAGGAAATGTATCATTACTGACAGCAATATACTGCAATTGTAACAACAATATGTCTGTACAGATTTCCAATGATACTTTATTGTGAAACTGTATTCAATCTTGTACGTGAACCAGATGGTGAGAGCTGACGAGATCATGAGAGCCATCGTGGTATGATTCACAGGAAGTGTTTTCGTCAGAACCTACACACTGAGAACCTGAGCTCTATACAGTAACAGAAGAAGAGAGTAATTTCATCAGTCAGTTGTAGAAACTATCAACTACAGACACAAGTCTCATTTTCCTGTTTAAACATTTCAGTACAACACACTGAGTCAGTCACTATACAGATTGTCATCACTCAATCAATGTATCTGGGTCACACACGATGTACACACAAACAATACTTACCCAAGTGAGCCCTGTTCGAGATGAGTAGTCTCCCTTTCCAATCAGGGAGACCATGTTTTTCATTTTTGGCAATCTCGTCAAAAAGATTTGGTAGATGTATAACCACGCCATTTCCTGCAAATATATATAAAATTTATTAAAGAAAAGCAATCCCTGAATCACTGTATGAATTGAGACTGAAAACTCAAGTAATTAATTATCTCCTCAAGTATTGTGTTAAATGACTACATGTCAATGCTTGCAGCATTGAACAATAGACATTCCACGTTATACGTCTAATTTGCACCAGGTGCAAGTCAAATTTTGAGTGGGAAAACTTCTCAAAAGAAATCTAAATAATTTAGCATATGTCTTTTATTACATGTATATTGCAATATTGCAATAAAAGCAGTGAAACTGGCATTTGGCTGGTGCACGTAGGTTTTATCTTAACATCTCTTAAATCGAGCCCTGCTGTCAAAACATTTAATACAAACTCTGAACATTTAACTAAAGATTATGTCATTACCCAGATAGCATTCGGACGTTGGCAATGTTGGCAAAACCATTGCCAACGTTGGGTAATTGTCTAATTGCACTCTGTCAGCTTTGATCTAAAAATATACTTTACTAATATATAAAAACAAAAGTTTTTTCAGGTATATCATGAGCATGTTATAAAATATAAAATGAACCAAAAGTAATTGCTCCATTTAGTTAATATCTGAAGTAGAAATATAACTAGCTGCTGATGCAATATCCAATGGAGGCTTTGTTAGAACTTCATCAGGTTCATGCAGCAAGGAACCCGTGAAGATCCAGGTTAGAATTGATCTTAAGTAACCCATGCTTGCCGTGAGAGGAGACTAATCAGGTGTCAGGCTCGCTGACTTGGTTGACACATATCATCGTATCTCAATTGCTTAGATCGATGCTTATGCTGTTGATCACTGGATTGTCTGGACTAGACTCAATTATTTACAGACAGCTACCATAAAGCTGGAATATTGCTCAGTGCGGCGTAAAATTAAACTCAATTACTCATGCAGGAAGGCTTGGTATCAGAAAAAATGATCAAACTTTAATAAAACTTACAGAAGGCTATATATACATTTTCAGTGACAACCTAATCCATGGTTTTTTTTTATTAATTAATGGTATTTCTAGATTTATTTCATTGTGTTCAACCATGCTAATTACTGTGTGTCATAAATGATTCATCGAAGCAATTCGAAAGTTATACACAAGTCCCCCGATTATCATGTCAAGCAACTCAACAAAATCTGTACAATGAACACAGAATATTTATCAGTTGTTTGTTGTTTCGGTCCAATGCTTAACAACGTACAACAGCCTATAAATAATTAAGCCTGTGACTCAACAAATCACCAAGTCTGACTACCAAGTAGCTAGGTGACTTTACACTGCATAGAGCTGGAAATAATCTGGGTATCTTTGTCAATGCAGTCTGCAAAAACGCCTCAGTCTGACTAGCAAACTCTCCGGAGTTAGTTACAGTAGAATGTGTCTTCCACAGAAACACAATCAGGACAATCATTTGGCAGACGCATTAATTAAAGCTGTACTCTACAAGAACGCTCAGTGCCAAAAGCGATTTATTTCAGAAGGTATGCTGAACTACATTCATGAAACTCATTGTCATATTTAACACCTTCCACAAAATACAATGAGAGCTTGGGGATGTTGACAAACAGTAGTGTTCATTTTATGCTCGCTGTAGAAGTGAATAGTACAATACACAGACTTAATGGAAAACATTCAATATACTCCAGCAGTTTCACGTTGGACATCTCAGAATCATAAAATATTCAAGTGAGAATGATTTTGCACATCTTTTAGCAATATTCACATTAAAGTGAGTGAGTGGGGTTTTTTATGCCGCTTTTAGCTATATTCCAGCAATATCACGGCGGGGGACACCAAAAATGGGCTTCACACAATGTACCCATGTGGGGAATGGAACCCGGGTCTTCGGCGTGACGAGCCAACGCTTTAACCACTAGGCTACCCCACCACCCCATTTTACACAAAAAGCAGAAGAAATAAGCCTTACAAATTGTATCTATCAGGAGTCAAACCCAGACCCACATTATGACAAGCGAACACCTTAGTGTCTGTACTAACAAACTGCCACACATATTCTTGTGGTGTAGTGGTTTGTCTGGTGGTTAAAGCGTAGCTTGTCACGCCAAAGACCCGGGTTCGAATCCCCACATGGGTACAATGAGTGAAGCTCATTTCTGGTGTTCCCCGCCATTATATTGCTGGAATATTGTTAAAAGCGGCATAAAACTAAACTCACAACAGATTAAACATGCTTCTAGTATTGATTCCATGAAGGTGTAACAGCTAATCAAACACCAAGAAACAGGATGTGTCCAGCTGCTTACTTATTCATTCAACATGTTCAATATCCAATCACTATCAATACCCATAGGGCCATAAAAACATTAATAATTGATTTTCATCCCTACCTATCTCACTAACAAAGACCCTCTCAAATTAATTTCTTCTCCCAACATACAGAATAAAATTGCTCTTTCTGCACTTTTCTCTCTTCTTGAGGAAGTACCCATCCATATTTGTTAGTATGCATGACACGTAATATATACAATAAATATACATTTGTAATATATACAGGATATATACAAAATAGTTTAAATTACAAGAATAGAAGCTTTGACAATTGTGCCCCAATGAATACATATTTACTTAAATTTAACCCAAGGGTGGTGGGTGAAATCCCATCCATGTTTGTTAGTGCACACAGATGCCTTGAAGTAATACAATACAGAACATTTTCATAAAAAATAAAATGCCTCCCAAATTTTCTGATAATGTTTTAATGACAATTCAACATATTGTGGTAATATCTCACCTGATGAATTTTAAATTACCTGTTCAACATATATGCATAATAAGGTAACAAACTTAGTTCACTAGGATGACCTTGGTTTTCAAGGTCAGAATTGACATACCTGAGGTAAGTGCAGTAAGTGGTGTCACTGTGAACTTACACCAGGCCAGGCCATACACACGATAAGACTGCTTCTGTACGGAATCATGTGTTCATTCTATATTGATTTTGCAAACTAACATTTAGGTGTAGCGTGAGTGTCATTGAGAAAGAGTGAGTGAGAGAGAAAGTCGGTTTAAAAACAATTTCAACAGTGTTTGTATTATGACACTGCAAGTCAGCTTCCTGGGCATGATCGAATATGTGCCTTCGGGGACTACCCCAGGCATGAGCCCAAAAAGGGAGAGGGAGAGAAGGACAGAAGGGGAGAGAGAGTGTGCGTGTGAGAAAGAGAAAGTGTGTGTGCGTGTGAGAAAGAGAGAGAGAGTGTGTGTGTGTGAGAAAGTGTGTGTGTGTGTGTGAGTGTGAGAGAGAAAGAGTGTGTGTGTGTGTGAGAGAGAGAGAGAGAGAGAGAGAGAGAGAGAGAGAGAGAGAGAGAGAGAGAGAGAGAGAGAGAGAGAGAGAGAGATGGGTTTTATGCCACTTTTAGTAATATTCCAGCAATATAATGGCGGCAGACACCAGAAATGGGCTTCACCCATGTGGGCAATAAAACCTTGGCAAGATGAGTGAACGTTTTAACCACCACAGGGCCAAATGTCAAGGCCATCTATGGCCGACAAGTGAGTATGATTGCCGATGGTTTTGGAGAAAATGCCTGCTTACTGTCGAGGAAATGATTTGTAGATGTTGCAATAAGTTTTTAGACCCGTGGAATGTCACTGACAATCGAATCTAGCCCTACATAGGTGCTGTCAACGTGGCTCGAATTAATAAACGAATTTAAAAGGTGAGTTTTCGTTGTCTTGGGTGATCCACGATTTTGGCTTGGAATTGCGGAGGTAGCTGTTTTCGGTGAGTCGTGGCGTATAACTTTTGAAATAATGATCTGATTGTGACCATTTATAGCTCATTTTGTAGGGAAATCATCTTGCTTTCGATCTGTAGGCCTCGACGGGGCCTTAAAAATAGTTTACGTGGTGAAATCTAACTTTGAATGAGGCGGGGTGGTTCCGTCGTAACATCCCTTTCCTTTTATATAGTACTAGGGTAGGGTCTATATACTTACCGGTATATGTCTTTCTAACGCTGTTTCTAAGCGCACATGCCCCTGTGTTAACCACTAGGCTACCCTGCCACCCCTCAAGTGGGGCTGATATACCATGAAGACTAAACAAAGCAAACTGGATTCCGACCCAAGATCACTGGTTCCTTGAGAAACTAAAAGGCGCAACTCTTCACAGTTTGTGTCACCGTGGATGATGGGACTACCAACGCCCTGTGTAAAAGAGAACTGGAATATTCACCAATGAGAGCCTTGCATTCTGGATTGACGATTCCACTGGGCAGTAGATGGAACGCGAATTCTTTCCCATCTACAACAACTGAGTGTCCTGCGTTGTTCCCGCCCTGAAAGATCAAAGTACTATCATATAGTTTTAACCTTGCAATTACAATGACTATCACAAGACTACAATGCTTGTTTGTATAAGGCTGCACAGAATCCAACATGAAGTGAATATGATACGGATCACCCAATCTAGGGTAATGAATACGAATATTTCTTATGAACACAATAACTTGTCAGGAGTTGATGTATTATTCATTAGATTATGTGAAACAAAAACAAACATAGCTAATATGATATGTGTTCACCATGTTGACAGTGTTAAATTGAATATACAACTGTGTTGTCCATTATCCGTCCCAGCTTGAATTAATGAATCTACATTTTTTATAAACAAAATTAAATAAAAAATAAATACAAAAATAAAATAAAATAAAATAAAATAAAATAAAATAAAATAAAATAAAATAAAATAATAAATAAAAAAAAATAAATAAATAAATAAATAAATAAATTAATAATCCACACTTTTTGAAAACAAGATATAACACGCAAATGTAAAGTAACAACCTTAGCACTCACAACATTAAAACCATAGAATACAGTACTGATTTTGTGTACTGAAACAGTGCGTTACTGCAAATGTCCTCTGCATTTCCACTGTGGGTCGATAACTTTCCATGACACAAAAACATGCGAGTAAGCCATCAATCAATTTGTTGTCAACTAACACAACCCATGGTGATAAAATGTTATTTCATGATACATACTGACTCAAAAATACTGCAGGGAAACAGGATACTGGTCAGTTTGCTGTGTCATGTGTCAGTTGGCCTGACGGTAAAGGTATCCCGATGGTCGAGTTCCTTTCCAAATTGTTTTAAATAACCGAATGAAGCAGTCCGGTGACCTTTGCGTTCCAATTGTTTTGTTGGAGGTCAATGGCATTTGGACATTTTCACTTCTTTATTGAACAGGAATACAAGTTAAAAAATATTTGGAAGCAATCTGTGAATGTCACAGCAAATAAACTGGTTACAAACTGTGGGGAGTTTTGGTCCAGTAAATTAAACAATTTCATTCCAACTTTTAACCCCCATTTAGTGGAGTAGAGCTTTATGATCATTCATGTTAATAACATTGACACAACTTTTTGAAATTGAGTAAGAATAGTTTGACAGTAGTGTCATAATAAATATTTAGAACTAAGGACCGATTTTCTGTAAAACTGTTCATTCAGGTATCAATAGCATGCCCATCACAGCTTTATATTGGAATTTTGGCATAAAGTTGAGACCACAAGAAAGTATTCCTTCAAAAGCAGTAGAAAAAGGAAACAAATTACGACCAAAGGATCCATATCATTTGATAACCAAACTCATTAATTTCATTTCTGTTAACAATAAGTTAAATTAACTTTAAAATGGTGTTTGAGGGTTCATTTTAAGCCAGAGGTGTGAACATAAATTTGGGGAAATGATTATATATTTTTAACGGTTTCCTAAAATGTAAACATAGCTTTGGAAAAAGTTCCTTCCGTTCCCCCAACCTAGTATGTCTCACAGTCCCTGAACCACATTATTTTCCCCAATGCTTAGCCCTCCCTGCAGTGCTGAAGCCCTAAATGAAGTAAGTCTATATTTCCTCAGGTTCAGGACCTGTTAACATCTGCAAGAAAACTAACTCACTTTGGGGGTCGGGCTACAAAGTAAACATATCTAACTGCCATGGCTGGCTGGACCAACATCCTCACCAGTGGTCTGGAATCTTGCCTCACATGTTAATCTGTCAACTCTTAATTAACAAGCACATGGGGTGACACAAGCTATAGTGGAGGCCTTGTGCACAGTTTTTGGTCTTTAAGAGACAAATCAAGCAAAATCTTAGGGAAACTTTCCTCCTGAATGACAAAAAGTATTATTTCCATGCCTGTCTTGGGTGCACATATGGCAGGTCAACTGTGAACTCAACTGGTTGACTTTTTCGCATACTTTTGTCACTACACCGATGCAGTTTTTACAATGTTTGTATACCACTCTTGAATAAAATACCCAGAACATCCTCAAGCATAGGACAGACGCTGGTCTTTTCACTTCCATTGAACAGTTTTCTTATATAAAGCGGTTTGTCAATCTATATCCTCTCCTCATATTTTACAAAAGGAAACTTTTGAATTTGGAGACAAGTTCCAACTCCTAGATAATTTTGTTGGTGATCATATAGATCTTGCACCTTGACATCTAGCCTTCAAGTAACATTGTGGGTTGAAGTTTCCAAACATTTAGGCAGTAGGGGCTTGACTGGGCCACATGAGGTGACGACAGCACTCTGGTCAGACTCCATGGAGATGGGACAGGGCTTAACACAAGGGCCAATAAATATGCCTGTCACATAAAGCGTCATCTGATGGTTGTATGATGTGACTTCTAATTTATAATGACCCCAGGACGTGCAGCCCCAATGCAGATGCTATTAGTCCCTGAATCTCTGGTCTCACTGGGGCTACTTTTTAATTTAAATGGGTTTATTTGCTACTATCAAATTTATATGTATTCAGGGACTAAACGTTAGTGTACCCCCAACCCTAACTAACTCTAAACCTAACCCTAACCCTAAACCTAACCCTAACTTAAATTTTGGACTTCAGTCATTTTGTGAGTTCTCTTGTAATTAAATTATATTGGGAAAGAGCGAGACGCTGTGGATGTGGGAACAAATGCAGCAGCGCTGATTAAGTATCCAGTGGCAACTCGCCTTATAGATCATGTACGATGGTAGTCATGCAACATGTGTTTCCTCGGTAGATAACCGACCGAGGCCAACTTCTATTAATATCAGTACAGGTTACCGTGAAAACAACAACACACAAACCAGTGCCCTTGCTTGACGTTCATAACCGCCAGCTTTATATTGGCAAGGGATCAAGTTCGATGACACAGTGGTGCTACAGTGGATGTTGTTTTCTAGTTGTACACATGTTGGGAGAGGAGAGTATTTACCTGACATCGACACACAACATCCGCGTCAGCTGCCAGCAGATCCACGACCTTGCCTTTACCCTCGTCGCCCCACTGGGTCCCCAAGACAACTGTGATCTTCCCTGTCTCCATTATTCGTTGTCTTTTGGCAGGTACATCGCCATTTCGGCCATTGACTCTGTGACAGTCTGAGTTGTTCGCCATCTCTGTTGATCGGGAAAGAGACAAATAGGGGTCATGCGCAGAGCCCAATTTGGCGCGAAACAGCGTGATACTTTATAGAGTTATCGTTCTTTGGTCATACATATTTCATCATCCCAAACCACAAGTATTCAATGTTCTAGGTCGAGCGTGTATTGCATACTATATTCGCACAAATAACCTCCCAAGCCAACAAATAAAACACACACCCTCGAAACATGAGCAGACAGATATAAATACAGACACAGGGATGGTGTTTTTTCGAGACAGATATATATTATGCCATATAAGCTAACATCGAATTCCTCTGTCCACGTGTTGTTGGAAATCAAACGAGTGTGAAAGAGAACTGGGGCGGAGAGAAAGAAATGTGTAGAGCGTCATCAGAAGAAAATGGCAGCTTATTTACGTGTCTAATGTTGATGTAAAATAACACTCAAATGCGAAAATATCACAAGCTTTAATTAACTCCGTACAAGCATAAGATACACGGATAGCATATATAGTATTCACATTCTCGACAGAATTGGGCACATTTTCGCAAATTGAAACAGACGAAAGAGCTACACGATATAGATTTGTCTAACAAAATAGTGTTTACTCATCAAGATTAGCTAGATGACTGACACAAGCGTATAATTAAACACATGTGGTATGTTGATTAAACTCGCTCTAAACATTATTGACGGTATTCAGACAATAGCATCTTAACATTATAGGACGTAATGGGAAGTAATATTACAGCCAGAACAAACATGGGGTCACAGTCAATGGTATGTAATATATATAGGCCGACACTGTTCCCGCATGGACGCGGTTATATATATGCTAGCCACATGTGTAATAGTACATTGTTTAAGTACACGATTGTATGTGATATGGACGTACCACACTATTTGCACATTGCGGTACCTTATGACGTCATAGTCAATTATAGTAATGAGTGTAAAAGTAGCACATTTACACTATCACGTGACACACATTACAAACTCTCGGAGTATACTAGTAACTACTTGACCTGTCTCTGTAGTTATGACAGAATGCTACACTCGTGTAAAGCCTTTCTTCTGTTTAGCCCTCGAAAAGATTCGTACTCTACGCTGTAATCCACACACACTACACTGTATACTGAATATATAATATCAATAGGTATTATACAGACAGCGGGTTACTGTATGTGAGCCTGTATGTGCGCCTGCTTTTGTGTAAACGCATCAAGTATTGATACCATTGATTGTCAGATTATAATATAATATAATATAAATAATGTACAATCACACACATATATATGAGAGAGAGAGAGAGAGAGAGAGAGAGAGAGAGAGTAAGAGAGATAGAGAGAGAGGTGCTCTTAAATTTACTGCTCTTCGGGTTCAGTTAGATACTGATCTTTTTAACGGGTGCTCTGTCTCATTAAAAATTGGCGACGTGTTATTTGTTGGCATTGTATCTAGCACATGTCAACAGACCTTTGTTTTTTAACATGCCTTCGCGCAATGTTGCCTATGGGTCTATTTCAACTAATTGACCATATACATACATATATACATTCATTTGAAACGGTTATTACGAGTGTGCGTAATACTGCATGTGTATTCACTGACATATATACCGACAGTTTGGCATATGCACATGTACATATATACAACCGCTCCTTATTTCACACATGTTGCCAAGCCAATACACCTTCACACAAGAAGTAGAACGATTACATCAATTTTGGACACATATTTGAAAATACAGAACTGATAATACGTATGATAGATGAATACACAATCCGATTTCGAAAGTAGTCAAATGTAACGTATGTTAAAGTGGGGATAACACTTTCTCGGTAAAGGACAGACTCTAATATTCTTTTTGGTTGTGTCCATTCGGGATTCGAAGCCATACTTTCAGAGTCAAGAACCTTAATTATAGCCTGCACACAAAGTCAGCGCTCTAACCCAAACCGCCAACGCAGTTTCCACAGATATGGAAATCTGGCAAGTGGTGGTCTAGATCACCCACTTCGTGTATTACTTTCTGAAGTGGCATGGTTTCTTAATTTTACTTCAAAATACGTTTCCTTTTACAAAGTGAGAAAGATCAATAGTCCAAGGCATGTTTTATAACTGGGCCACGTCAGCAGTTACTGACGTTGCTGTATCATGTCACATAGTCCGTGTGGCAATCTGGTGGATCCCGGAAATAGTCTTCATATTTAAATAAACTAAAGAGTTAAACATTTCATATCTTCATTACTTCATTGGAACTTACCTCCTACATTAAGCTGACACACTCACCTAATATACGGGAGAAAAAGAAGCCTTCACACCAGCAATCCTTATACAGCACAATGCACTCTACAGTAGATGCCGACTATACCCACGTCTCCCCGGACACTCAATACAAGTATATTGTATATCTCACCCCCAATGAAGCAGTAAAGCCTAATAACACACTACATAATCTGACGTAATGACTTTATCAACGTTTCACATTAACGATACACATGTGTGCGCTTGTATCTATCTGTTCGTACGGATCAGTGCGCGCGGGTGTTTGTGGTTGTTTGCGTGAAAATGTAAATAGGTGTATTCAACTGCTATTCGGTCGATACCACAATCAGACTTCATACACTGCCTGTTTCACAAGACTGATGTACCTTACGGCGTCAATGCAATGTGTCGTAATCACGAATGTTTTCGTAATCTTGGCCAGATTGTGGCTTTAGTAAGAAGGTGATAATAGATATAGACGAGGTATTGATAAACGTTAAATGTGAAATGGCTGTTATCTGTTCTATTTATTTCTAAAGCTGTCAATGAGAACACATATTGCGAATATATTACGCAAAACGCTTACGTTATATTTACCGCAATTATATAAAGCTTGATAAGCATGCGATAGCAGCAATCATGTTGTAAATCGTACGCCAGTGAAACTATTCTCCTGGTTTTTGTTGCGGTTTAAGGAGGGAGAATTATATTCAAATTTACATTTTAATACGTTATAACAAAGTTATTTCTTTATAAAGTAAAAGGGACATCGTTTGTCCACCACAGGGCTCGCAACGCAAAAAGACAAACAAAACTGGCGTTAGGGTAACAGTATATACCTTGATGCCAGGGTTTGTTTGCGTTACAAGCTCCTCTGGTGATCACATCAAGTCCAAAATATTAAGGCGGTTTTACGGGCAAGCAGATCTGAAGAAACAGCTAATTGTAACGTTATGGACGTTTGGAAGGTATTACGGCGTTTCTGCTGAATATCACTTATAACTTGGAGCAGTGACTGTGTATGTTTGCATTATTATATCAATAACGACAACCATACAAGTAATCTTTCTACTTTTCCATCCATAATATATCTATCAGAGAAGAATATACATGTATGAACAAAATCTCGCTCACTCGTTCGTCACACTGGAGATTCGAGTTCGATTCCCCACGTGGAAAGGAGCTATATATATGGCCTATGATTATTATTATTATGGGTATAATCATGGATAATCTACGACAACGTTATATATTCTCCCTGGTATAATGTTCCTTGTGGGAAAAATTCCGTACACCGGATAGAATGTGTGGAGCTCATTTCTGGGATCCTCTGTCATGACATTGCTGGAATATCACTCGACTGTCGATGCTGCTAAATTAGTCAGATACTATAATAGCATAGTACTATGTGCCATATCGACCCATAAACAGGTGCCGAGTACTACCACAAAACTCGATGCACTTGCACTCTTAGCATGCATATTCGATACTAGAATTATGGTCCGTGTTCATTTGTGAAATATCGTATTATACAGCCTTTGTATGAATATTTACAACAATCAATACCGGGATTTGACAATGACCACATCGATTGTGGTTTGATTTCAGTGGTAATGTGGGTACGGTTTTGTTTGTTGTTCAACGACCTACATAGCAACATTCCAGCTGCGTTACTGTTGTCTGTGAATAATTGAAATGGTACCGTGACACCCAATCATAATGCGAGTCATGGCAATCTGAGATTCAAACCCATGATTCTGATATTCCTCAGATACACACACATCAGCACTTAGAGGTCACATATGGCTGAAATATTGCCGATGTGACTATTAATCTTAACTCACCCACTGAACTCAAAACGCAACGCCTCCATGAGTTGGCCCTATCGTTGTGGTTTTCGAGATAATATAACCTATAGTACAGATTCTATATATCATTGATATCAGCCGATGGACAAAATATTCTGTCTACTGAATTCAAAGCTGGAGATAATTTAGAAATCAAAATAGAACACCACTGAACTAGAAATATACGTGACCTACCTTCAACGTCAGTATATCCACGCCAAAATCAGACCTTTCACTAACTACTTGCTTAACAAGCCTTCTCAAAGACGCAAGTAAATAATCAACAGGTTTGTCATTGTCTAACGTTACCTAACCTTGCCACTTCAAGTCACGTGACACACCCCACCCCACCCCACCCCCCAAGTGATTAATTAACTTTGCATAATTCTCGGCATAGCACAGTGGCTATAACGTTTGAACGTTGTTCCTCCACTTACAAGATGTATCCACATAACGGGTTAATTAGACGGTATCCCCTTTCTGACACACAACAATTGCCTGTAGGTAGTTAATTGTAAGGGTATTGTGCAGTGTGACGTAAGCGGGGATCAGAAAGCCCCGTTGTTGATTGTAAAAGCTGGTCGTAAGGTTGTTCGAGGAGATTATATCAAGATTCGATAAAAGGGTTACGCCGTCCTTTTTTTGCTGAAATTACTCAATAGAGAAAAATAGTGGAAAAATACCCATTCTCATTTGGAAGTGAATAAATATGTGATAAATCGTTATGTTAACAAGAAAATTGTTCGGCTTCTCAATTCAGAGAAAATATAGTGTATGTCTTCAAACTGGGAAATAAAATCCCACAATATGCCTAGAGGGATACGGGGAAAAATCTGAGTATTTTACAATGGATTTTGTGAATGGACTGTGACAAATGGATGGATGTGTGTGTGCGTATGTGTGTGTATGTATATTATCCAAAAAAAGAAACGCATAGGCGTTTTTGTATTTTTAAACA